AAGGTCACTCAGATTCAAGGGGACCAGAATTAGACTTGATGCGGGAGTGACAAGACACATTGGAGAAGGGAATGTGGGTCAGGAGAAATAGTTGCGACCATTTTTGAGAAGCTAAATTTGCCATATTATATAACCACGAGAATGTCCAGGACCGGTAGAGTAGATAAGTAAATACATTGGGCCACATGTATAAAAGAAATATTAAACTGCAGTGCAAATCACCAAACTAGAGCTCTCCGCACCAGTATAATACAGAGGGATGGATCTTGTTCAGGGGAAAAAAAACAAGACATGAAAGATTAAATACATTGTGATTTTCCACATATACATAACAAAATCAGGCCAAACTAAAGCATTGTTTATGGATACACAGATAAATGATGAATCTGTAAATGAAAAAACACGTATATAATTTCTGTGAAAGTCCAGATAAAGAGCAGAAAGAGGAGACAGATAGTACCTGAATGTCTGAGAAACTCAGCACCCATATATTTTTTTAATAAGCTTCATCATATTTTAAAGAGAAACATGTTGTTTACTAATAATAAAGTAATTGTGCTTATGGTAGAAGCTTTGAAAAACTATTAAAGTTTGGACACAAGAATAAAAATCACCTACATTTCCGCCACTTTGGCAAACCTATGTCACATTTAGGTATATTTCCCCCTTCTATGAAAAGTGGTATAACACGGTGAGATATGAAGAGAAACTTTTTTTTTTGGAAACTTTTTATTTTGAACTAATTTTATATTTACAAGAAAGTTGCAAAAACAGTACAAAAAGTTTCTTTATATCCCTCAACTGGCTTCCCCTAATGTTAATGTCTTACATAACCATTGTACACTTATGGAGAACAAGAAATGGACGTTGGTGCAATATTGTTAACTAAACTTTATTTATTTTTCAATTCTTCTTTAAAATTTAATTCAAGGGGCTTCCCTGGTGGCGCAGTGGTTGAGAGTCTGCCTGCCAATGCAGGGGATACAGGTTCGTGCCCTGGTCTGGGAAGATCCCACATGCCGCGGAGCGACTGGGCCCGTGAGCCACAATTACTGAGCCTGCGCGTCTGGAGCCTGTGCTCCGCAACAAGAGAGGCCGCGATAGTGAGAGGCCCGCGCATCGCGATGAAGAGTGGCCTCCGCTTGCCACAACTAGAGAAAGCCCTCGCAAAGAAACGAAGACCCAACACAGTCATAAATAAATAATTTTTTAAAAAAATTTAATTCAATTTTTTTATACAGCAGGTTCTTATTAGTTATCTATCTTATACATATTAGTGTATATATGTCAATCCCAATCTCCCAGTTCATCCCACCACCACCCACCCACCCCATCCCCACCTCCATGTTAACTAAACTTTAGACTTTATTCAAATTTCACAAACTTTTCCACCAAGTCCTTTTTCTTTTCCAGGATCTTATTCAGGATCGCACATTGATTTTACTTAATGCTTTTCCTTAGTCTCCTCCAGTCTGTAACAATTCCTTAGTCTGTCTTTCCTTTCATGGCCTTCACATTTTTGGAGTATTGATCAGTTATTTTTTTTAAATGTTCCTTGGGTGGAATTTGTCTGATGTTTTCTCATCCCTGGCATGAGTTTATGCCTTTTGCCAGGAAATAGCACAAAAACGATGAAGTATCCTTCTCAATGCAAGGAGTTCATGATGTTGATATGTCTTACTATTTGTGGGGTTTACCCTGCTCACTTAGTTAAGGTGGTGTCTGGGTTTCTCCACTGTAAATTCATTACCTTTCTCTTTGTAGTAGATAGATATCTTGGGGAAGATACTTTGAGACTATGCAAATCCTGATTGTCCTTCAAATTTCACTCAGTGATTTTAGTATCCTCCTGTGGATTTCATCTGCAACAAGGAAAAGTTGTCCATTTTCCTTATGTATGTATGTATTTATTTACGGGTATATATTTTATCTATGAGTTAAAATCCAGTATTATCAATTTTTATTTTGTTGCTCAAATGGTACCAGCTTTAGCAATTAGTAGCTCCTTGAGAGTGGCTTGCATGGTGTTTCAACAAATTTTCATTTTATTTTAAGCATCTTCCTTTTCTGGCACCACAAGATGTTCCAGGCTCACCCTGTATTATCCCTGCTCCAGCCTTGGAGCCAATCACTTCTCCAGGTGGTCCTGGTTCCTTTGATTAGAGAATGATGCTTAAAAACCAAAGATTGTCTTCCAGGTGTGCTAATTGCTACTAGGGTGTCACTGCTTTTAGGTCCGCTCCGCTGACAGAGCAAGGAAGTATATTTGTATGTTAACCCAATCACATAACACACTTCTAGGTGTCTATATCTATTAAACTGGAGATGTATTTTAAAATATGAGTTTATATTAATACTTCTGATTCTAATCCAGCACAAGTTTCATTTTAGCCAAATACTTCTTTTTGCACTAGTGAGAACACTGGATCTCATTTTCTACACTGTGTTTACTTCTTTGTTCGATTCTAAACACATAAGTAGTTTCAGAATTGTTAACCCATAACCCTGAGAAAAACACTTTTATTAGATTACAACCTTTATGTGTAGTTGCTTTTGTCTTTAGCCTTATAGTATCCAATCAAGATACTGTTTTCTACAGTTACTTAAGTTAATTTTTATCTTCCCCAATCCCTTTAGTGTTATTATGTAATAACTGTAACTTAATATAGTTTGGTTAATTTGTTAGTGCTTGTATTCCATTCTGAGTTCCCCCATCTCTACTGCTTTTAATAGTGTGACTATTTTGCTGGTACATGAAGCATTACTATAGTTTTAAGAGTCAGAGTTGTACAAAAAGACATACTCAGAAAACTGTCACTCCCTTCTCATCCCTGCAACTCTGTTCCCATTCCTTCCTTCTTTCCATTCCTTTCTAATCTCCACCCCCACAGATAACAAATCCCTTTCATTTTTGGTTTATTCTTCCTGTGTATCTTTTGCACAAATGAGAAAAAAAATGTATTTTCTTATATCTTCATCTTTCTCTTACAGAGGGTATCATACTATAGATACTCTTCTGCACTTGGCTTTTTCACTTAACCATCTATCCTGGAATTCATTCCTTAATAACTCATAGAGATCTTCCTCATTCATTTTTGTAGCTATATATTACCCAATTGTACATATGTGTTCTAGTTTATTCAATCGCTTTTACACATGGATATTAAAGTTTGCTCCAATATTTTACAGTTCCAAAGAGTGCTGCAATGAATAACCTTGAGTATGCACCATGCCCCAGCTTTATTTGTTGAATTAAATAAAAATAATAACAATTTCTGAAATACTATATAGCCCATTTTAAGAAGTTTTCCAGAAATGCTCTACACCAAAAGCCAAGATAGAGTGCCTCTTAAAAGAGTCTACAAAGGGGAGGCTGTCCCAACAGATAGAGATCTACAGGTGGTCTTCATAGCGTCACCATGGCTGCGATCATACAACACGCCTGCTATGAGGAAGCTGGAGAAGGGCTAATTTGTTTAGCAAAATAGCGCCTCTTCCCCAAACTCTATCTTGACTTTTCTACTGAAATAGAAAAGTCCAGAATCAAGTGCTTGATTCTGGAGCCCAGAATTTTGGAGTAAAAGGAACCAAGTATAAGCCTCACTTTCCTTTCAGCTTTTCCACAAATCTCATCATTACTCTTAGCACAGTTGCTATCGTGTTCAAAATGGAAATGTTTGCAGAGTGCTCCCCATTTTTTATGACTTGGGGTTTCTTAGAGGCTTAAAAACGCCAATAATAGGAAATTACTTTTTGTAGATCATTAGCGATTAACACACTTGAGTATATTTCATGGCTATAAAAGTTCAAGAAATGCATGAGGAAGACTCCTCCCACTCTGGCCATATGAGATTGTACTGTAAGAAATACATTTTACATGGTGGCACCCAGCACACCATCAAAAAGCTATGCAGAAAACTGAAACTACCTGCTTTGGGCTCTGATACTTTGTATTCTATTCTAGTTCATTAAAAAGGAAACATTTTGGCCTTGTACTACAAAATTGATTTTGCAACCTTTAATGATTGTTCAGACCTGCAGCCTGAAAAACACTGAGCAAATGCTTTGAAGTCAAACAGATGTGAGCTGGAATCCTGGATGCACCTCTTACCAGCAGTCTTCTTGGGAGAATTCAGAATTATCTGGGGCAAGACTTTGGAATCTATATTTAAAGCACAGGTACAACACACACATATACACACACACACATACAAACACCCTAGGTAGTTCTGATATAACTGACAGATCAATAGGAAAATAGAGCCTTTGGTGTTACTTCTATTTCAAATAAATGCTTGATGTAACAGTGGCAGATCCTCTACGTCTTCTTTAAGTCTGTCAAATAGTTTTATTTATAGAAAACACACTGCAACATAGGAGATGAGCATAGATGAGTTAAAAGATCCCAGAATTTGAAGAATTTAAGTACCTTCAAATCAGAAGTCGTTAGGAATACATAGAAAAAAGTGAGGTATTTGAGAGAAAATTCCAGTGTGCTCTGCAAATTTCAACTACGTAGGGGAGTGGTTTTGTTTGTCATTGCAAATGAGCATAACCCCACTGCCCTGGGATTAAAGTGCCCATAAAATCAATTTCTGTAGTAACCATCAAGTGGTCTGTTTTGGAGCCTAATCCCCTCCCTTTTTATTTTAATATATAACAAAGCGCATATTTATGTTTCACTAGCATGCACAAATTACATTGAAAATGTTTACATATTAAGGCTTTAAAAAATATTGATAATTTATATGTCTTTTATACCAGATTCAGCATTAATTTAAACAAGATTCTTTTGAGACATTTCATTAATGTTGAATCAAAGATCTGTATTCTTTTATTTCAGTAGTAGAGTCTGTTGTGTGTGGAGAAAATTGGGGGAATGGAACTAAAAATTAATGTGATGTCAAATGCCATGTTACAACCAGCTACACCCACAGAATTGTATCCTATCACCTTATAGCACTGGCCAAAATTTCAAGTCTTTCAAGTACATGGCTTGCAGTTTTTAAAGACAATTCCGTCCAGATCATTTTCCAGGAATAATTCCTTTAGTTGGGTTTTCATTGCCAACGTGTACACTTTGGTGATTGCCAATATGTACTACCTAAATAAAACCACTTTTTCAAAGACCTTGCAAAGGGTGTCTTCAGAGGACAAAAACTTAACGTGGATGGTCCCTCAAAGCTCTGCTTCCGAGCTGGAAATCTGAACTTGTCATTCGATCCTACACGGAACCTATTTTCTTTTTGATGGAGCTCCGGGAAGCATAGGACCATAATCTTCATGAGTGAAGCCATATTTGCTGTGTGGACTAGTCATTCATCAGTTATTCAGTGATAGCAGCGTCTGGGTTTCTCCAGTAAAGGGAATAGATATGTTATAATCTACAGTTTCCATTTAGTTCCCCTTATGATCAACGCTTGAATTCCAACTCTAAAGAGTATATTTCTATTTGATCCTGAAGCATATGCCAAAAGAACTCACCAAGACTGCAAACAAATTCTTCCAAGTGCGCCTCCGCTTCCAGTGACTTCATAGAAAACATCTGCGTGTTATTTGAAAATTAATCCTTTTCCATCTGTGTATCCTGTGTTTTGGACTCCCTTTCCTTCCCAAATATCCTGAATTCAAGGTATCTAAACTCATGGAGCAGTTGTCCAGAGGAGGAGAAGCAACCGCCCCTCCCCCAACCCCTGGGAGCAGACAGGAAAAGAATTATCCTAAGGAATTGTTTAAAAACCCAGACGCAACAGAAAGAAATAAAACCATGGCTGCATACGTTGATGTCCCAGGGGTCCAACATTTAACCTCATATGGGCAATAATTTGTTTAGCATTAAACTAAACCAGTTTGATGAACTCAAATGCCCTCGGCTCAATAGACAGGACTCTCAGAGGAGCCTGTGTTACTTCCCTCACTTAAGTGCAGATTTGTAATAAAAATCCTAATGCCAGTTACATGCTTTTTGGACCTATAAGAACCTAACCACTTGGAGAATCATATTTGAGAGGTCAGAAAACTCCACAGTTAAAGATCAGTTTATAATTTACGAAGAAAATAGAAAGTTTTGTTTCTCTGAGTTGAAATTTGACAAGCACGGCGGGAAATATTGCTGGGTTTTGGCATAAGGTTTTGTGCTTTCCTCATAATTTGAGACCTGAGTGAAGCCTGAGACTTCGGGGATCATTTTCTGGGAAAAATCGGGCAATTCAGTGCAGAGAATTTTGATATTTTTGGCATTTTTTGAGGTGTAACAAACACAACTCGGGATCCGAGAGGACACTCTGAGGCTGCCAGCGAGGCGGGCTGGACAGCGCACCAATCACGGCGCAGCTCCGCCCTATATAAACGGGCGGGCGCAGCGGCGCGGCCCGAGTCCCGGCCAGTGCCTCTGCTTCCGGCTCGAATTGCTTTCCCAACAATCGCCTTCAACATGTCCGAGACTGCGCCCGCCGCGCCTGCTGCACCGGCCCCTGCCGAGAAGACGCCGGTGAAAAAGAAGGCCCGTAAGGCTGCAGGTGCCGCAAAGCGCAAAGCGTCTGGGCCCCCGGTGTCCGAGCTCATCACCAAGGCTGTCGCCGCCTCCAAGGAGCGCAGCGGCGTGTCTCTGGCTGCGCTCAAGAAGGCGCTGGCGGCCGCGGGCTACGATGTAGAGAAGAATAACAGTCGGATCAAGCTGGGTCTCAAGAGCTTGGTGAGCAAGGGCACTCTGGTACAGACCAAGGGCACCGGCGCCTCGGGTTCTTTCAAGCTGAACAGGAAGGCGGCCACCGGGGAGGCTAAACCCAAAGCCAAGAAGGCGGGCGCGGCCAAGCCCAAGAAGCCCGCAGGAGGGGCTAAGAAGCCTAAGAAGGCGACGGGGGCGGCCACCCCCAAGAAGAGCGCCAAGAAGACCCCAAAGAAGGCGAAGAAGCCTGCCGCGGCTGCAGGAGCCAAAAAAGCAAAGAGTCCGAAAAAAGCGAAAGCAGCCAAGCCGAAGAAGGCGCCCAAGAGCCCAGCGAAAGCTAAGGCGGTGAAGCCCAAGGCGGCTAAACCAAAGACCGCCAAACCTAAGGCAGCCAAGCCAAAGAAGGCGGCAGCCAAGAAGAAATAGGAAGTTGCTTTGGCCTAAGGCTTAGAAGCTCGACACAACCCAAAGGCTCTTTTCAGAGCCACCCAAAGATATCAGGAAAAGAGCTGTTGGCACGTTTTAAGGGGGCGTGGTTAGGAAGTGAAAGGCTGCAAGTGAGGGGCGGCCCTCCCTGGGGTGGGTATTGATGGCCTCGGCTGTAGTACAATGTGACAGTCCCTTTAGGAAACTGGTAAGAGTGCGGTTAGACTGACCAGGGAACAGGCCTGAGCGTAAGCTTGTTTTAGGCTCCAGTGTGCGGAAAGTGGAGACCGCTGGTTGAAGTCCCCACTTCGCCCCAAAGGGCGCGGTAAGGGAGAGCACAAACTCAGGGGCAGGAAGTCTCCCCCCACCGTATCAGGCACTACGTTCTGTAGGTGTCTGGAGACCACTAAAGTGAAATTTAAATGTTTACCCCATTGCACGAAAGATGGTTTATCATTTAATGAGCCACTTGCATTTTCTTTGCTTAACAAGGGCATGCCGACAGGCAAAACTGGCAAGTTTGCGGGAAAAATACTCCCAAGTATTTTAAGCATCATGGTTAATAAGTAACAAAAATTATCAGGACTTCTGATAGAGGACGAAGAGGTTAAGAATTGTGAACTTTTAAGAGGGTGACCCAGCCCAGCACGTTAGGTGCAGGTAGTGGCTACTTATTGGTTAGCTGCCCAGGGCGCGGAGTAATGCGTTTACGAGCTTGTCCACCAGCTCCAGCTGGACATTAACACGGTGACTAGTTGCGGGGCCCGAACCAATGCACGAAGTTATCCAAAGGAACAGAGAAGTTGCTTTCAGTTACTAACTTAAAGCTAGCATGTTGTCATTTCCTTTCATCTGCTTGCTGTGAAATACACAGTGCAGGTGCTTCAAAAGGCTATTTGTACTAGCTATGGGTAGTCTAGTCTAGGCCCGTCTGATTGGGTCAAAGCACACTAACTAAACAGCCAATGAAAAGGTAGACCTGCTAGTATCATTTACATTCCTGTTTGTGACGCCACAATAAAATTAATCCAATCATGAGCGAAGTCTTACTAACCTAATTTGAATACCGCATCTATAAGTAAATGTGGCCTCAGCGGGGGCGACTCTTTTCCCAGGTGTTAGCGTTAGTGTTCGAATTTTTAACGCTACAATGCCTGAACCCACCAAGTCTGCTCCGGCCCCGAAGAAGGGCTCCAAGAAGGCGGTGACCAAGGCGCAGAAGAAGGATGGCAAGAAGCGCAAGCGCAGTCGCAAGGAGAGTTACTCCGTGTACGTGTACAAGGTGCTGAAGCAGGTCCACCCGGACACTGGCATCTCGTCCAAGGCTATGGGCATCATGAACTCGTTCGTCAACGACATCTTCGAGCGCATTGCGGGCGAGGCGTCGCGCCTGGCGCATTATAACAAGCGCTCGACCATCACTTCCAGAGAGATCCAGACGGCCGTGCGCCTGCTGCTGCCCGGGGAGCTGGCCAAGCACGCCGTGTCCGAGGGCACCAAGGCTGTCACCAAGTACACCAGCTCCAAGTAAACTTGCCAAGTAAGCGTCTTTACACCTAACCCCAAAGGCTCTTTTAAGAGCCACGCATGCTTTCAGCAGATGAGTTGTAATCCTTTCATTCCAAAGGCTATTTCCGGATGTCTCCTCCCAAATTTAAAGCTTCACTACTGTTCTTTAACTAATACAGCCGCGTAGAAAATACTTATGAGGAACTTAGAAAATAACAATATGTGCTGTTAATTGCGCGCTCACTATGGGCAAGTACACTTCCATAGAGCCATGATACCACATAACCAGATACCAATTTGCACTGAAAATGCCATTTCAAGTGTGCAGCTTTCCTCTTCGTGTGTAGGTCTCCAAGTTGATCCTAAGGTTGATCCGGAATTTGGCGATGACCCCTTACCCAGAGCACGAAGGCGCATGCTCTGACTTCATTCTGCTCGGAGCTTTTCCATTTCTTTCCTTTAAAAAAAAAAACAAAAAACATATAGACATGTATTTCTGGAAAAAATGCTGAAGGAAATGGGAGTTTTCACTGAAATGTTACACAGGTTTTTCTGGTTTTCTTGCTTTGTAATTGGTGCAGTTTCTGCTTGAAGCTCTGAGCAGCGGGTGGAGGAGGGAGAGGAGGAGCCTAGGCACCGAGGAAAGGGAAAGGGAAGCCTTCAAACCCTGTCAGCTACTGTATCTTCTTTCCCAGAAAGTCATATTTAATTTATAGTCCTTTGGGGGCAGCATTCAGCTTTAAAGTCCTCTGGGTCACAAGAGGGAAGCACAGTACTCAATCAGTTAAGGCGCCTGATTAAGGTCTGAGGCCCCCTTTTCAGCACCCTCTCCGCTTTACCGGATGTCCCAGAGCGTCAAGGACGGAGAGGAAGTAGAATGAGAAGGAAAGCCTTTTCTGGCCGGTAGGATAGGGGTAAAGGTTTTCACTGCTGAGGAATAGATTCTGTCGGGAAGATAAATCTCTGAAAAGAGGTCCAGAGGGGCTGGGAGGGAGTGGCCGGGAGGAGAGGAATCAATAGTCAGAGGTCACCAAGAAAATTGCCAGGTAGATGAGGCTGGGTTGGGAATGAAGTGCTGGTTGAGATGGAAAATTTAGGTGGAGGGTATTGTTGGCTGAGGGAGGAATGAATTTAGAAACTCTAGGGTTCTCACGATCTCCCAAAGAAACAGGGATTCATGGATTATGGGGATAGATTTTCCATAATATGGCAAGCTGGGTACTTGGATGAACGATTAAAATCCAGAATAATATATTTTTTAATTTATAAAAGCAAGGAAGAGCCACCACAAAACCAAGGAACTCTCGGTCCCAGGGGCTTGGCCCACGTGAAACCCCAAGCACCACAGCTGACTTCACCCAAACTTGCGCTTTGTTTTTTAGGGTGTTATGTGACGCCTGGCCATGGTGGGGAGCATGATAAGAACTCTTTCCCAGTGAAGCTGAGACACCAGACCAAAATGAACTAGAAATAAACACACAAACACACTCACCATAGATGATGGCAAACAGTCTGCCCTGAACGTTGGTGCTGAGTAGATTCCACTGCTGAGAATTCGGACTACAAGCCAGACTTCACACTTAGTTGTTTCAGCCTTAATACCACAAGGATTCAAAACACCCAGGCTGAGAATTTAATTTAGGGATATCCCAAACTGGTCTGGTGCCCCTGAGCACCTGGTAAAAGCAAATACAAATCCTCTCTGGAAGAAGAAGCTTCATTTTAGGCCTCAATAAATCTTCACAGATAAATATTCAAGAAAATGAGCAGCTTCACAACCGAAATTAACCAAACACACCATGAAATAAGGCACCATGACCAAAAGCAACAGACAATGAAAGCAAAGCACAAATTAACAGATACAGACTTCAAGTGCCTAACTTTAATATCTTAAAAAAAAAAATACGTGCGGGATTAAGAGGATACAAAGAATGATCACATAGATTTGAAAAAAAAAATAGAAATTCTAGAAATATATATACATTTATTTCTAGAATTTCTATTTGTTTTCTATAGAAACAAATGTTACTATTCTATAATTAATTATATATATAATTATATATAATATATATAAATATAATATAAACATAAATTTATATAATACATATAAAATTATATATATAACAAGTTATATATATACATATAAAATTATAACAGAACTGAAATTAAAAGCTTACTGGATGATTTTAATAGCCAATTAGACCCAGCTGAAGAATTTTCATGAATTATATAACCAGAACACAAGGAATTATCCAAAATGAAAAGAGACGAATGTAAAAGTGAGTTTAAGAGATCTGGAATTAGTAGTAAAATTGTCTGGCATGCATCTAATCATAGTAGCAGGACACGCAGAAAATGATGCAGTGTGAGATTCAAATGATCATGGCTGACAGTTTTTTAGAATTGATGGATTACTCATACAATGAAAAATAAATGTAGTGAAAAATGATACAACAGAAAGGGTTACTGTGTGACACTAGACTAAGCCATATACATTCTTACAACAAATATAATGCTGATTTTCATAGGGTTGTGCCTTCTAATCTGTGTGGACACGTGGCATCAGACCAAAGCACTGTTTGAAATTCTTGGGGGGAGAGGACTTGAGTGACTGATTATTTACATGCATTTTGTATCTAGCTAAAAATTCTGTTAACGCTAATCCATATTTAATGGGCTATCTTGATTTTCATTGCATATAATACTGTCATTAGCAAATAAAAAATCTTTGATATTCTTTCCAATAACAATTTCTCTTAATCTCTTTTATCTTGTTATTGTGTTAACTAAAATCACAAACTATTTCATATTAGACATGCTATTAGATGTCACCATCTTTTTTCTCCTTTTCATGGAAATAGCTTTGGTAGTTCATTATTTATAATAATACCTGTGTGTGTGAGCACGTGTGTGTGTGAGAGAGTAGTCTTTATTGTGCTAATGTAGTTTCCTTTTAATTCTTTTTTAAGAGTTTTTATTAGGAATGATTTATGAAGTTTTGTCATCTGATGAAATAATGTCCTTTTACTCCTTTAACCTTTTGCAGTAAAGTACATGTAGATTTTCTAATGTTAATCTATGCTTCCGGTCCTAGGACAAATCTTATTTGGTCATGTTGTATTATTATCTTAAATAATGGCTGGATAAATTTTAATATTTTACGTGGATTTTTAAAATCTCTACTATTCATATATAAAATCATTCTATGATTTTCTCTTTCGGGTTTACCTTCATCAGATTTTGTCCTTAAGGTTATGGTAGCTTCATAAACTTCACTGTAGGGTTCTCCTTTATTATTTACGGCTTTATAATAAATTATCCCCAAACTGAGCAGCTTAAATCAATGGACATTTATTATCTCATTCAGTTTCTGTGATCAGGAATCCAGAAGTGACTTAACTGGGTGGTTATGACTCAGGGTCTCTCAGGAGGTTGAAGTCAAGATGTAAGCATAGGCTGCAGTCATCTGGAGCATAGGCTCCAGACTGTAGCTGGAGGATTCCCTTCCAAGATGGCTTGAATGCCATCTTGGATGCCAGACAAGTTCCTGGTGGCTGGTGGCAGGAGGAACTCAGCTCCTTGCCACATGGACCTCTCTGGAGGGCTAAATGACGCTTCAAAACACGTTAGCTGTTATCCCACAGAAAGAGAAATTATATAGAGAAAGAGAGTGCCAGGAATGCCTTCTGCGACCTAGTTTCGAACATCACACACTGACGCTTCTGCCACTTTCTATTCTTTAGAAGCAAGTCACTTAAACCTAGCATATATTCAGAAGGGGAATTAGAATCCACTTTTGAGGTAAGGATATTTTAAAAATTTGTGGACATATTTTAAAACCACCACATCATTCTTTTTATGCTTTAAATACTTGAATGTAAAAAGTATTTGTGCTTTAAAGATTAGATAGAAATAAGTTGTAAAATCACCTGAACTTAATACCTTTATACTTGGTAGATTTTTAGGAATTCCAGCAACCTAGACTATAATAGACCACTATCCACAGAGACAAAGTCAATAAAACTCCCACATGATGTCCTGATGGACTTTTCTCTGAGATTGTAAAGGACAAAACAGCGGCCTCTGCAGTTAAATAAAACATTATCTCAGCACATAGCAGGTTTTTTTGTTTTTGTTTTTGTTTTTGTTTTTTGCGTTACGCGGGCCTCTCACTGTTGTGGCCTCTCCCGTTGCGGAGCGCAGGCTCCGGACGCGCAGGCTCAGCGGCCATGGCTCACGGGCCCAGCCGCTCCGCAGCATGTGGGATCCTCGCGGACCGGGGCACGAACCCATGTACCTTGCATCGGCAGGCAGACTCTCAACCACTGCGCCACCAGGGAAGCCCAGCAGGTACTTTTTAAAATATTGAATGAATTGAATTAATTCATCTGAGAAATCCTAAACTGCAATCAGGAAAGCAAATCTCTGGTGCACGATTGTTTTGGAATGTCCAACAAACTAATACGTTTGGTCTTTTTGAAAAAGAAAACAAATTAAAGAAGAAAATAAATATAGTAAAAAATTAAAATTTCAGAAAATACTGTGGTATATGAAAATAGGAGAAAATAGAGCTTCCCTGGTGGTGCAATGGTTGGGAGTCTGCCTGTTGGTTCAGGGGACACGGGTTCGAGCCCTGGTCCGGGAAGATCCCACATGCCAAGGAGCAACTAGGCCCATGCGCCACAACTGCTGAGTCTGCGCTCTACAGCCCGCAAGCCACAACTGCTGAAGCCCGCTCGCTTACAGCTGGTGCTCCGCAGTGGGAGAAGCCACCGCAATGAGAAGCCCGTGCACGGCAAGGAAGGCCCAACACAGCCAAAAATAAATAAATTAAAATAAAAAAGAAAATAGGAGAAAATAATAATATAGAAAATGGTAATGAAATTTAAAATTGTCAAGAAATTAAAGGTAACATAAAAATTTATTTAAAATATAGGAGTGAAGATTGATGATGAGGAAAAAAATACAATGTTTCAAGTGTAAGGTAACAGATTAAGAGTTAGCAGAAACTCCATAAAAGAAGAAACTAAAGTGAAGAATTCAGTTATGAAGGTTTATAAGGAGATTCTTTTATTTTTTTTTTTTTGTGGTACGCGGGCCTCTCACTGTTGCGGCCTCTCCCGTTGCGGAGCACAGGCTCCAGACGCGTAGGCCCAGAGGCCATGGCTCACGGACCTAGCCACTCCGCGTCATGTGGGATCCTCCCGGACAGGGGCACGAACCCGCGTCCCCTGCATCGGCAGGCGGACTCTCAACCACTGCACCACCAGGGAAGCCCTATAAGGAGATTCTTGATGTGTGTCAAAATGTCCTAGCAAATTGTGCCATGGCAGTAGTTAGCATATTTATTTATAAATCAATTTATTTAAGAGATAGTCATTGAATGTGTCTGGGCTAGTCACTGGCATGGGCACTGGAGATACAAAGAGAAATAAGGTTGTCCTTGACTTCCAGGAGCCCTCAGTTTTGTAAGATCGTCAAGGAAGCTTACAGTTAACTGCTTTCATTTCCCTTTATCTTTCACTAAGGCCCAAACAAGTGTTTATCACTCTTTGGAAGTCTGCAGTTAGGTGAATAGACTTAGGCTCATGTGGGAACTACCAAATGCATTAAATTAAGGCAAAAAAAATCATCCCAATATTTGAGTGATAAAAAAATATAGTAATATTAATACCATTGTGGGGCTTCCCTGGTGGCGCAGTGGATAAGACTCCACGCTCCCAATGCAGGGGGACTGGGTTCGATCTCTGGTCGGGGAACTAGGTCCCACATGCATGCCGCAACTAAGGAGCCAGCAAGTCACAACTAAGAAGCCCACCTGCCGCAACTAAGACCTGGTATAACCAAATAAATATTAAAAACATAAAAACTGCATATAAAAATAATAATAATACCATTTTGACATAGTGCAGAGCTAAGAACAGTCCATAAGGCTGCACTCACACATCTGACACCAACTTCAGGGTTCAGAGGTCTCTCCAAAACTACCCTCAGATTAGATAATTTATTAGAAGGACCCACAGAATTCACTAAAAGCGATTATACTCAAGGTTAGGGTTTATTATAGCAAAAGAACACAAAGCAAAATCAGCAAAGGGAAGAGACACATGGAGCAGAATCTAGGAGGGTTCCAAACTCAGAGCTTCCGGTAACCCTTTCCCAGTGGAGTCATGGAGTGTTAACAACACCTTCCTGCAACAATGTGTGACAACACAATATGTATCGCCAACTAGGGAAACTCACCCAAGCCTTGGTGTCCAGACTGGATCTTTAGTATCCAGTTCCTCTGGATCTAGTACAGATATGGCATGGCCCAAAGCACCCAACATAAATGATCCTATTACACTATCCAGTGTAGCTCAATGCCTCCTGGTAAACAAAGATAATTCTTATCATGCAGGACATTCCAAGGGCCTACAGATCACATTCCATCAAAGGGCAAAGGCCATACCTCCTTGGATAAGGTTAATTCTGAACAAAGTCATAAGAAAAACTATATTTTTACAATTTTGAATTAGATATCTATCGACTGTAACTTGAGTTCTACAACTATTTGCTTTTTATGATTCTCCTGTCACATATTTCTGCATACTTAGATCAACTGTGAACCCAGAAATTATAAGGAGATTTCTTTTGGAAGACTAATTTTTGTACTTTATTCAGATGAACAACTTCAGCAGTCTTCTCGATTCATACTCCCAACTTCCCTCCAAACCCTAGCTGCAGGAAAAGAAGACTTAGGAGAGGTAGAGTTCAACTTTGGGAAAAGTTTGGGGAAAGTTTCATGTTGGTGGCATGGGCATTTAGTGCTAAATAGAAGAAAAGGCTCCTTTACATGAAAAGCAGCATTTGAGTGGCTCTTCCTTTCATAAACCATGAAATTTGCCATCATGCACAGGGAACAGGAATTGTAGAAAACTAAAGGAGTTATGCTTTAGAGTTTTGTTTAAAAGTTTTAACAGTGAATGTTAAGCTGTATTTCATAAATACAAAACAATATCACAGCCAAATTATAGCTATTTTTTTTAGGAAAGAAGGAGGAGGAGCATGGGGAAAAGAAGAAAGGTGAGAGAAAATGAGGAGTCAGAAAAAGAATGGAAGAAGCAAACTACTACAAAAGGGAGGGAAAGGGCCTAGCGACCAAAGAGAAGCCTATAAAAGACTGTGATAGGAGAGAGGCAGTGGGTGGACAGGTTTAGTCATGTGTTTGGTATTTCAGCTGGGTATAATACCTGTTACATAACTGAAATATTCTCCACATTTCTTGGGTTTTAGGTTGAGTGGATTAATTAAAATGGTATCATATCTGGGAGACTTTCTCTGACCAGCAGATGTAAAATGATACCTCCCTATCCCATTTTTTACTTTCCTCCATTCATTCTTCTTTGTTATACTTAGTACTTATTGACATAAGTTTGTTTATTATTTGTTTCCCCTCCCCATTCTCAAGATTGTAAGCTCATTGGAGCAGGGTTAGTCTTTTTTGCTACTGACTCCCTAATGCCTTGACTGTTTCAGGCACAGTAGGCTCTCAGTAACCATTTGCAGCACGACATAATTAATTAATTAATTAAAATACACATACGTCTGGAACAACAGGAATAGAGGCCAGATCTGGTTGTTGAAATGGTTCAATTGAATGAGTGACTCTTCTGGGTCTCACTTTCTTCATCTATACAAGGAGAATAATAATAATGCATTACTTCTTAGAGTTATATTAAGGATTGAGATAATTTGTGTAAAGCTCTTAAAACAGTTATAGTCATTTCGTAAGCACTTAGCAGTTGTTAGCAATTGTTATATTTTCCTTAATCTCTGAATTCAAATGAAAATCAGAGTGACTAATTCTCTTCAGGTCAAAAACAAAAGGGAGAGAATATAAGCTTTTGAACTATTTGAATTCCACCCCAGTAAGGGTAGTTGGGAGACTTGAAACAAAGATTGCATTATTGAGAAATATCTCTTGACTGAGTATGGTTTGAGTCATTACCTGCTAATGCTAATAATGACTAAAGTGTAGGTAACACTGGAGTAGAGATTCCTCATAGCACATTATACAAGCGTATGTAAACAGAACCCTCTTCTTTGTATAGCAGATATTAATGTTGATGGCAAAATGGCACCTAATATATAAACCTTTCTTATTTCTTCTATCAGGGGAGAGACATGAGTGCAGAGAAGAAATGAATGCAAACAGTAACTGAAAATGAGAATCTGGCCGTAGAAGTTATGAAGTATGATGTCTGACCTGCCTGAGATGATAGATTAGTGTGTATGTCCCACCAAAATCCTACCCATCCTGATTTGCTGCACACTGACTATCAAAAGGAGATCACTACCCGAGTGGAAGAACCTAAACAAGGTGTTTTAGCTTTTTCATTTTATTTTTATTTACATAATAAAAACAGAACTTACTTCTGTTACAGGCGTAATTACTGGGAACTCATTATTTACCGTGGACTACCTTTGCTGGGGGAAGTCTGAAAGGATAGCAAAACATTTGTAAATGAGACGCTATATTTAATAAACCCTATGGATAATTGAAATTCCGCTTTCATTGTTGATTCAAATTCTTCTCCTAAGACCTTCCCTTTCTGGAAAGACAATTTATTTATATTTCAGTTTATTTTCTGGCATTAAGTTCTGAGTGGGTAAGACCTAAGAACTGTTTTGGCTTTGTTAACAATCTCGAAGGTAAAAACTTAGTTTAGCTAAGCTGACATTTAAGAGGTCACCTTCAACATCTGAATTAAGGGGAACACATTACTTCTCACCTGAAGGATTTTTTTTCTTTTTTTTTTTGGCCGCGCCTCGCGGCTTGTGGGATCTTAGTTCCCCAATCAGGGACTGAACGCGCGCCCTCGGCAGTGAAAGCTCGAAGCTCTAACCATTGGACTGCCAGGGAATTCCCTTAAGGGATTTTTAAAAACAGATTGCTGGGCCCCACCTCACAGTTTCTGTTTCACTAGACCTGGAGTAGGATCCAGTAATTTGCATTTCTAAATTATCAAGGTGGTGCTGATGCTGCTGGTCGGGGATCACACCTAGAGAACTGTGCTTTAAATTACGACTTGGGATGTCCCTGAAATGATACTACCAAATAGCCGCACAAAACTGAAAAATCACCTTGAGGTTTAAACTGGAAGCGTCAAGTCCTGAAAATGGGCACCTCCTTCCGGTACAGCCACGCAAGGGTGGAAAGAATAACGTGGCGTTCCACGCCCGGCCTCTGTCTGCTCCCGCCCGTAGCCACGCCCCCCCACGCAGGGTCTGTCCAAGGGCCGTCCCGCCTCGCCGCTCCACGCCGGCTCCCTCATTGGATCGTCTCACCCAACCTCACGTTCCCCGGCTTCTCCCAGAGCTCCACGTTAGGCATACGCCACGTTACGTCACTTCGGCTCCCCCCACCTCCCCGCCGCCCCGGGGGTCTCCAGTAAGCTGCAGGCTTCCGCCAGCCGCTTGCGCGCGCGAGATTTCGCGTGGCAGCCACCTGCTGATGCGCAGGCTTTGCCAACCCAGCTTTTCCCCGCTGGATACTGGAGAGTCCCATCAGTCCACGAGGACATGCGCAGATTAAAACGGGGAACCGAGTAGTTTGAAGACCGAGAAACAGGGCAGCACCCCTCCGGTAGTTTTTTTCTCCTCTCTCGACTTTTTCTGAGCTGACGCTTTCCCTCATAACTAATCCCCTGGACACCTTTCTTGCACCACCCCTATTTATTATCAACACATTTCTAGGGCACTTTGTGTGAGGATTAAGTGCGTGTATATGTATGTGTGTGTGAATTTTTATTACTTCCCACTTGAATAACTATATGTGTTTTAAATTTCATCTTGAGATGCACGAGGGGCCTACATTTATTAGGCTACGGTAGACACAGACCCTACGGCCCACAGTACTTTTAGAGGCTTACGAAAATATTTTAATTTCTTATAAAATCACAATTTAAAATAAACTTTTAGGTCGATGAAAACGTTCTGTGTAATACTAATATTTTAGTGTTTATATAATTTTAATAATGTTATTATTTTTCTTATAATTTTCACGGAGGAGAGGGCCCAGGAAGGCAAAAGTGCATAGGGCCCGCAAAACAGAATGCAGCCCTGGGTGCAGTTTGCACACAACCATCTCCAGTTACTTACTTAAAAATTTTTTTTCTTTTGGCATACACCTAGACACATTTCCAAGTGCTTTCCAGATGTTAACTCCTTTAATACTCGTAACACACCTATGAACTATTGTTATCCCAATTTTACCCAGATAGACTGAGTCACTTAGAGCTTAAAATAATTTATCCAATGTCATCTAATTAATAAATGGCAAAGGGGATTCTGACCCAAGCAGCTTAGCTCCAGGGTCCCTGCTCTAAACCATTGCACTAGAGACATTATCTCTTGGTAACTCTAAGCAATCCGAATCAATCATAGCAGGTAAATTTTAAAGCAAACTAGCCAGGCTACTTTGAGCCCTCTTCTTGCCTTTGCCTACAAAGATTTGAACAAATGCTTAATATAGTTTCTGACAGCTCAAGGTCTGATGATCCTAGCCTCTCTTATGTTCCCTGCCCCACTATTTCTTTTTTTTTCTTTTCTTTTTCATTTGTTTTATTTTGTTTCGGAGAATCATCTTCACTATTTTTGCTCATTAACATGAATTTTACAGTGCTTTACCAAAAATACAGTGCTGTTTTGTGGCAGAACATTGAATTTTTTGCTTATTTTTGAGTTTATGAACATTTTAGCATATTGAGTCATCACAAAACAAACATAGTATAGTGTATATCTCTTAATTTGAGTGAATCTTGTTTTGTATCCTCAAATCGCATTTCATAGTTTTATTCATACAGATGTGGAATATTTTTTCCTGGACTTAGAATCCTTAGAAAGTGTTGTTCTGTTGTAAATGATTTCTGGTTTTTCTGTTTCAATTCCAGAAAAGCCATAAATTTTTATGTGGTGCTCATGTAGCAACCAACGCTCTTAAGCTCTGTAAGGTCTAATTGTTTGTTCATAGATTTTCATGAATTTTTACAATGACATATTATTGTCAGACAATAAAGATAACATCTTTTCTTGTTGCATCCTTACCCTTCTTACTTGTACTTGTCTCATGATATTGGCCAGACCCTTGGTGCCATGTTGAATAGGAGTAGTACCACCAAACTTTTGTCTTTCTTTTGACTCTTTGGGAATCATTCTAAAATGATTACACTATTAAATGTTGTGCTCACTGTAGCTACTCCTTATGAAGTAAGTAGCTACTCCTTATTCTTCTAGTTTGGTAAAAATGTTTATAAAGGCGGAGTGTCATATTCTAACAAATATTTTCCCAGTATCTATGCAAATGATAACAGTTTTTCTCTATGAATTTCTTACACTGGCAGATTTGATGTTAAACTTTTCCTCCATCCTTGGAATAAACCCTATACGATATACTATTATTTTTTTTAATAATATGGTCTCTTGGTTTCCATTTGCTTGCATTTCAAATAGAGCTTTTTTTAAAAAAAAAATGAATTTCATGAGTAAAGTGAGACTATAATTTTCTCTTGTCTCTCTCTTCCTTTCTCCCTTTGTTCTAGGTCTGTGTTGTTCCTGTCCAGTTTAGGTAAGTGTACACAATTTCAAAAGAAAAAAAAGGAGAGCTATTTTTCTATTGAAATGGCTTCTGTAAAATAGGGATTATCAATTACTTAAATTCATTAATACCTGTAAAACCCAGTTATGCTTGCCATCATTTAGATTGAAGAGTGCAGGAGAGTTTTTTTTTAACTGCCTGTCATATATCCATAACCATAACTTGTTTATTCAACCCATTACTTAATTTTTTTCTTGAAAATTATCCTTTTCTGTTAAGTTTAATTTTTTGTAAAAGTTATTCATAGCATTCTTGTGGTTCTTTATATCTCTTTTTTGGTAGCTACTTTCCCTTTTCTATTCCTATGATTTATTCACACACACACTCTCTTCTTTTTTCCTCATTAGTTTTTCTAGATGTTTGTCTATTGTAAGGTTTTTCAAAGAACAAGCTTGTGGTTTATGGATTATCTCCATTTTTTTCTTTAATTTTTTTTTTTTTAAATTTCAGGTCAGGGTTGACATATTTAAAATAATATGTCAATGTGAAAATCCATGAGAATCTATAAACAATGAGATCTAATAAGAGCTCAAGAGGGTTGGTAAATATGTGCACCACATAAAAATTCATGACCTTTCTATATATTAGCAATGACCTATCTGGAATTGAAATAGAACATCATTCACAACAGTACAACACATTTTAAGAATTCTAAGGCTGATTCTTTCTACTTTGATTTATTTTCCTCTTCTTTTTTTAGCTTTTTTTGTTGAACACCTAGTTTGCATATCTTTAGTGTTTCTTGTTCCTTAATATATGCATATAATATTATATATTTCCCTTTTAGTACAGCTTCAGATACATCCAACAAATTTTATATGTATTATTCATATTTCTCTCATAATATTACATAATTTCCCTTATGATATTCTAATCCATGGTATTTAGAAGTGCACTTTTAGTTTCCAAGCATATGGGAAGATTGTTTTATTTTTACTATCTTAAAAAAAATATTTTCTATTGCTCTTTAATTAGCTGATAAAAGAGTGCCGTATATATGAAACTGTTTTTTTTGTATCCATTGTGACTTTTTCTAAACTCGGTGTTGAATTTTTGAAATTATTAAATGTGTGCTTTTAAAAATTGGACAATCTCTTTGTGTTAAGTGCAGGAATCACAGATAGATCAAGTTTGTTCATTGTGTTGTCCAAATCTTCTATAACCATACCTGTTTTTCTTTGCTTGTTATGTGAATTTATAAGAGTAGTATAGGAAAGCTTGCCCTACAGCTGTAAACTTGAAGTTCTCTTGCTGATTCTTCCAGTTGTTGCTTATATAGTTAGTGGTTGTGTGGTCAGGTGCATATAAGGTCCTGAATGTTACATCTTATCAGTGGATTTTTATTTTATCATTATGGAATATAGCTCTTTTTTATTTCTAGTTCTATTTTATTATTTTTTTAAATTTAGCCTGGTTTTGATGGTCCCTTGTTCCTTGATTGTATTATTACATTTTTATTTCTTCAAACTTCCAGTAAATAGTTATTTTATAGTCTCGGTAATTTCAATATCTGAAATTCACTGCCCGAGGGAAAGAGAGGGAATCTAAGGCTCTTCTTTGTTTGGATGCCTGACCCTCCACAGTGTCTGTTTTCCTCTTCGATTTGACAACATTTACTATAAGCTTATATTTGGACATTCCAAGTTCCTGGTAGAATGCCTGGCACGTAACAGATGCTAAATAATTACTGAATAAATAAATCACAATCAATCTGTGTACAGTATATCTAGAGAACTTGGGTTCACGATGCTTCCTTCCTGAAGGGGTTTATGTTTGCCTTCACAAGTCACTAGGAGGCGCTATGAACCTAGGTTACTAATTTCAGGAAGCTTTCACTGAAACACGGCGTGGGGGGCGGGGGGCGGAAGGTTGGGGAGCCTGAGGAATGTTAGGAAAAAATGTCAAATTCAGGGAGGACACCTCTCTGCAGAAAGGAAAGATGGTACTGAAAGAACTAAGAAGCCGGTTTCAGACAAAGATGATGATGATGGTGGTAATAATAAAAATAAAGTTAAAATAAATGTGTTAAACACCGGATTCTTAATTTTTAGTAAGTTTTTGGGTTTTTTGTTTGTTTTATCATTTCAGTAGTTAGACTGAAGAACTATTTCTGACCCTCTTTTGTGGCTAAACTGGATGTGATTTTCTCCTTTCCAATTCGAAGGTTTTTAGCCCTATAGGCTATGAAATTCTTTTCTTTCTTATCTCCCTTCAAGTGATGTAATTTTATTTCCCTGCCCTTTGTTTTTACGCTGTATTTCTGCATTTTCTGTACAGTGGGAAACACTGTACTCGGAATTGTCTGGATCACCGCCTATTTTTTTCTCAGTTCTTCCTTTCCCTCTCACTGGATTCAAATGTAAAGATACAGCTTTTCCAGGAGCTGTAAACGGGCCTTGCAAATCAGAGACTAACCGTGCCACGAGCTTTGCCTCCTTGATATTTCAAAACACTGGAGAGAGTTACTTTTAGTTTTTAAAATTAACAAACTATTCTGAATTGTTATAAACGAATCAGAACTCATTATAAAATAGGTTAACTAGATTAAAGAAGGTGGCCTGATTGCTGGAAAACTCTCAGGATATGACCAGTGAGACAGTATATCTGGAATGATTTATTTGCGTGCAGACCTCAAGACGAACGAATCAGCAATTGCATAACTAAGTCTTCATTTGCATAACGTTGTCTACAAATAAGCAGGATCCGGTGGAACGGACACCGTTTTCTTTTCTTTTAGAAGACATCGACGGTACAATGCCTGAACTAGTGAAGTCTCTGGCCCCAAAGAAGGGCTCCAAGAAGGCGGTGACCGAGGCCCAGGAAAGAGATGGGAAGAAGCGCAAGTGTAGCCGTAAGGAGAGCTACTCCGTGTACGTGTACAAGGTGCTGAATCAGGGCCACCCGGACCCTGGCATCTGGTGCAAGGCCATGGGCATCATGAACTCGTTCGGCAGTGACATCTTGGAGTGCATCGCGGGAGAAGCGTCGCGCCTGGCGCATTACAACAAACGCTCGCCCATCACTTCCAGGGAGATCCAGACGGCCATATGTCTGCTGCTGCCCGGGGAGCTGGCCAAGCACGCTGTGTCCGGGGGTACCAAGGCTGTCACCAAGTATACCAGCTCCAAGTAAATGTTTATAGCCACTTTTCAGAGCCATTTCACATTTTCACAATCAGAGCTGCGCACTAGCTTGTGCGGTTTCGTGAACTCTGGGATTTAAATTAGTGTCAGGGGTAACGCTTAGCAAAGTACTTAAAAAGCAAGAGATCCTCGGGTGGCAAATCTACTGTATATGGTTTCTGACAACTGTTCCGCGTACGAGGGTTCCCAACGGCTAAAGTGAACGTGCACTGAAACCACTTAGTGCTAACCCCAATCCTTGGAGCTCTAGGTCACCTTTATAAAATTTGTACAGGGTGCTCTCTGGGCTGGAATCGGTGCTTTGTGAAGCTCTGGTCTTGGTTTTATGTAAAGCGTCAGGCTGTAACGTCCAGGAGACCACAGTTATGTTTGAAAATCCCACCGTCTAAAACCGAAACTTTCTTAGTATGACTTTGGAGGGTCTTCCGCCTAGGTTCATTTGTGTGGATCTAATTCCTTTTCCTCACACTCCCTCACCCCCAGCCCTTTGCCTAGGGCTTTCAAGTCCTGGCTGAACATTTTATCTAAGATTCTTTACAAGCATATTATGTTGGGTGGCTGCAGCTCTCCAGTAAGGGGAAAATAGTTACTAACTTTTTATTTTCTTTTATCTCTTTCCTGGTCATTAGATTTTTGTTTGAAGAATGCAGTCTTCTCCCCACTCTCCTGACTCGTTTTACAAACTAGACCTGTAAAATTCACAGAATTCTGTATTCAGCCGCCTGTCTTCTCACTAGAGTAGCCGCATAATATAAAGATTGGCTCTGCCGCCTCCAGTCTGTCCTTTTCTGTCCCTGGTGAGCTCCCTTCTGAGCCCATCGCCCTATCCTGCCTCCATATCTCCTCCCTCTGCTCGGTTCAGAAACTGTGGAGGGATCCTGGCAAGGAAGAAGAGAGGGACCCAGGGTCGGCTCAGAACGCAGAGAGGAAGAACTGTGGAAGTAGAGATGCTTTTTAATGTTGTGAGCTGAACACTGAGGTTTGGAAGCCTACGGTTTGTGATCGCATAGTGCCCAAGAGATTAAACCCCGGGAAATAAAGAGCAGGGCTCTTCCCTCATTTGTCCGGAAACTGCAAGGTAGAGGTGTCCTTCAGGAAGTCAGGAGAAAAAGGTTCAGTTGAGGGTACTTCACCCATAAATGGAAATGCCAAATCCACCCAAGCATTGCTATCAGTGTCCTTGAGAAACACTCCTAGCCAGCCTCCAGGGCCAGTCTATCTGGTCTCCATTTTATTGTCTCAAAAAGGTAGATAATAAAATAAGCATGAAGATACAAACAAGTCTTTATTTTCAGGTTACTGAATTACAATTCGACTGTTTCTGATCACCTTGACTTTAGTCTGAGGTAATTCTGAAACTCCTCTGTTCATAGGGTATTTAGTTTCCATTCCAGAGTCACTATGAGGGCTTTTTGTTTTTTACCTGCTCACAGCCTTTGGATAATCACCCACCTCACAAAAATCAAAAATCTGTGCTATGGCCCCAAGCCCTGAAAAGTCTGGCCCTCACCTAACTCTCCAACCCAACCTCAGAGGATTCTTTTTCTCCCTTTTGTTTTGTGTTGCTTCATTGTTTTTTGGTTGTTTGTTTTTTTTCCAGACCTTTGCCGTTTTTCTCTGTCTGAAGTGCCCCTGATTCCACATCCATCCCCAGCACACACACAGTTTATTGATCAACAACTTCTATTTCAGCTTAATCATTATTATATCCTTGGGGAAGTTGGCCTCCATTGTTAAAGGCTCTCACAGTCACAAACAACTGGATGTATACCCAGCCCCCCAAATTAATCATTACTAAGAGGACATGGGACCCTTAGGATTGATGTGGTTGAATCAGAACCCCATTCCTGAGGCTAAGAGAGGGACTCTGCCTTCCCTGGAGCACAAGACAGGGAGGAAAGGGACACCTCAACAAAATTAAGTCCGTATTAGAAAGGAAGAGGGCAAATGACTTTGGGCAAGGCACTTGCACTGCCTGATGTAAGGGCCTTCTAGGCAGACAGAAGGAGCACCCACCAAGTTCATTCATATTCAAGTGCCAAGCACTAAATTATGTACTGAGGACATAAAGCACTTGAGTGTGCATCAGAATCACCCAGAGGGCTTGTTAAAGGACAGATTGCTGGTCCCATTCCCAAGTTTCTGGTTCATTAGCTCTGGGGGAGATCTGAGAACTCGGCTTACTAAAAAGTGCCCAGCAGATACAGTGCTGCTTGTTTGGTAGGAGGCTTTGAGAACATCTAATATATGGTGAAGAACAAGCTACCAAAGCCCCTGCCCACATGAGCTTCCTGGTGGCAAAGATAATTGTATGATAGAAGAAGGTGAAGGGTGTAGATTCCACATTGTTTGTAGACGCCAAACAATGAAGTTTAAATTTATTTTGCAGATGACAAAAATTTATAGAAAGCTTCTGAGCAGGGACTGACATAATTGGCTCCAGTGTTAGGAAGGTGTCTCTAATGGCAGTAGAGAAGCGATTCCATTCAGTATTTTGTCAAATATTGATTGGATTTCCTCTGTGAGAGGCCTTAGTTACAGTGGTGAGACAGACAGGCTGATCTTCTGGGGCTGATATCCAAGTGGGAGGAGAGAGATAATCAACACATTGATAACTCAGCAAGATATTTCAAATAGAAGTTCTGAGGCCTGTGAAATTATTTGAAATAAAACCAGGTGCTGTGATAGTAACTACGTGATCCTTTAGATAAGGGAACCCACAACCCAGGGAATAAAAGTTCCAGGCCAAGGCAGGGAGGAGTTTGTGCTCAAGGATTATAAGGTCTGTATGCTAGGAGATTAGTAACGTAAAGGGGTAAAAATGAGGCTGGGGATTAAACAGGTACCTGAACATGTTGGACCTTATAGGCCAAAAGAAGGCACCCAGATTCTTATTGTGTCATGGGAAACTCTTAGAATTTTTAATAACTCTAGCCACTATGGGGAGAATGAATTTTATGGGATCAAAAGTAGAAAGAAGCAGGGAATAAAATTGAAAGCTTATTGCAATAATTCTGGTGAAATTATTAGAATTAGATTTAGGAGGAGAAAGTCAAAAGGATTTATTGAAGAGTTAGGTTTTACGGGTGAAGAATCAAGTAGCTAACATTTGTTAGCCCTTTATATGTTTAGGAAACTATGCCAAGCTCTTTAGAAACATAAACTCACTTCATCTGCTCAACATACACATTATCTAGATGCAACTTTTCTCTCCTTTTAATTGAGCAAAGTGTGGGGCTGGTGTTAGACCCAAGGCAGTGTGGCCCCAGAGGTTCTGTGCTTATCTACTTCCCTGCGGTGCTAATAAAGTTCTTGGATAATCACGAATTCTAGGAGAGGATGAGTTTTCTGAGACTGGAACATGACAATTTTTAAATCCCCTTAGCCAACTCCATTGTAGATGTCAAGTGAGTAGTTGTATATGTGAGTCTGGAATTCAAAGGCAAATGGGGACTGGGCATAGAAATTTTTGAAAATTTTGGAAATAGATATTTTAATGTTGTCAGCATGGCATGAGATTGGAGATTACCCATGAAGGAAGAATAAAGAAGTGAGTTTATCCTGGAGGCATTCCAAACTTTAGAGAAAAAGAGACAGCAAAAGATTCTAAAGAGTGACAAGTGAGTTTGGGAGAAAATCAGGAGAGCGGAGTCAAAAAAGTCAAGAAAATAATGTATTTCACCAAGGAGGACATGACCAAGTTGGTGTGATGTCTAGAAGGCTAAGAACAAACATGAGCTTTGGATATAGTTAATAGAGATCCCTGGGAACTCGGGTTATGGGACTGAAGGGAGGCCCAGACACCATCTGGGACAACTTCAGTACTCAATTATTACTTCTTTCCTAGGAACAGCTCCACTCAGGGCTGAGCGCCATGTGTGGCCATTATGTTTTTACCCTCTGTCTTGGGCCATCATATTTGATCGATGCAGGCATCTGCCCAGCTGGATCAATCAGATTTGTTTTCCTAGAAATTAGGAAAAGGACCTGAAGAAAAAGACAGGACCGAGTATTCACTAATTGCTTAAGTGTGGTCAGCAAACTTAACTTTCAAGAGAATTTATTTTGTTTAAATAATCTGGAATTGTTTTTTTTTTTATGTTTACATCCAAAAGAACTTCCATTAATGCACTTGCAACTTCTTAAGAATATATGTAAACTATATTTGTCAAACATATGCATAAACACATAATCCTATGTTTTCACTCAGTCCTCACGAAAATATGAATTTTCGCCTACATTACAGATAAGGGAACAGTGGTTAGTAATTTACCACAGACCACAAAGATAGAAAATGGTAATTCAAGACTTCAAGTGTATGTCTTCATGGTTCAAAATGCCACTTTCTTTTTCTCTGGGCCTCTGAGAAATGTCATGAGAAATAAGAATGCTTATAATAGCAATAATAATAGCCCAAACATGGAGCATTAACCATGTGCCATGCACTGGCCAAAATGCTTAACAAATATTAATGTTATTCACCCCCAAACATGTAAGATAGGAACTACTGTTGTCTCCATTTATAAGGAAACAGAGGCATAGAGCGGTTGGTTAAGACACAGAGACAAAGAATAAGCATCCCTCTGTACAAGCTTTCCAGCTCCTTTTTATCTCTGAAAAGGGGTGTTGGGAATGTTTCTTGTAAACTTAATAAATGATTTATTCAATGACATAGACCCTGTTGAATATATTTATCAAGACTAGCAATGGAAGACAAGTTCAAAGGGCCTTAAGAAGAAATTCATGGACTTCCTCCTTAATCAGGCTAAAAAATAAACACCCCACTGTTTTTATTTACTTTTAAATCTCATGAGATACAGTCATTTTGGGCCTTCAGGCCTCTGAGAATCAAAATTTTTCCAAATGGGCTATCTTGCATTCTGAGTTATGAAGTGTTAAGACCTGATCTAACTTCTCGAGAGTATATAGGTCTATTGCACATAGTGAATAAATGGTGACAAATTTACTCTTTTTCAATGTGTTCTTTATGCATTTTGTCTGTCCTTTCCTCTCTAGCCTTAAATTTTGGATCTTTACACCTCAGACTCTAAAATCCTAGACTCCAAGCTGTTGACAGGAATCCATGGAGCTCTGGGTATTCCTTTTATGAGCCCCATGAAATATCTATCTATGTCCAATATGTGTACTTTTTACCAGTTTCTCAAAGTTTCTCCACATGTTAAGAACTACTCTCCTCGGGGAAACAGTACTCTGAAATATCCAGATTACAACTGCTTAAGACATATGGATAGCCCACCCACCCATCTCTAACGCGTAATGAGCCCCTATTCTGTGTTCTGTCTAGCATGGAACACAGTGGAAGAGATGTCAAGGAGAGAGGCTCACTTGGCATTAGCTTTCTTTGAAAGAGCTTTCTGGCCAATGGAAGGACAGTCATACTGGTAAATAAGTTGAGAAAACCGTATTTGGTATGATAAAGTTAAGTTGCTGTAACAGAGACTCAACAATAAGTTAGCTTAAAGACAGTCTTGTTCATGGAACAGATACACTATGATTAGTCCAGCTCTGTGGGGCAGCTCTGCCCCTCCTGATCAATCAGGAACTCTTGTTCCTTACAAGTCATTGTTCTGCCACCCCTAGAGCCCGATGGTCTCTGCTGGGTCAAACAAGATCAGCACCTTCATAGCTGGCAGGAAGAGGAAAGGTTTTAAAGCTTGGGAGTGTCTTCTACTTACACTCCAAAAAGAGCACTTAGTCACATACTCCCGTCTGCTCCTAGACGAGCCAGGAATGTTATCTCACACTAGGGAGCCACCTGTCCAGCTATACCTTATTATAATACAGCGAACCACTTTCACTGGAAAGAAATACCAGTTGTATCACAATAAACCAAGATGTTTTCACAGAATAAAGCCCATTCTGAGGACACCGAAGAATACAGTGGCATGCTGACAATCCTGAGACTGTAGAAAGTTTACAGTAGGTAAGAAAAGGAAATGGGTAACCCACTTGAGAACTGCTCATTTTGCCTCATTTCCTGATGTGTAGAGAACAAGGTGGGATTTGACTCAGGAAGACCTGGATTTGAAAGGCCCAGTCCAGCATTTATTGTCAGGATATGTGTTATGCAACTCTCTTCTATAATTTAAGGTAAATGTGCTTGTAATCAAGTCTAAGAATATTCAAGATAAAGAATCAACATAATAAGTTGGTAAACATAAACCTGTATATTTATATCAAGCATTTATATCAACCTTAATAAAAGCTGCTTTTGGATTGAGAAACCAGTAGCTTTGGACATGGGAAGACAGCTCAGAGAAGCAGAGACAAGTTGTCCTGTCTCCATTCCACTTTTAAACAAGAGGAAACCCCAAGTACTCTTTTATTTTACTTAAGTATAGTTGATTCACAATGTTAATTTCCAAGTACTCTTATTGTTTCTCTGGTAGAACTTGACTGCCTTCGACGTATTTTATGTTGATTGATCATCCCCCTTTCTCCTCCACCATTTATCATGTGATATCCAAGAAGGCAGACTGTTTTAATGTCTTCAGCCCACAGAAGTGTCTACTTCCATTTTCCATTTTCCTAGCATCAGGGTTTACCTCTTACCTCTTCTGTGATGTTCTCCACCTTTTTTCACTGACAGTTGTGCAAAATGTCACCTGCAGTTTACTGTCCTGTTGGTCTCCTAGCTACACTAAATACATTGAATATACAGTTCGACCTGAGGTTATGGACCAGCTTTAGCGACCTATCTGAAACATACAAAAAAAGAATCAGATAAAATCAACTTAAATTTACAGATTGTAAACAGTACTTGACCCAAACATCTTAACAAAATATTAGAACAGAAAGCGCAAAACTCTTTTGAGTGAAAGAATAGGTGGCCCTGAAAAGGGCCTTTGGTTTTAGTAGGCTCAGGGAGATAGCCAACAGGAGTTCAGCCACCAAAGCCATAAAGAGTGCGGCCCTGCCGCTTGAGCGCGTAGACCACGTCCATGGCGGTGACAGTCTTGCGCTTGGCGTGCTCGGTGTAGGTTACAGCGTCCCGGATCACGTTCTCCAAAAACACTTTCAACACCCCGCGGGTCTCCTCGTAGATAAGACCAGAGATACGCTTGACGCCACCACGTCGGGCTAAGCGACGGATAGCAGGCTTAGTGATGCCCTGGATGTTATCTCGCAGAACTTTGCGGTGGCGCTTGGCGCCGCCCTTCCCCAGCCCCTTTCCACCTTTACCACGCCCGGACATCCCGAAAGTACAGCGATCACACCCGCAGCGAAGTGATCTCCACAGCGCCACTTAGGAGTTTTATAGTAATGTGACGGACCTGTTTGAAAACTGCAAGAGCAGGGGCGGTGACCACATTCAGTTCCCACCCTTCGCTTATTTGTCCCTTGCTCAGAGCTGTGGCAACTATGAGGGGCGCCTGAAGCGACAGTGGATCCTGGAGTTGGGATTTAATAAATGCTCCTATATATGGATACGTGTGTTTGTGCATCCGTACAATACGGGCAGCCGTTGAGTGGGGCAACAGATCATACACTTTCCACAAAGAAGCCTGATACTTGTTCTTCAGTCTTTCCAAAATATGAAATAATCAGTTAGTACACGCTGTTGTCCCTTATAAAATGCTTTAAATACGGTTTTAAATAAATCATATCTTTATTGTTTAAGCTTCCATTAGTTTTGTCCATTTATGTTTGGTTAACTAAGCAGAGCTCTTTGGTATGCAGGCTGGATGACCCCACAGAGGGAACTAAAAATATAAGAAGGTTACACGTTTAAGAGGTCAAGTCAGGTTAAAAATCACTGAGCGCTACATTGGAGGTTTATAAATATGTATATCCCAAAGTGATAAAAAAAAAACCTTGTTCTGCTGTAAGTCTAAGATTTATGGTTTGATTATATATTTAATTGTGGACAGTTTGTATCTGGCATTGTATCTGTCACCGCATTCTATTTCTGCAACCAGGTGGCATTACAGTGTCCGGTCAAGCTCTGGAGACAGCCTTCTCTACATACTAGCTTGTGACCTTGGGCAGCTTACACTCAGTTTTTTTCCTTTTATCGATAAATGTATAAGAAAGTGTAAATTATAGAGCACTTGAATTTAAAAGAGATAATCCAAATTGCTTAAAATAATATCTGTAAATAAGTAATCACTCAGCATTATTTATTATGACATATTATAGTATCATGTCTGCTCCCAACTCCTCTATTCGAAATTCACTCCTCTAAAGTGAAAGTCTAAGTGATTATCTAATTTACTAAAACCTTCTTTTTGAGGACTCCTCAAAATAATAAATACCTAAAGATTTAATTTATGGTTAATTCCCTTGAGTTCCAGCTGACTTGGATAGCCTTGGCTTTTTCTCCATAGTCTGTGAAGAGGCCCAAGTTCGTCAAAGCAGTTCTATGAGTTTACACTGCACAGAAACAAATTCCAGAATGGCATTCTTAACCTGGGCTATATAGATGGATTCAGAGCATCTGGAAACTTTTATTGAGCAAAACCTCTCTCTTTGTCTTTACTTTATACTCCAAGTGAACCTTAGCATTTCCTCCACTTGTGAATGCAGGCAACAAACAGTGTGAGTGGCAGGACCTGTGCTATATTCATAACCATGTTGCAGTTGCAGCCGTCAATATCTCAATCTCTAATATTGTTTAAATATATTACACCTTCTAAACTGTAGTAATTCTTGGTCATATGGGTAATCTTGTTATTTAATGTATTAATAAAGAAACACATGTGAATACTTCACCAATTTGGATTTTTGATAAATTTGATAATGGTATTTTAATACAACTGTTTTCCTTTGTAATCCTATGTATATTATCTTAAGCACTGAAAAGCATTATTCTGGGAAGGGACTCATAAGGTTTATCAGAAATACAAAGAAGTCCATGGCTGCTTCAAAATAAACCTATGTTAAAGACAAACAGTCAGGCCTGAAGAAGAAAATCAAAGCACTTTCTACCATCAATCTATTTCCTACTGAACATAACGCGTAACCTATAATGTGTTTCCTATAAACCTATATCCTTGCTTAAATAAGAAATGTAGTAATGAATATAAATGCTTTTCAATTTCCCTCTCTTAAGGGAATTCTATATAAGTATGTGTGGGAGTATTGTGCATGTGTATATTCCTTAATTCTTTCACTTGGATACTTTGCCAAAGTTTATCTTCCAAAGCATGACAGAACCCTGAACCCAAGAGCTTGTGAACATTTTAATAACTGATCCTTCCTAATAAAGTCAATGTAAATAAGTGAATCTTTAAAGCCCCATAAAGCGGTCCAACTCTATTTTATGTACCTGGACCTCCTCTGCCATCAGCTAGTGCAACACAAGCCCAACTACCAGGTCAAGAGGATCATTGATTATTGCTTTTGCTATTTTCCTACACAAATTTTGAATGCTTAAAGCCCCCAAATTAACTAACCCTCTAAATAGTCACAAAAAGCTATGATAAAACTTTTCCAAGCTAAATAATGACTTTTCTTATCAGATATTGCTGTTATTCCAAGCAGCCTTTACCACAGTTCTTGTACAGAAATCCTGAAAGAGCCTGTGTTATTTCTCCTCATATGAAACAGATTTTCCAGGTAAATGTCAATGAGAATCAAGCAGTTGTTGAAGGCATGAAAAGCCAAGAATGTATAGAATGTCACTTGAGAGCAAGGATTGAAGACACAAAGAGAAGAATTTATATTTTAAAGGAAACTCAAAAAGTTGTCTCTCTGACCTGTGAATCTGTAGGACTGTCGGGATTTTGAAAAAGGCTGAGACCAAAGTGATAAAAACTGGAAGAAGGAACTGTAAAGGTCTCAAAGCTTGAGCTGTCCCGATTCATTGTAGAATATAACTGGTGTGGTTCCTCCACAGGAGATTTTTAATTTTTTGCTTTCCTGAATTGTAACAAACACAACTCCGAGACAGAGCTGAGACTAGGTTGCTTTCAAGCTGGAAGCCAGCTGGGAACCAATCAGCGCGCAGTGGCGCTGTGTGTATATATAACACACACATTGTCGGTCTGGGTACTCAACTCTGAGTCTTTAATTTTTTACTGTTAGGCATCCACACCAACAACCATGTCTGAATCCGTACCTGCTGCGCCTCCTGTTACTTCTGCGGAAAAGACGCCTGTGAAGAAGAAGGCTCGCAAGTCTGCTGGTGCCGTGAAGCGCAAGGCGTCCAGGCCCCCGGTATCCGAGCTCATCATCAAGGCTGTCGGCGATTCCAAGGAGCGCAGCGGCGTGTCCCTGGCTGCGCTCAAGAAGGCGCTGGCAGCTGGCGGCTACGACGTGGAGAAGAACAACAGTCGGATCAAGCTGGGTCTCAAGAGCCTGGTGAGTAAGGGCACCCTGGTGCAGACCAAGGGCACTGGCGCCTCGGGCTCTTTCAAGCTCAACAAGAAGTCGGCCACCGGGGAAGCCAAGCCCAAAGCCAAGAAAGCGAGCGCGACCAACCCCAAGAAGGCTACTGGGGCAAAGAAGCCCAAGAAGGCCACAGGCGCTGCCAGTCCGAAAAAAACCGCTAAGCAGACCCCGAAGGCAAAGAAACCATTAGCAGGTACCGGGGCCAAGAAAGTGGTCAAGAGCCCGAAAAAGGTGAAGACAGCCAAACCGAAGATGGCCAAGAGTCCAGCCAAGGCCAGAATTCATAAGCACAAGGTAGCCAAGCTTAAAGCGGTCAAGCCAAAAAAGGCGACCCCCAAAAAGAAGTAAGAAAAAAAGACTTGAGTACCTTAAAGGCTCTTTTCAGAGCCACCCAATTAATCTTAAAGAACTTGTAACACCATTTTTGCCAGAGGCGGAGGTTGGGAGGAGCGGTTTTATTTCCTCGCTCGGAATGGAGGTCCCAGTGCACAGGAATCTTTCACAGAAAAGGTGGTTGGCTCTGAAAAGAGCCTTTGGGTTTTTCAGAGGTTGGCACTTAATCAGGAGAAACAAATCTACGCCCTTTCCCCGCGGATGCGGCGGGCGAGCTGGATGTCCTTGGGCATGATGGTGACGCGCTTGGCGTGGATGGCACACAGGTTGGTGTCCTCGAAGAGCCCCACCAGGTAGGCCTCGCACGCCTCCTGCAGCGCCATCACGGCCGAGCTCTGGAAGCGCAGGTCGGTCTTGAAGTCCTGCGCGATCTCGCGCACCAGGCGCTGGAACGGCAGCTTGCGGATCAGCAGCTCCGTGGACTTCTGGTAGCGGCGGATCTCGCGCAGGGCCACCGTGCCGGGCCGGTAGCGGTGCGGCTTCTTCACGCCGCCCGTGGCCGGCGCGCTCTTGCGGGCCGCCTTGGTGGCCAGCTGCTTGCGCGGCGCCTTGCCGCCGGTGGACTTGCGAGCGGTCTGCTTAGTACGAGCCATGACAGATTTCCCGAAAGCAGCTAGCTGGTGGAAAAATGAAAGCCTGCCGCCCGCCCCCCCCCCCTCCCCACTGGTGTATATAAAGAGTTCCATTTTGATTGGACAAGGCGTTTGTTCCTTGCGGCTCGCAGTGAAGGTATTGGTAGCGAGGTTCACTCTCCGACATCAGCCTCCCTTTGAATGGCTGTTTTCAACCCTTTCTCACCTTTATCTTCCTTATGCTGTTTCTTTACAATGTTCTTTGGCTTTTCTCCGCAGAACTTAACACAAATTATTACAATGCTTAATCTTGTTTGCAGAATAAAATTTTTAAACTTTGGTACCTGAAACTGGCTTTCTTTTGATCAACTTTTTGAAAAGGCGTGTTGGATGTGATTGGCCAAGAGATTTTTATACCCTCATTCAAATGTAGTAAGGCTAATTTTACGTCAATTTCTTGTTTTCTCTTTTTAAACTCTTAGAGATTTTTTAAAATAACAAAATACTTTCCTTTTATTTCCCCTTTTATATTACAGGTAAGTCGTGTTTTGATAGATTATATTATCTATGAATTTCATTTCAGGATAGTAAAGGGGGTAGTTACAGTATTTGTTATAGAAAAAGAGTGTTGGGTCTGATAGAATTGAGAACCATCAGTTTAGGGGTCCAGAGATCATATGAAAGCAGAACTCCAGCCCCCTGAATACATCCTCCTCTACCTTCCCCATAAGACTTAACGTGGCTTGCCCTTAAGTCTTATGATGAGCCCTTGCACTGCATTCCAAGCTATCATGCACCAGTGTCAGTTTTCTGGCTTGGGGTAAGAGCTGTGGCCACAGGAGGAGAAAGGAATCTCTACTATTAAGATGCATTGTGTTTTAAAGATATATGTAAGTTTCAGATTTTACAAAAACTAAAGAATTTACACCTATATACCTTGTGATCTTATCATATGTCTGAGGGTTCTTTAGGGCCATATTCAAAAAGAGAGGGAGGGGAGACAGGAAAGGAGAAAGAAATAAAACTTTTTGGAAACTATTATTATTATTTACTATTAAGGAATCTACTTGTATGACTACCATGAATCCCAGACTGGGTTAACAGTGAAAAGTTCTGGAGGTAACTACACCCCACTCTGGACAGAAGACTGTGGTTATAACCACAGTCTTCTCTCTCTACCTCAAATGAAAGCCCAGCTGCATGAGTCCTCCATCTCTGAAGTCCTCTTCATGGAATATGCCAAAGCCAGCTGTGTGAGAGGTTTTATCAGAGGAGAGGACGACTTTGTCCTCCCAGAAGACAAACCCTCTGCTTTCTGAGGCAGGTAGCAACCCCAAACCTGCGCAGGCCTCAATTCTTGGAGATTTTCGGAATGCACTAAAACCATTAACTCTGATTAATTTCATGCTTGCTATTATATTAACAAATGTTTACTTTTCACTAACTATAACATTCTCACATAAAAACACCCCACTACGTTTCACAATGTCAACTGAGCTTCGTGTAAAATGGTGTTAAGAAAAACTCAAAACTTGTAAATGGTACACAAGTATGTCCCGTAAAGTCATGCTGAAGCCTTTGTTAAGCTCTGCCTAAACAAATTCTAGCTCCAGGCTATGCAGTATTGTATTCTTTTTTTTTTTTGTATTGGAAACAATTTATTAGGAAAAAATAATAATATGTTATTTTTTAATAACAATTTTGATAAATACAAATGTTGACAAATCAGAGTGTATAGAGAGCATATTGGTTATTTGGGAAATTGTATCATAAAATGGATGGGCTCCACAAATTCTTCGATGTACTTGAAAAAAAGAGTGCTAAGTCAGTTTGGGCTGTTGTCACAAAGTACCATAAACGGGACGGGGTGGGGGCTTGTAAACAACAGAAATGTATTTCTCAGTCCTGGAGGCTGGAAGTCTGAGATCTAGGTGCCGGGATCATCGCCTTCTGGTGAGGACTCTCTTCCGGGTTGCAGACTGTCAGCTTCTCATTGTGTCCGGCTGTTCGGCCACGTCCCAGTCGGGCAGCGGTAGGTCAGTGGAGCGGAGTCGGCCCGGGTCTCCTCCACCCTGAGGAGGGGTCGACCGGCACCGCGCACGAAGCGGCCCTGGCGGGAGGGAGACCAGGGGGGAGGGGGCCGGGGGGGAGCTTGACTCGCAGTCACTTCCGAGGGGACGCTGAGCCGCCAGAGCTGGGGGCTGACTGGCCTCGGCACTCCAACGAGGGGGTGGTCAGGAAGGAGGGACGCTGTCCCTGGGGCCCAGTATTTACAATTAATTAGGGCCCAGCTCAGTAGAGTTGAGACTGGCTATTAAAAACAAGTATGAATTACAGATCAACTTGTCCCATTAGGATGCAAAACAATTCGTTTCAACATGAGATAGTACTAAAGGAGTGGTTTAAATGATCTTGTAGGTCACCAACTAGATTTGCACCTAAACTTTCAACATTTACCAAGTATTATTGTACCATTATCTTTTTCTGAGGGTTAACAACTGAGGACTTGCAGCATTGATGGACTTAATTACTTGTGATACAAGGTCTCTCTATATCATTTTTACTTAGCTAAAGAGTACTTTGATTACTTTAAAGAGTATGATTAGTTTGCATTTCATAGAAAATACATCTTCTAAGTTGACAAAATGTGATGAGAATCATTTTCAACAACCTGCTTAAATAAGGAAAATGTAAGCCCTTTTAATGAATACGTGGGTGGCTCTGAAAAGAGCCTTTGGTTAAGATTGATTCCTCAAAGATCAAGAATTTGAATACTGCAGTTTACTTGCCCTTGGCCTTGTGGTGGCTCTCAGTCTTCTTAGGCAGCAGCACGGCCTGGATGTTGGGCAGGACGCCGCCCTGAGCGATTGTGACTTTGCCCAGCAGCTTGTTGAGCTCCTCGTCGTTGCGGATAGCCAGCTGCAAATGACGCGGAATGATACGCGTCTTCTTGTTGTCGCGGGCCGCGTTGCCCGCCAGCTCCAAGATCTCGGCCGTCAGGTACTCCAGCACCGCCGCCAGGTACACCGGCGCGCCGGCCCCAACCCGCTCGGCGTAGTTGCCCTTCCGGAGCAGGCGGTGCACTCGGCCCACAGGAAACTGAAGCCCAGCCCGAGAAGAACGGGTCTTAGCCTTGGCACGAGCCTTCCCACCTTGTTTTCCGCGTCCCGACATCTCATCAATCTAATCAAGGTGCTTAGCGAAGAGGCAGCGAAACGAAAGTACAAATTTTCTTAACAAATGACAAGCAATTATACTTCGAAGCCGAATTGTAAATTACACTGTTTGATTGGTTAAAAGGGTCTAAAAGCTTGCAACCAATTAAAAAGGAGACCTGCTGTCACATAATTTGCATACCACCGAACAACGTGGAAAATTTATCCAATCAAAGTGTAAAGTTTTAAATACCATATTTGCATACTAGCTCTACAAATATCCTGAGTGATGTTTCCACGACATACTTTTTTCTTTAACTTGGCGTGGTGTTCATCATGCCTGAGCCGGCCAAGTCCGTTCCCGCCCCGAAGAAGGGCTCCAAGAAAGCGGTGACCAAAGCCCAGAAGAAAGATGGCAAGAAGCGCAAGCGCAGCCGCAAGGAGAGCTATTCTGTGTACGTGTACAAGGTCCTGAAGCAGGTCCACCCGGACACTGGCATCTCGTCCAAGGCCATGGGCATCATGAACTCCTTCGTCAATGACATCTTCGAGCGCATCGCGGGCGAGGCGTCGCGCCTGGCACATTACAACAAGCGCTCGACCATCACGTCCAGGGAGATCCAGACGGCCGTGCGCCTGCTGCTGCCTGGGGAACTGGCCAAGCACGCTGTGTCCGAGGGCACCAAGGCTGTCACCAAGTACACCAGCTCCAAGTGACCCCAGCAAAAAAGTACTTTTCGTGGTTAGTCTCAAAGGCTCTTTTAAGAGCCACCCACTTATTCAGCACAGGAGCTGTAATGATTCGTCTCTAATATAACTGCGATAATAGACTCAATTTTATTTTATTGAAACGAACTTGTTGCTGTATGGTGCTAACACTTGAAGTACACAACATATTGTTATGAAAATAAAATACGTATTTACTTTCTAGGTAAATGGTAGCATAGCCTTCTCTTGCTTTCACTGCTCACTTTGGCTACAAGGCTAGCCAAGTGTGGACATGTAAGTATCATTTGAACTGCTGTGATGTGTGCTCTACGAACTGACTCCATGAAAAGTGAAGAGGATTTAAGAAATCCTCTTAAATCCTTGGCAATGCCTTGTTAGTGCTGTGTGGTAGTAAGAAGAATATGTACATGCATTCGATTTGAATAAAGCAATATAACTTTTCTATATTAATGGGAGCAGCACAGTTAATGTGCATAGAAATTGAAAAACGAATATCACTGGTTCCAGGATAGGACCATTTAATTGTAAGGAGAATTTTTCCAAGGTTTGGCTAATGAAAAGTTAGACCATTGCCGAACCCACTGGCAGTTCAGGAAAGAAATACCCTTAAAATATTTTGGTGCCTCCTCTCCCTTAAATTATGTTATTTTCTCTCAGGGTGGATGTTATGATTATTTTGCCCTAGTCAGAAAAAAAAAAAAAAACTTTTTAAGTGAAAATAATTCATACCACCACTCTTCTGTCCTATGTATACATGTATAACAGTCATGAAAATTGACACTTTTCTCATAATCACAAACCTGCTTAAGTTTATAAACTGCCATAAATGGCATCCCATATGGAACAAACACTAAGAATGTATTTACAACATATTTTTAGGATTTCAACCCTGGTAGGAAAAAAGTACTAATAGTCTATAATCTTGTGTAATTAATGACTACCAGGCTTCCCATTCCCAACACAACACATAAATATGCACACACAACATACACCAAAAAATGCATAAACATTCAAACAATACATATAAAGAACAAAAGCAAAATTTTTTTTAATGTAAAAGAATGAAAACTAAAAATAACAGATAGCTGTATTTGAGAGTTTATGTTATTGTAAACAGTCAATTTTTGCTTTCTGTAGTCCCAGAGGTAAACATCTACACCAGGTCTATATGAGCTTTAGGGGAGTATATGAAATCCAAGAAATTACATACAGTAGTGTGTCCATATGTTCGTCTTCCCACCAGAACAGAAAGTATATAGCATTCTGTTAAATTCTAAAAATACTGTCACTTACTGTGCTAGGCAGAATGATGCCTCCTCACTTACGTCTACCTTTTAATCTCTGGAGTCTGTGAATATGTTAGGATACATAACAAATGGGAATTAAGGTGGCAGATGGCACTGACTTTAAATAGGATTATCCTAGGGAATTCCCTGGAGGTCCAGCGGTTAGGGCTCCGTGCTTCCACTGCAGGGGACATGGGTTCAATCCCTGTTCGGGGAATTAAGATCCCGCTTGCTGTGCTTGGCCAAATAAATAAATAGGATTATCCTAGATAATCCAAGTGAACCCAATATAATTACAAGGGCCCTTAACAATGGAAGAGGGAATCAGAGTACAGAACCAGAGATGGCAATGTGAGAAGAATTTGGCCAGATACTGCTGGCTTTCAAATCTAGCAAAGGGCTGTGAGCCAAGGAACAAGGAAAATCCTCCAGGAGCTGGAAAAGACAAGAAACAGATTTCCACTGTTAGGCCCAAGCCCTCTGACACCATTTTAGTTCAATGAAATTCATTTCAGAATATTGATCTAAAGAACCATAAAATTATAAATGTATTGTTGTAAGCCACTGTATTTGTGATAATTTGTCAGACCACCAATTGAAAAGGCACTCACGTTTAAGAATTATTGATTAATGTATTCAATGAGCTTTAAGATTATAACTACATGTTTAAATTTAAGTGTAAATATAAAAATGACTATAGATAGAAGTAAATTCTTCCTAAAGTTGCAGGCTCACGTAATTTTGACATTGTTTTAATTTTAACAGAGGCAATTTACATTTCATTTTTTTTCTTCAATTTTTATTTACTTTTGGCTGCGTTGGGTCTTCGCTGCCGCGGGCTGCGCGTGGGCTTTCTCTAGTTGCGGTGATCGGCGGCTACGCTTTGTTGCTGTGCGCAGGCTTCTCATTGCGGTGGCTTCTCTTGTTGCAGAGCACGTAGGTTTCGGTAGTTGTGGCTCACAGGCTCTAGAGTTCAGGCTCAGGCTCAGTAGTTGTGGTGCACGGGCTTGGTTCCTCCGTGTAGGATCTTACAGGACCGGGGCTCAAACCCGTGTCTCCTGCAGTGAGAGGCGGATTCTTAACCACTGAGCCACCAGGGAAGTCCCCTATGTTTCCTTTTCTGCTAGTGTGTCTAGGGTGTCTGATTTTAACAGCAGAAAGTCTAATTTCATGGAGCAGCACTTTGTTCATTCATTATAGTATTATTACTTCTGATTATAATACTATATCAAAAAGCTTGTCTTCATTATATGTAAAGTGTAGGAGTAATGGGAAAATTTACCTCATAATGTCCATAAATAACTTCATGAATTGCAAATCAAATTGTAATGTTTGCTTTCATTGTAACTACTGCATTTGTTTAAACAAAACTGTCAATGAGTTGGTTTCAGTAATATCCTTTTTTGTTTGTTTTTTGTTTTGTTTTTGGCCATACCACGCGGCTGGGATCTTTATTCCCCGACCAGGGATTGAACCAGGGGTCAAGGCAGTTGGAAGCGCAGATACCTAACCATTGGACAGCCTGGGAACTCCTATAACATTCTCTCTTTCTCTCTTTTTTTTTTAATAAATTTATTTTATTTTATTTTAGGCTGCTTTGGGTCTTCACCGCTGCACGCGGGCTTTCCTCTGGTTGTGGCGAGGGGGACTACTCCTCGTTGCGGTGCGCGGGCCTCTTATTGTGGTGGATTTTCTTGTTGCAGAGCACGGGCTCTAGTAGTTGTGACACACGGGCTCAGTAGTTGTGGCTCGCGGGCTCTAGAGCGCAGGCTCAGTAGTTGTGGCACACTGGCTTAGTTGCTCCGAGGCATGTGAGATCTTCCCGGACCAGGGCTCTAACCCGTGTCCCCTGCATTTGGCAGGCGGATTTCCTAACCACTGCGCCACCAGGGAAGCCCAACATTCTCATTTTTAAAGTAAGGAACAGAGGCTGTGAGAACCAAAGATTATTTACCTCACAGAACTCAAATTCCAACCAATGTCTTCTGATGCAATTTTCTTTCCAAGATGTCTAGATAGAATTCAAAAACACTTCACATGTACAGATTTCTCAACACTTTAGGAAGTATTTTTGCATGAATTACCTCCTCTCCCAGCACTAGGCTACATCCCTTTTCTTGGTGCATTTCTTATTCATCTTCCATGATGTGTCCCGAATCAGCCAAAAAGGAAGACATGGTTAGGCTAGGAGATGAAGCTCCAGATCCCAAAGGCCTGCATGCTGCACTCCAATTCGACTCACTTCTTTTGTCTCCTGGAATAAATGCTTTACCTACCTGGGAGAACTGATGGTGATAAACCCTTCCGAGATCGAGAGTAAGGAAAATGTATGATCATCAAAGCGCCTGATGCTGAAACGAAGTGAAATAAGCAAAAGGTTTAAATCAAGGGAGACTTGACACCATGCATTAGTCAGTGTCCAGTCAGGAAAAGAGAAAACTCTTGGTTATTTTTACAAAGATAATTTAATAAAAGTTGCACAGGTTTTGGAAGGAAGAGCAAAACCCGAGCTGAAGTGTTTCAGAAACAACTGAAACTGGACCACATATAGGGGTCTGGGCACACTGGAGAAGGCAGAGGTACTAGAATGTCGAAGTTTGGAGCGCAGGCCGGGTGGAGGTAAGGCTCTGAATTCTGTGGGGTGGGGCATGATTCTGGGAGTGTAGGATCCATTCTGGGGAAAGGGCCGGAGGAAGCTGGGAACTGAAACCAATTTCTGGTACCAGAGCGCCAAACCATGGCTAGGATGGAAGAGTTCCCTTTCCTAATCCCACCCAGCCAGCCTCCCTTGCTTTTGTAATTGAAAATAAGGCGTGGTGGACAGAAACTCTTGGCTTTTTTAGTATAGAATATAGGAAGGTTTGGGAAAGAGGTGAAACAGAAAGAGCCTGTTTTAATAAGCACAAGGGCTTCTCTATACATAGGCTTATTTGCAGAAACAACTCAGCCAACTCCAGTATCTAACTGCGTTTAGATAACATGCCCAAAACGGGCAACAAGAGGGAATCACAACTCCTCACATGAAAATGTAAGTGGCTCTGAAAAGAGCCTTTGTTTTAACAGAACCTATAAACATTTACTTGGAGCTGGTGTACTTGGTGACAGCCTTGGTGCCCTCAGACACAGCGTGCTTGGCCAGCTCCCCGGGCAGCAGCAGGCGCACGGCCGTCTGGATCTCCCTGGACGTGATGGTCGAGCGCTTGTTATAATGCGCCAGGCGCGACGCCTCGCCCGCAATGCGCTCGAAGATATCATTGACAAACGAATTCATGATGCCCATAGCCTTGGACGAGATGCCGGTGTCCGGGTGGACCTGCTTCAGCACCTTGTACACATACACGGAATAGCTCTCCTTGCGGCTGCGCTTGCGCTTTTTACCATCTTTCTTCTGGGCTTTGGTCACCGCCTTCTTGGAACCCTTCTTCGGGGCAAGAGCAGACTTAGCCGGTTCAGGCATACTTGCTGAATTCGAAACGCACACTAAACTATGATTCTCATATGCCTGCTTACGTCTAGAATCTCGTCTTTTATAGGCGACCTATGCAAATAAGGTGTTCAAGAATATCCAGAACTGATTTGATGATGCATTAGTGACGAGATTATGTAAATTTACTTGCATCACATCTCCTTTCTTATTGGTTGTCTAGTAAAAAGACGATTTTAACCAATCCTACCTCGCATTTGACAATTCCACCCAGCTCTATAACTGTCATCTTGTTGCTCCTTATAGAACATTTCTTTTTCGCTTTTCTTGTGGCTGTTTTTCCCCTGCTAGCACTCAGTATGTCTGGGCGCGGGAAGCAAGGAGGCAAAGCTCGCGCCAAGGCTAAGACCCGGTCATCGCGAGCCGGGCTCCAGTTCCCCGTGGGCCGAGTGCACCGCCTGCTCCGAAAGGGCAACTACTCCGAGCGGGTCGGTGCCGGGGCCCCCGTGTACCTGGCGGCGGTGCTGGAGTACCTGACGGCTGAGATCCTGGAGCTGGCGGGCAACGCGGCCCGCGACAACAAGAAGACGCGTATCATCCCGCGCCACCTGCAGCTGGCCATCCGTAACGACGAGGAGCTCAACAAGCTCCTGGGTCGCGTGACCATCGCTCAGGGTGGCGTCCTGCCCAACATCCAGGCTGTGCTGCTGCCTAAGAAGACCGAGAGCCACCACAAGGCCAAGGGCAAGTGAAACGTTTAGCAGTTCTTCAGTCCCCGTTCCGAAAATCAAAGGCTCTTTTCAGAGCCACCCACTTTTCTCCCGGAAAGCGCTGAAATACTTCGTAAGTGTAGGAGACGTGTTCAAGTCTTAATGTGTAGTTCCGCTTAAATTTTGTTTATATTAGCCTGTTAAAAGTTTTGCGTTTAAAAATGGGAAACCGCTCCCAGGTTTGCCACAAAGGGGCTAAATTGTTAGCCGGTGGTCACATTTTATGCACCATAAATTCTTAGAAAAATTCATGAAACTAGCTTTCTGCCATCCCTTTAACTGAAAAGATGCAATACGTTTGTAAACTCACATAAAGAACCCCTGTTAAGGGAATTCTGTGTCAGGACATAAATTAGGGCTTTTGGGCTATGGATAACGTATATGTATGTAAATGACGATACAGACCATAATGCCTCATGTTGAGTGGTGGTTTTGCATGTACATGAGGTATATACATTATTACATATAATGTATAGTCAAAGGAACTTGGTGTCAAAAAGTAAAATATGAATAAAATAAATGCGAGAACAAAGGAGGAATAGCTGACCAATGACATGTCTGGGCGGGCTTTTTAAATTCTGCGAAAGACGGCATTAGTGAGAATTGTTTAGTCCATTGGTCGTTTCACCTTTCAGAAAAATTCAATGAATGAAGTACACTAAAATCTCTACTAAGTGAAACCTTACTGTTATGGACTCAATTCAAAGTGGACTATAAACTTGAAATAAAATTTCGATAACTCATTTAATCTTTAATGGAATCCAACCATATTTCTCCTAAAGGCAACGTGAGAACCAATTAGATCACAGCGCGGGAACTAGGAATCAGACTGATCTGCACCCATACGTAAGGTCAGAACCGGCACCAGCACCATACTACTCTCCAGCCAGTTTCCTTTTCTGTTATCGTCATGGCTCGTACAAAGCAGACCGCTCGCAAGTCCACCGGCGGCAAGGCGCCGCGCAAGCAGCTGGCCACCAAGGCGGCCCGCAAGAGCGCGCCGGCCACGGGCGGCGTGAAGAAGCCGCACCGCTACCGGCCCGGCACGGTGGCCCTGCGCGAGATCCGCCGCTACCAGAAGTCCACGGAGCTGCTGATCCGCAAGCTGCCGTTCCAGCGCCTGGTGCGCGAGATCGCGCAGGACTTCAAGACCGACCTGCGTTTCCAGAGCTCGGCCGTGATGGCGCTGCAGGAGGCGTGCGAGGCCTACCTGGTGGGGCTCTTCGAGGACACCAACCTGTGTGCCATCCACGCCAAGCGCGTCACCATCATGCCCAAGGACATCCAGCTCGCCCGCCGCATCCGCGGGGAGAGGGTGTAACCCAAGGCTATTGCTTACTCTGAACTGAAAAAGGCTCTTTTTAGAGCCACCTACTTTGTCGATAAGAACTGTTGTAATGCTTTCCCTTATTTTACCTCCCTAGGCAGTTAATAAACAATAATCGGAAGAAAAACCTCTCTCTACTCTGTTTTTTCTGCCTTATAGCAGGATATAAATTCCGTACTGGAGACTGCACAGGCTGTTCAGACCAGAGAGGCTCCAGAGGACTCTTAACAAACCTCGCTGTTAGTTTCCTCCCATATATTTACCTTCTCACAGTTTGCTGCCCTTGGAAGCCTAAAAGTGCTTTTCTTTGTCCTGTCATTTCTCTACAAATCTAGTCTTTGTTGAAGATGCTATGTAAGCTGGAGTTATAAGCCACCTCTTTGGATTACTTTCTCCTGGGTCTCTGCTACTGTATGTATGAAATATACATGTTAATAAACCTGTTTATTTTTCCTTTGCTAATCTGTGTTTTGTTACAGAGGTCCCAGCTGAGAACCAAGATGTACAGCGGGAAAGTTCTCGACCACCACCACCACCACCCGCCCTCCACCTGGGAAAAAGAAAGAAGATTGAATTAAAATTAAACGAGCAAATTTAGATGGAAAAGGTTTATTGTCCTATGGTACAATTATATTATTACCTTTACGTTATCTTTTCTACTGGAAAGAGATAATAGTCACCTCTAATAGACAAAAATCATTGAAATTTTCAATATCCTATAAATTAGCATCTAAATTCATAGACACTTCACAGATATTAGACCCTAATAAATAGTTAAACAGAAACGCCTTCCCGTAGGATAACTAAAAAACACTTGGGCAGGCTTTTTAGACTATGTTCTCATATGACAACAAAACGAAATTCAGTCGGTTCCTTTACCTTAATTTGACATTTATATATATCTTAACAGATTTCAGAGCTGTTCTGTAGTGACCAGAGCCTTTCCTTTATCCTCAGTGAGCCCATGCCTTATAAATTTCCACCTTCCTGTATGCTGCTTACCAATGATGATTTCATGACGTTGAGTGACAAGTGTTCAATTTCCCGGGCCTAAAGGAAAAGGTGAAAAGAACCAGCACCTCTCCTAAATCCCCCTTTATTTCCAATCAAGTCACAATTACATGATATCTCACTTACATTTTTTTTCAAAAAGGCAAAATCATGATTCAGCAAATAAAAATGAGTATGTGTCAAAGAGCTTCACTTTTCAATAAATGAACCAACAGGTAAATGTTCAAAGAACATTTAAGAAATTAGGATATTTACAGAAAATGTAACAAAGAAATGTTAGAACAGGATTGTTAAATTAGTTTAAAATAAAATTATTTTATTATCCAATAGGTCATAAATCTTCCACTGGATAGAAATTATTTGCCTCTCTGCCAGTTAAGTAACTTCACTAATTTTGGTACCTACAGTCAATAGTAAATAGTTAGATGGTCTAAGTACATTTTTATAGAATCCTTGTGTGGCCTATAACCTTGTATATTGGACATCATGGCCCCTCCTTTTTTCCTTACTTCCAAGTCTCAGACAATTTTTCTCACACTGAGGCAGGAGATAGATGGGCCCCAGGCTGAGCAGCTGGAGTTTGTCGCCTGTGGCCAGATACTCCAAGACAAAGATAATAGCTAGAGCAGAGAGGAGCTGAGTCGTGCCCAGATAAAAGATAAAGAGACCACATATACCTCATTCTCAAGGCCAAGGAAACCTTCCAGACTACACATGCGCAGAAACACTCCTTGGAGGTCAAATAAGGAGGGGGCACCACCCCATAGGAAGTGATGTCAACCTACCCATAAGCCTCTTTGCTAGAATCCATCTTGGCTAAGAGATGCAGGAGCACACGTGGCAGGACCCTGAGATAATCCAAATACGACTTAGAACCAAGAAAAGCAAGATGATTGGTCAAAAGAAACCTGGAAGAGATGCCCCATATAAGTGATTTAAACTACTGCAAGCACTCAACATTCTGAGTTCACCCAGGTGTACCTATTGAGAAATGGAATATTTCCTGCCATATCAGTAAACAAAGGATGTCACAGCAGAGCTTGCAGCCCTCCAGTGTGAGCTGGTGAGCCCTGAGGGAACTTGGGAAGGAAAGAATACCTGCCATCTAGCAGCCATCAGACTGCAGCCACTCCATACAGTGAGCCCTGAGGAAACTCAGGATGTGAAAATACAGGATACTGGCCCCAGACAGCTGAGGTGCATAACGAAGGAATGAGTTCGGTGAGCCCAGACTCTTGCATCTTCCTATACATAGAAAAGAGCTAAATTCCTTAATTTGAGATATCTAGTTTCCTTTAATTAACAATAATCTTTTGATGTTCCTGACTACCTGCGCTTTGTTGCAAAATGTCTATAAAACCTGGCTCTCCCCTAGCCTCCTAGGAGCAGTTCTCTCAGGGTTACTTGAGATGCTGCCTCCCAGGCTTTTAAGTCCTAAAAATCTCCACCGAATAAAACATAACTCTCAATTTTTAGGTTGTGAATAATTTTTTAAGTCCACACTATTCACAAGTACTCTTTTTCCTCCTCATAAACACTTTAGTTGTTTCACTATTTTCCATCTCTTTGTGGGAATTCATTTCTGCAAAGCCAGGGGGCCAGGGGCCTTGTCACTGGCCACTGTCCCTGGTGGTCTGGTGGCTAGGATTCAGCACTCTAACTACCGTGGCCTGACTTCAGTCTCTAGCCCGGGAACTGAAATCCTGCAGGCTGAGGCCACCCAAGATCAACACAGTGAATCGTTACCAAAAAAAAATATATATATATATATACACACACACACACACACACACACACACATATGTATGTATATAAATATATATATATAAACTTTCAAGATAAATTTCTATGACACACCATGGTGTAACTCCTTGACATTCTTATTTTACTCATGCATCAAATAATGGACACTTTACCTTTTTATTCTTTCTAGACTCCAAAGTAATTTACCTGATTTTTTAACCTCATTCACTCTTAGTCTTTACCTACTTTCCAGGAATAGTAAATTGTTTTCTGGCCTTCCTTCTTTTAAGGAAACGCTTTTGTACTTCTACTAAATGATTTCTTTTCTTCTTTTGTTTTATAAAACCACTGAGTGCACAATCTATCAAACAATCTATCAATCAAAGAACACTCATTGCTTTCATAATCAGTTCTGAATGTTCCCTCTCAAGAAACACACTTTTGGGGAAAAAAAAATAAGCATGAATTTTCAGGTACTCTCCATTTCCTGATATTGTGCCCTTGAAGAATTCTAAGGTCAACAATTTTTCTAGTATTCATCTTTTCTTGCCTTGATAAGTAATGGTTTATTCCACAAGGCTGCCTTAGTTCTCTAATGTGATTTTATTTTTTAATTTATTTTTGCAATGCTTCATTCTAGTTGAGACGTGTATCTGTAATTGGGTTTCTTAGAAATACATTGAACGTCCACTGTGTTCCAAAGCCCATGATAGCAAGGTTGGATACAGATCAAGAAACAGAGAGGGAAAAGGAAAAATTCTAGAGCACCACTGACCAAAGAAAACAATGCAAGGCAAACATTTAATGAAAAAATTTTCAGTAGCCACATTTTAAAAAGCAAAGAGATGCAATATTTTAAATAATACATTGCATTTAACCCAAAACATCCAAGATATGTTCATTTCAACATGTAATAAATATAGAGATATTATTAATGCAATATCTTACATTCTTTTTTTCAATCTAAATCTACCAAATTGGGTTTATATTTTAGTCAATCTGACACTAATTTTTTTTACTGGAAATGATTTGTATTTAAATTCCATACAGTTTATTGTTTAAAATTAAGTTCACATGCCCAGGTTGTTCAAATATATCTAAAAATTTCCAATAACTGAAATGGAGTATCAGCCTTTAAATTTAAATTAATTAAAATTAAGTAAAATTAAAAATTCAGCTCCTCAGCAACATCAATCCCATTCCAAAAAATATATTTTTTCATTATATATATGAATATATTATATATATCATATATAATAACGGCTCAAAAGTTATTCCTGACTACTTTATCAGACAATACAGTCTTAGGCGGAATTGTGTTCGGAGCGTGGAGATGGCAATGGAGACTGCTGGTTAAATTGGGGGAGTTATATAAATTTAAACGTAATGATGTAAGTTTAGCACTGACTTCTTAAATAAAAAGTTTGCTCACAAAAAGATATGGAATTAGGAAAGCAACTGAACATAGGCCCAGATGGCAAAATACCAGATTGAGAGATTGAAGAATATTGGCGAGAAAGTCAATCTTTGGAGCATGAAGATGGAATTCCGCAGGTAATTACAGTAGTCCTCAATGACTGTGTTGAGCATTTGACCAGAAATTTACTTTTTGATTTTCAGAACACCTTTGTGATGTCGAGGTTAACATTTCCATTCTACAAATGAAGAAAACAAAGTAAAAATAAGAAAACACCTGCCACAAAACCGGTCCTGGACGTCAGAAGGTGAAAGATAGCAAATACTGAGGGCGCAAGCAATGGAGTCATACCTCCCAAAAACAAACAAGCCAGCGGGAAAGCCTTGTTGCCCAATGGATTTCAGAAATTTCCTCGCTCCCTAAGACAAGTTTACCACCATAACTATTTCACCTTCATTTAAAGTATACAAAAATGCTTCTCTGCGGGTTTCCCTGGTGGCGCAGTGGTTGGGGGTCCGCCTACCGATGCGGGGGACGCGGGTTCGTGCCCCGGTCCGGGAGGGTCCCGCGTGCCGCGGAGCGGCTGGGCCCGTGGGCCATGGCCGCTGGGCCTGCGCGTACGGAGCCTGTGCTCCGAAACGGGAGAGGCCACAACAGTGAGAGGCCCGTGTACCGCGAAAAAAAAAAAAAAAAAAAATGCTTCTCTGGGAAGAGAGAACCCAGGGACTCGTTTGCATTTCAGATATGCGTTTAAAATGAGAGGCAATGTATAATTTCGGTTAATGACTTGGCCTAAATATCCAAACTTGAAAAACAGATGCTGGCTTAATAGGCACAATTATTTCATTCCCTTGATAAACAAGAGAATTTTTTTAAATGCCCTTAAACAGAACGTGTTAAACTGAATTCTGAGAATGAGCAGACAAAGCAATCTTCTCTTTTCGGCTCCGCCCCACTGACTCTCGGGCATGGTGGGCGGGGATAAATTAGCTTACGAACTAACCCCACCCCCTACCCACCCTCATTTGTAGTTTTCAAAAAGGTCCGCTTCCGGATTTTAAATAGGAATTTCGGTGTGCTCTCCCTATTTGTGAGTACAGTGTCTCATCTAGTCTTGTGATGTCTGGACGTGGCAAAGGCGGGAAGGGCTTGGGTAAAGGGGGCGCCAAGCGCCACCGCAAAGTCCTGCGGGATAACATTCAAGGGATCACAAAACCTGCAATCCGTCGCCTGGCTCGTCGCGGTGGAGTAAAGCGCATCTCAGGTCTTATTTATGAGGAGACCCGCGGGGTTCTGAAAGTGTTTCTGGAGAACGTAATTCGGGACGCGGTCACCTATACCGAGCACGCCAAGCGCAAGACTGTCACGGCCATGGACGTGGTGTACGCGCTCAAGCGCCAGGGACGCACTCTCTACGGATTTGGCGGTTAAGTCGGCACCCACAAACTAATTTTCTGTAGCAATGCCCAAGGCCCTTTTCAGGGCCACCTAACTACTCGCTTGAAAGAGCTCGTTGCTCTGAACTGGTGTTTTCAGGTTTTTTTGTAAGGAACTTGAGTTCCGAAGTTTGTTAGATTTTTGGGGTGCAGTTGCTTTAATGCAGCTCATGTTTGCTTAGGTTTGAGTGCATCAAACGTTTACACCGTGTTGCAGTTTTAATGCCACACGATGGCTTTTCCAGTATAGAGCCCTTAAGCGTCCCACATTGTTTGAATAGCACTTCTGATTCTTAGGAATTCTCGGTCTTGCAAAATTAACCAGTGAACTTTAAGATTTTACTAATTTATTAGATTTTCCGAAATACGGAATTACTGTTTGACAGTAAGCTATGAATAGTGTTGAGGGACAAATATAGGTAATGCCTTATTGGCCTGCTCAAATCTCACTCAAAACTTTAGTAAATTTTAAATATTCAGCCCCTAGTAGGGCAACTCAAGGGACAAGGTATAATGAAAGAAGCTAAGACTGAACTGTAGAGAGTGAAGGCACCCATGAGGAGGCCCAGGTGGCACATGGGCTGTTTCTTCTCTCCCTTAAAAGCATTTATATTTGGATTATATAAACTGATTACCAGGTGTTTTTTAATCTACAAAGAATTTGGGATTTGTCTCCTGCCTTTTCAAATCTATTCCCTGGTAGTCTGTAATAAAGCAACAACTTTAATTCATCTCAAGAACCCTCCGGTTTCTTTTCTCAACTATAATGTCAGAAACCGAGCTACATGGACATCTAGCCCTGTGCTGGGACTCCGCCACACCAAAGGTTTTCTCATGTTGTCAGTATTTGCAAAGGAAAAGGGGAAAGAAGTCCCCAAAGTAATAAATGAACAAATTCTGTGTCTTGGCTTCAAAAGAAAGTCACTGGCAGAGGCCTGTTTAAAAGGACTTCAAGGTATTAGGTGCCTTTTCCTTACATAGGTTTCCTGCCTGCAGGCCATTTGAACCAATCCCAGTACTGTGGCGGCAGGGGTGTGGGGAGGGGATTGGGAAAGGAGCAATTGTTAGTTAACTGTCTTTTGGTCCTGCTGGGTTCTGTGATGGTCTCTTAAGGTGGCCCCCAGGATTTCCCCTCTTGAGGTTCACTCTTGTGTGATGAAGTCCCTTGAGTGTGGATGTGACCTGTGACTTGCTTTTAACCATCGAAACAGGTGACCACAGGTGACAGGATGTAAAAAATTTTGTGTATATGACTATGTTATCTAGGATTGTAACATCCTTGACTCTCACATGATGGTTTTAGTGAATCAAGTATCCCTGTTGTCAGGCCCAAATGACAAGAAACTCACAGGGCTATTTAGGAACTGAGGGACGCCTTCAACTAACAGCCCATAAGGGCTTCAAGCCAACAGCCAACAAGAAAATAAGACCCTCAGTCTTAAAACTACAAAGAACCAACCAGTAAATTAGTTTGGAAGTGGATATTTCCCCAAACATCCAAGAGACCTCAGTCCTGCATAACACCTCAATAGCATCCTCACAGAGGACCCAGCTAAACCCTGCCCAGACCCACAGAACCTGTGAGATAATACATGTGTGTTGTCTGAAGCTAGGAATTTCAAGGCAATCTGTTATGCAGCAATAAAGACAGCCAACACATTTGGCATCTTCATCAATCCATGTCATCGAAAATAACAGATATGATGAACTGAAACTTCAATCTTTATCTAAAGGAAGACCTACATTTAAACAGAAAAACTTTAATGTGAACAACATTGTTTCACAACTATGTGAACCTCTACTCACACACCCAATACTGACCTGGCACACACATTGGTAGCGTCTTGCTGGCCGCCCAAATACCAACTCTATAAGCCGTGAAAAGTACTAAAAGCAATTTATCAGTCATTTTGCTTTCAGCAATACAGAAACTATCAAAATATTAACTCAGGAAAACTACATTTCATTCCATATTCTCTGTTCTCCCTGCACTTGTACATCTTCTCTTACTCCTGTTTTTTGTTTCTTCTTTTTTTTTCCTCCTGTGTAAATGAATACAGAACCTAACACTGACTGAAGGCGAGGAATACAAAAATGAAATATAAAATAAAAATTAGTCAAATTGAGGATTTCAGACCCCACTTCAGCACCATGTAGGGTTGATTATATAAATAATAGCCTCAAGACAAAATAAAGTGAAAATCTTTTCTTTTTAATGCAAATTTGAAAATTCACCTTTGAAAGCGTATACTTGTAGTTGAGATTAAACTCTGAGGTTCCAGTAAATACCCCAGGCCTAGTCCAGTATATACTGTATAACTGAGATTCCGACTCTTTGTAAAGTATGAACACCTTCTCATGAGTTAATATTTGTGAAGCACATAAAATTACTTTGTTGTAACATGGGCATTATATTTAAAACAAGGAACCCAAATACATTTACTAGCATTACACAACTTTAAGTCCACAGATACTCACTCTAAAATTTTCAATCTAAGCAGTGACTGGCTACAAGAACAATTTAAAGATTTTAAGAAATAAAAACACAAAACCCAGAATACTACAACTTTCTACTGGTTCCTACAACACACATTTCAAATTCTTTGCTGCAATGAAGAACAAAAATTCAAATAAACCTCTCATACTGCAATACTGTTTCCTGCACTTTAAAGAATGACTAAAAAAAAAAAAGAAAAAAACATGTTTTAAAAATACTGACAAATCTTCATATTATAGCTCTCAATATGCAAAAAAGAGTGGCTCTAAAAAGAACCATTGAGAAATGCTAGAGGCATAGAAAAATTTACTTGGAGATGGTGTACTTGGTGCCCTCGGACACGGCGTGCTTGGCCAGCACCCCGGGCAGCAGCAGGCCCACGGCCTTCTGAATCTCCCTGAATGTGATGGACAAGTGCTTGTTTTAATGCTCCAGGAGCGACGCCTCGCCCGCGATGCAAAGATGTTATTGACAAACGAGTTCATGATGCCCATGGCCTTGGACGAGATGCTGGGGTCCGAGTGGACCTACTTGCAGCACTTTACAGACATAGATAAAGATAGAATAGCTCTCCTTATGGCCGCACTTGCGTTTCTTGCCATTTTTCTTCTGAACCTGAGTCACTGCCTTTTTGGAGCCGTTTTTTGAGTTGGGACAGAGTTAGCCGGCTCTGGCATGGTAAACAAAGTAAGCAAAATTGGGGGATTAAAAGAACGAGAACAAAAGGAACATCGCGAGTAGTTATATCAAGGATATACAAACGAACACTCACAAAGCTAAACTTTGATTGGACAAAAGCTGACCAATAGGTTACTAGTATGTAAACTAGGATTCAAAAACTCCCTTTTTTATTGGATCAAAAACGAACACTTTTGTATATTCCTATAGGTTGATTTACAGCACTGTTATGAGACTATAAATTCATTCACACAAAACAATCAATTTCTTTTTAATTAAATGAAAGTCTTCGCGTTTGGATGCGGAAACCAGGTAAGGAAATCCTGTTATCTAGCCCAGTCCAGTCCTGACCGCAGCTCTGTCGGGTTTGTCCGGGACACCTTGGGACCCTCGGAAGGAGTCCCGAAATGCCGGCCCATTGCAGTGTTATCAAGAAAGACTCGATCGCCGCCATCTTTTTTAAGGTTCCACATTGCAAAGCTTTTCATGACGGCTCTCACCGTTAGACCCAAGGTGACATTTAAAAAATGCATCAAAACCAAACAACAGAGCCAAATTACCAGTTGTTTTGTTTGTTTGTTTCTTTTTTTTTTTTGCGGGCCTCTCACTGTTGTGGCCTCTCCCGTTTCGGAGCACAGGCTCCGGACGCGCGGGCCCAGCGGCCATGGCTCACGGGCGCAGCCGCTCCGCGTCATGTGAGATCCTCCCGAACCGGGGCATGAACCCGTGTTCCCTGCATCGGCAGGCGTACTCTCAACCACTAGCGCCACCAGGGAAGCCCCAAATTACCCCCTTTTGAGTCAAACACACTAACGATCCAGGGATTCCAGGATATTGGGATTTTGCTGCGTGTCCCCTGAATAATACAAAATTCCTTACATCTTAACAGTATTTCCTAGAAGGCCATGTTACAGTGAACTAGATGTTTACGGTCAATGTGGAATAAGATTCATGAGATGCTTAGACGATGGATTTTTAAATAGGGGGAAGGTCTGGGACTAAGATCCGATGAAAACGGGTTAACTGCAGAAAATGGCGGGTGTCTAAAGTCTAAACTTTTCCGAACACATTCTATTTTGTATATCCAAACAGGAAAAAAGTTGAAGAATATTAAATGAGTAATGTGTTTTTGGACAATACTTGAGTGTGTGGGTATTATCGATAAAACAACTCGGAAAAAAAAAATTTTTTTAAGGGGCTGGGAAGATGTCTGCTAATTGAAATTCACCAATCCCAAACTTTCACCTAATGGATAAACCAATCCTAAATCGCTCGGAGCACTTCCGGAATTTAGCGGCGGATGACTAACAGGAATTGCCCACAATCCAATCAGAGTGATTCTGTTCCTGTATAAATATAGAAGCAAATCTACCAGTTTAGCCTCTTTATTTTGGAGATAAGTAATGGCGCGTACAAAGCAAACTGCTCGTAAGTCGACCGGCGGCAAGGCGCCGCGCAAGCAGCTGGCCACCAAGGCGGCCCGCAAGAGCGCGCCGGCCACGGGCGGCGTGAAGAAGCCGCACCGCTACCGGCCCGGCACGGTGGCCCTGCGCGAGATCCGCCGCTACCAGAAGTCCACGGAGCTGCTGATCCGCAAGCTGCCGTTCCAGCGCCTGGTGCGCGAGATCGCGCAGGACTTCAAGACCGACCTGCGCTTCCAGAGCTCGGCCGTGATGGCGCTGCAGGAGGCGTGCGAGGCCTACCTGGTGGGGCTCTTCGAGGACACCAACCTGTGTGCCATCCACGCCAAGCGCGTCACCATCATGCCCAAGGACATCCAGCTTGCCCGCCGCATCCGCGGCGAGAGAGCATAAATTATTATTGCCAACAAGTGCCAACTTAAAACCCAAAGGCTCTTTTCAGAGCCACCTATAATTTCACTTTGAGGAGCTGTATCACAAGGGAGTAGAAAATCACCCCGACCCTCACCAAGGCAAGGCTGGAGGAGGGCAGAACTCCCTTCTCCCCCAAGTATTCCATGTACCAACCCCAGGAAAGGACGGTCACCCCTGCACACTCTGTCTTCCATATAAGAACAGGACATTGATTCCTGATGCTACTTTTCCTCTGCAATCCTTAAAGTTATTTGAGAAACAGCCAGGGGAAAATAGGTGATATATAAATGTTTTCATCCTCTTAACCCCTAAAAGAGAAATAAACCTCCCATGTGAAGATATCCTTATCCCAGTATGAGAATAGAAAGTATCCTTAATAGAATTTGGGAATTCAACACTAAGAAAGCTGTATAAGCAAACTTCATTTGTCTGCTACCCCAAGTACAAGCCATATATGTGTGTGTGTGTGTGTGTGTGTATACACATATATATATATATATATATATATATATAGCCTGCTTTGGTTACTTCGGTGGTCTCATTTCTGAATGACCTCTGTGCGTACAAATTGTTTTTTTCCTCCGTTAATCTATGTCAATTTAATTATTAGACCAGGCAAAATAATTCAAATTTCCCTCTCCCTGATACAAGAAGTCCAGGGATGACGTCAGGTATGAGAAAAAGGGTGGGTCCTTGAGTAACCTGGAAAGCATCCTAGGCATGCTTTATGTGGCATGCACACACATACACGTGTGTGCACGTGAACATGAACATATTCAAGGACCCAGGCTGAGTACTACTGGAGAGCAGTTTGGTGTTAACTTATTTGCTTCTGTGCTGAGCAATACATCCTCTGGTGAAGGTCGTCATACTTTCTGTACTGAAAATAGAGACCTGGTACCCAAAACATGGGTTCCATGGGATTTCCAGAGTTCAACTTCCAGCAGCACCACCGGCAGAGTGGGCAGCAGTGCTGTCAGTGATACAGTTGGGCATAGCACTAGTGCACCAAATCTGGGGCCTGAACTAATAAGTATGTTCAGCACATCAGGAATTCATAGGTTGTTGCAGCATATAACTGAAAATTCAGATTGTGCAGAATGTGTCTGCACCCTGCATGAGAAACATAATATAGTCACTAAGGCAGAACTTAGGCTTTGCCATAACACCTATTATTCATCCTCAAAGAGCCAATGAGACAACAGCTCCCAACTTTCCTCTAACAAATGCAGAATCCTAGGACAAACCCTAGAGCAATGCCAGGTTTGTGGATCCAGTCAGGTTTTACAGATGTTGGCAGTGGGAACGCCCAGCCTTATTCCTGGGTTTACTCCCGGTCGGGGGGGATTAGGCAACACTGGAGGCTCTCCAGGAGCTACGTGAATAGCTCTGCAGAAAAGTGAGAACACACGTCCCATGGCAGGAACCAAAGACACTGGACACCAACAGTTTATTTAACAAACGTTGCAGACTGTTACTGGAGCAAATCCTCAGCTACAGAAACCAGAAGTCACCTTCAGAAACAGTGGGGATAGCGCAGTGCAATGTTTTTGAAACTTGAAGCAAAACTGCAAGTGTTAATGGCAATGCAATGTGATTTCTGTGTGACTATTGAAAGGCTTATTAGGCTCCCAGTCATCATCGCAGAACTTCTGCCATTTTAAAAAATGTAATTTTCAGGTGGAACGCAGGAAATACAAAAAGCAAACCAAAACTGGGGGTGGGGGGGCAGCTGGGGAGAAACAACAAAAATCCTCTGCATGAAAGTCCACAACAGCTTTATTTATAAATTAGAAACAACTTAATATCTTTCAACTGGTGAATGGTTAAATAAATTCTCATACACAATGCAATGCAATCCTACTCAGCAATAAAAAGGGAGGCCATTGATACATGCAACTACCTAGATGGGTAATGCTTAGTGAAAAAAGCCAGTCTCAAAATGTTGCATTTTGTATTATTCCATGTATATAACATTCTCAAAATGGCAATTCTAGAGATGGATAACAGATTAGTGATTGCCCCAGGACAGGGGAGAAGTGAGTGGATGTGAATACAAAAGTGTTACATTAAAGAGTTCGTTGGTGATGATGGAACAGTTTTGTGTCAGCGTTTAGATGGTAGTGACACATAAAATTGCACAGGGCTACACACACACACACACACATACACACACACACACACACACAAATGAGTGCATGGAAAAATTGGTGAGAGCTGAGTAAGGCCTGTAGGCTAGTTAAAAGTACTTTGCCGATGTCAATTACCTGGCTTTGATATTATAAGATAATAAGATTTCACCATTAGGGGAAACTGCGTTCGAGGAACTCTAGGTACTATTGGAGCAACTTTTGTGAATTTAGTTATTTCAAAATAACAATGTAAAAAAAGCTGTGATCTTTCTTTAGCAGTTGCTACTGTGTATTGCTTTGGATTCCAAGGCTTGTTTAACAAATTTTGGTGTGTTTTGGTTTGTTTTTGCATAAATAGCAGTGTTTTCCTTTCTTCTGGCTGTTCTAGTGATGACGTGTCCATTGAACAGCAGTTTGGTTCGTTTATGTTGGTGTGTGATTTTTTAGCTCTTGCTGTCACTACCTCAAAAGTAAATTGAGTTTTCAAATTTGATATTTGTAATCTCAAATTTACTGATGGGGTAATTGATTGAGCTACTGCTCAGCTCTTAGGACGGTGTGCTTGGTATATCATAGTGTGAAGTAAAAATAATCTCTTATTTTGAACATTCTATTTATTCCAAGGACATCATTTAAATCATAGTGCTCGACAATTTTTTTTAAATAATATAATAATCTAGGAAATATCACATTTTTACTTCTGGCACTTGCATAAAATCTTTTTGCCTAACATTGGCGTTTATGATAGCTTTGCATGAATTCCATGCACCAACCACAGTAAAGGACAATCACCCCTCCACCCTCTGTCCTCTATATAAGAACAGGGTATTATTAGCCCCTGACAATTTACATTCTTTTCCTCTGCAATCCTTCATTGTTCAAATTTATATGCTTAATCTGTATAAGTGAAAGCACACTGTACAAACTGGTGTTATATTAGAAATGCTTTGAAATCTTTCCATGTGCCTTAGGCCTGTCTGTATTATAAATACTTTGTTTTTAAGAACAAAGTCCAGGGCTATAGAAATTTATTGTTCACGAACTAGATGCTATTTTGTTTACAATAACTCCATTATCAATAGTATTGATCCTATTTTATGGATAAGGCCACTGAGTCTCAGATAGATTAATAAACATGCCCAATAATAGTTTGACAGCAGCTTGCTTATGGATTCCAAACCCAAAGCCTGGCGTGGTTGCTTGTCAATGTATTTATAAATTACTTTGTTTCGGGAATTTGGGCTTAAAGGCCAGTGGCAAAGATCCAAGAATATATGGAATGGATAAATCTTTAAACACATACAAACATACTTAAACGAGGCAATTCCCTTTGTGTATACGTTTGATGCTTCTGTTTAAAGATTCTTATTTTCTGAATACCAGTAAAACGCCCTAGCCCTTGTTCATTTCAGGTCTTAGAAGCAAGGGGCGGGGACCCAGTACGGTTTCCCGCCTTTCTGGTCTTGCAGTTTCCACAAAGGTCCGCACAATCGCTACATAAGGGGCTGCAGGTTGCTAGCGTTAGACTCGGTTGTCGTGCTTAGTTTTTCTCAGTTATGTCTGGACGGGGCAAGGGCGGGAAAGGCCTGGGCAAAGGGGGCGCTAAGCGTCACCGCAAGGTTCTGCGTGATAACATCCAGGGCATCACCAAGCCTGCTATCCGCCGTCTGGCCCGGCGTGGCGGTGTGAAGCGCATTTCCGGCCTCATCTACGAGGAGACTCGCGGGGTGCTGAAGGTGTTCCTGGAAAACGTAATCCGCGACGCTGTCACCTACACCGAGCACGCCAAGCGCAAGACTGTTACTGCCATGGACGTAGTCTATGCGCTCAAGCGCCAAGGACGCACTCTCTATGGCTTCGGCGGCTAAAATTGACTTTTGTAAGGTTTTTCTCTTTTTTTATAGCAAAGGTAAAGGCCCTTTTCAGGGCCACCTACCTTTTCTATGAAAGAGCTCACACTGGCCATTTCGTGGTCTGTAGGGTAGTTTGGTACAGATGGGAGAAGTGAAGCACTAAAACGTTGCTTAGACATAGTTCGGTCTTCAGTCCCTAAGGTGTTTTCACAATGCTGGAGGTGTTACTATCGCAGTTCCTGATGTATAGATTAACTGAGGACCAACAGGTGGCTAGTGGCTAAATGTGGCCACGCAGCTGGTAAGTAAAGGGTCATGGGTTCTTTGAGTAGAAATAAATATTTGGGGTGTCCACAGACACTAGAGTACAGCTCTTACATGGCTTATATACTAAATTAAATTATGAAAATGTGACAAGACAAAGGAGTTTGGGCTAGGATAGTTAATGGTAGAAAAGGAACTAGGAAGATAAAGGCTAGTTTAACAATGCAGAGTTCTCTCTGTTTTAAGCTTCCTATCTGGTGATAATGCTATTTTCTTCCTGGTACAGGGAGGGAATCTTCCATATGGGAGTTTGATTTCCTGTTTTCAGAAGGAAAATAGGTCAGAGTGCTCTTTTGCACCTGTTTTTCAAGTGCCTTTAGCTCAAAATAACTCAAGCCAAAGTGGCATATTTTAGGGTGGCATATTCTGCCACACTTCACCTCCAAGCACACTACCAGGCAACTTTCCCAGAGGTCACAGAGCAGAAAGGGTCACAGACCAAATTAAAATGCTTAGAAATTTTAATCAATTTAAACCATGTTGCAAAAAGCATGGGGAAATAGATGGACAGCAGAGCATAGTTAGGATAAGACAAACAAGTGGAAGGTCCTCGCTAGATGAATCCTGTTATTTACACAATGTTCATATAATCTCCTTTGCTCTCTGCCACATCAGCCTTCCTTCCTGATGATGGGCCTCTGAGGACCAGAGTTAAGTTGAACAAGAGGACTGAGCAGGTGGAAGGTAGCTGGGCCAATCACACACAGTTGCTCTATTAAACAGATCTAGGGGTATATTTGCTTGGTCTATAGTTGTCACTCACCAGTGGGTTTTATCTGCATCCTATGGGCAGAGGTCAAGTGGGTGGCTGACTTAAGATATTAAGTATGAGATGCCTCATAGATGCTGAGAATTTTACGTGCCTCGTGAATGTGTGGTGCCCACTTGGTCCTTCAATCCCATCCTCTCTGTGTTAAGCACACGTTTATCTCTAGTCTCTGAGTCTAACGTATACTTAGATGTAACTTAACGTATACTCAGTCCTTCGCAGAACTGAGCACTCTTCAATAACATAGTGAATCCCCCTTACACCTGCCTCCTCTCCCCTCACTCTTCCCTGCTCTTTCCTCAGCCAAATACCTGCTACTCCTTCTGGGCCCGGCTGTCATATTGAAACGGAGCAGGACAGTATGGTCTATGCCCCCATGTTCTCAGCCTGACTTTTGTCTGTGTAAAGGCTTTAGCCAAAGAATAAGTTTAATCAGAGAAGTGAGAAAATACAGAAACAAAGGAAAACTGTCAAAGAAGACCAAATAATAATAGTTTAGTCCTTAAGCATAGTCAAGGACATTTAGTTCCTCCTCAAGGGCTATAGTTAATGTTCTGAGCCACATCCTGTGAGCTGCCTTGTAGGCACTGAAACCCCCGCCAGGTGGAAGAAGTTAACTACATGATGACCAGACTGCAGCCATGACATAAGATGCCACAAATCCGAGAAATGGCCTCAAAGAAATGGGAACAAACCGACCCTGGAAGTAAAGACTAACTGTACTTAATAATCAAGATGATGCTGGTCAGACCACCACATGACCAATTTCAAGATGACTGTGAGAGCTGACTGGACTGTTTCTGCATGTAGCGCCCTCCCTCAGCCTGGAAAAGCTCTTGCCCACTGATTATCAGTGGGGGAGAGTGAGCCTTTGGACAGACGTTCGCCCTCCCCCTCCCCCCACCCCAGTTGCTGGCATCCAAAATAAAGCAAACTTTCCTTTCCACCAACCTTGCCTCTTTATTGGCTTCTGAGCAGCGAGCAGCCAGACCCCACTTCCGGTTACAATATGATCTTCTTCCTCATATCCTCATCGCTTCCTTGCCTGCAAAGGGCTCTAAGAATGAAATTTCTGACCATAAGTGTTCCTATCTGAATATAGTCTATCTTTTATTATTTTTTCTAATTGTTTTTGTTTAACCTTCTGGTTCAACCAAGCTATAAATTACTGGAAGTTAGAACTAAGCTTTCTTCTTTCCTGGTGTCACTCATATATCAATGCATAGACTGAATATTCAAGGAGGATCCACTAACTTGGGGCAAAACACAATTACACCCTTATTGTGTAGCCTTTGAACCCAGCGTTGGCAGAGGCAATCTGCCACGGGCTCTGAGGGTGTGCCAAGAATGCCATTTATCAGAGTTGAGGAACCTTAAAGAATGGGATAGTGACTGTCCCCAGACAAAGAGCGGATTTGCTTAGTACACTCAAGTTCAATCCCCCAAGCTGTACCCTGGCTGTGATGCAAACCCACTGTGTGTGCAGTATCCATCTGGGCCCCTCCAGGTCGCCCCTGTGGGACCTGATGGACAAGGGGATCCAATGCAAAATTGCTGCTTGATGTGCTGTGCTGTAATAAAGCCTCTTGTCTCTGACCTAGGAGTGTTGTGTCTACTGCCAGCAGCCATGAAAGACTTACAGGTTATCTTATTATCTTGTAAGTAGGGTAAGATCCCAGACTCTTCACAAACTCTGACACAAAGTGAAGAAGGAGAAGAAGAAGGAGAAGGAGAAGGAGAGGAAGGGGAAGGGGAGGAAGAGGAAGGGGAAGGAGAAAGAAGGAGAAGGCAGCGAGGTGGAGAGGGAGAGGCGGGAGGAGGAGAAGGGGGCGGAGAGAGAGAGGGTACGAGTGCAGCATTTTATTCCAGGGAGCTCCTCAATAGCTGTCTGCCCCTCTTGGTGGCACTATCAGGCCTGGAATAAGTGTTAGGTTTGTCCAGCCTCAGAATCTCTCTTTCTTTCTTTATCTCTCACTCTCTCTTTTTTCCTACACGGCATAATGAAATTTGCAACTCACTCAGATTTCTGCAGTGGGAGGGACTGATTGTAGATTGGGAATAATGCAGGCAGAGAGACCTGTCAGGCCACTATAGGGATTAGAAAGCTGTATAGGAGAAACAAAACTTTCCTCTACCCTTTTAGGGTCTCTAGCTGGGCTTGAGAATTAAGTTGACATAAGACAGGTTAACATGAGAAAAGCACACAAATTTTATTTAATCTTTTTACATGTACATGGGAGTCTTCACAGGAAAATGAAGACCCAAAAAGCAGTTAAGCCTAAGTGCTTAAATACTAAGTTGAACAAAGAGTAGTAATTGTGAAATAGCAATTAAAATATATGAGGAGACTAAAGGAAGATAAGGATTATTTTAACAAGGTCTGTATAGATTCTCTCATCCTGGATTCCCCATTTCTGGTGATAAGAATGTTCATTTCCTCCTGGTATAGGGATGGCACGTTTCACATGGGATAATTATCTGCTTTCGGGAAGAAAAGGGGAGATCACAGCCCCATTCTTTCATTAGCTGTTTTTCAAGCGCCTTAGCTCAAAATAATCCTTATGCCAAAGTGGCATATTTTGGGGCGGCATATTCTGCTCCATTTCAGCTGATATTCAATTTCCGGGGTGCCAAGATGTCTCACCATTTACGGCACACTCTGGAAGAGACGGCTCAAGGAGGATCTATGAACTGATAATGGAGAACAAGGGTTTGTTAATTGAGTGGAAGCACAGAATAGAGGAATAGGACCCAAAGAAGCAAACTGAGAAGGATCGTGGAGAATAGGATCTGGGTTAGGAAGAAAGGTACCACAAAACACTGTGAGAAGATTGTGAAGGCAGGAGTAATAAACAGGGTCAGATGTGCATGGTTTTGGCCATTCGAAGGTCACTGGTAACTATGCCAAGGATATATTTAGTGAGTGATTTGTGAAGAAGTCATATAATCAGGAAAAGACATGAGGATAGTGACTCCAGATTACCCAAGGCTTGGAGATTTGATAAATGGAAAGGATCTAGTAATTGACAGAGGTATGGATTAAACTGAGAGACACTGAAACATATTTATATGTAGATGGGAAAGAGCCAGTAGAAAGAGGAATAAAACTTTAAGCTGGGATATCACTATGATTAGATCAGGATGACCAACTAATCTATTGTGCAAATAAGTTATTGATAGTGGAAGTGGGCTCCATTAATAACTATCTTAAGATAACAGGGACAGAATGAAACTGTCCCTGGGTGTGTGTTCACCCACACACCAGGGTGTGTTTTCACAAACACAAAGCTTCTGGGAGTGAAAGATTTAGAACACAGGTGGCAGGATGAGCATGAGAAGGCCTGAAGAGCACCTCTTCCGCCTGGTGGGAAAATGGAGAGGTAAGGATGCAGTCAGAGGTGGGATGGCCATAAGAAAGGTCACATTATCAACGTTTTGGAAACAAAGCATTAAGAGTGATGACCTCTTAGTCATGTTAAGAGTTCCAACGCGTCCTCAGGAGTACGCTAGATAAGACAAAATTTTACAATGTCTCTTCCACCCGATTTGAGTTCACTACCTATGGCTCCATCTATCCAGAGCTATCTGCGACGTTTTCTGTAGGAAGAAGGCTGCTTAAAGGCCCCAGGTGCCCTCTTCAGGACACTAGGTGCTGGGTCACTGGGACATTCTGGACAAGTTAATTTTAATGTTTTGGGGGGTAAAATGAACTCAAACATGTTGAAATGCGAAAACTGATGCCACGTCAAATGCCAATTCACTTCTGTTGAGTAAAAACTCCAGCAGTTCCACTGCACGATTTTGTTTTTGGCATGTCTGAGAGCCGCCATCTTGAGATGATATCTAACTCGGAAAAAAGACCAAAAAAACGCGACAGCCGGGGTCTACAAAGAGAAAGCGACTGCCTTAATTAAAATCGGCACCCAGTATTAATATAAAACATTAAATATTACCTTTGTTTCTCCTTTGTACTAGTTAGCAGCCCTTCATGTGACCAAGTGGGTGGCCCTGAGAAGGGCCTTTTGTGAGTAAACAAGAGCTTCACAGCCGAAGACCGCAACGAAACTTAGCCGCCGAAGCCGTAGAGAGTGCGTCCCTGGCGTTTGAGCGCGTAAACCACGTCCATGGCGGTGACAGTCTTGCGCTTGGCGTGCTCGGTGTAGGTGACAGCGTCGCGGATTACATTCTCCAAGAACACCTTCAGCACCCCGCGGGTCTCCTCATAGATAAGACCAGAAATACGCTTCACACCACCACGCCGGGCGAGACGGCGGATAGCAGGTTTGGTGATGCCCTGGATGTTGTCACGGAGAACTTTACGATGACGCTTGGCGCCCCCCTTTCCCAGACCCTTCCCACCTTTGCCTCGACCAGACATGACTAACAGCGACTTCTAATCTCTTACAGCGCTTAACCCTGGGCTGCAGCCTCTTATATATCAGTTTTACGGACCTATTAGGAAACTGAAACGGCGGGGGCGGGAACGAGACCTCTGCCCCCGACTCTTCCCTTCCTCACTGGCCGTCTGCTATTGCCTAGCAGGGAAGGGGGCGGGGAAATGCGACTCAGTATCTGTTTCCTGTTTCCTGGTTGGGGTCCAGAGTTGCTGGTTTTGTGGACTCTAATCGTGTGCCTGTGGGTTTTCTCAATTAATATTGTACAAGTCTCCTCACCACTTTTATTATTTAACAAAAGGAGGCAGTACCGCCACATTTGTCTGCAAAAGGGAGAGAAAGCAGAATAAAATTAATTTGAAAACATGAAGATACTTTAAAAAATGTAAGTATTCTTAAAGACTCTAGTAATGCTTATTAAGTTTGGCTGATCCTGAACGTTTCCGTTTGGCGAAGCGTTTACATAACCATCGTTTTTCAGCATTCCTGGTAAAGAGGGATGTCTAGTAAGGGGAGCCAACATTAATTGAATTTCCGCTCTTTTCTCCCCAATTTATAAAGCACTATTTACATTGTGAGGATGAAGAATCCCAGGATTGAAGACCTAATCCTGTTCTAATAAATGGTATTGTTGGGGGTAGAACTGAGGTCTTCTGATTCTGTGGTCTTATGTCCTTGCCATCTACCACCGAGCTATGTCATTAAAGCATTGAAGATACATCAGGATGAATAAGTTTGCAAATTAACAGAATATTTAAAAAATAACAAAAGAGTGAAATACTGTCCAAGTAAAAAGGGTAACTGAAGTTCTACACACAGATAAGTATTGGTTAATAGACAAATGCCAACATTACTCACAGTCCACAAATTCACATTGAGTGCCTTCTATGTAACTACAGAGGTGATTTAAAAAAAAAAAAAAAAGCCTTCTCTGCTGGTGCTTACCATATAAGCGGTCAGAGGATTATTAACTTCCTTGAGTCACAAACTTTTTGAGATTTAGTTCAGGTGCAGTTACCTGTGGATTTAGACATGGTGATCTCCCCTGCTCTCCTTTTTGAGAAAGTCACTGAACAAGAATCATTGATTCATTGCATTTATTCATTCAACAATTTAGGGTCTACTATACGCCAAGAGTGGTGTACAAATACCAGATTTACAAAGACAATCACACATTCTTTTAAAGAACTTAAACTCTAGCTGAAGAAAGAGAAAAGTAAACTCGGGGTGAGGGGCCATGTAATCAGCCCACCATCCTCCTAGATTCATCCTGGTAGTGATGGGTGGAGCAGTCATATCCCAGCAACATTAGCATCACCTGGGAGCTTGTTAGACATACAGAATTTCAGGACCAGTCGCAAATCTACTGAACTGATACGACATTTTTAAGATCCTCAAGTGAGTGGTTTGCTTATTCAAGTTTGAGAAGAATTGTTTTAGAGCTGTGCTTTCCTATATTTGTATTAGCTACTAGCCACATATGCCCATTTAAATTAATTAAAATTAAATAAAATTAAAAATTAATTTCTTCAGTCACTCTACCTTTAAGTAAGTGCTCAATAACCACAGGCAAGTGTAGTTGTTGTCTGTTCTACAGTGCAGATATGGAACATTTCCATCATTGCAATAGGTTGCATTGGGCTGTATTGTGATAGAGAACTTCTTCTGGAGAACTTGTAGCCCAGACTGGGAAAGAGAGTGTGGTAGGTACCTGAGAATGAGGCTTGCTGCAGGAAATGAGGATTGGAGTATTTCTGAGGTATAATAGAAATTAGTCACCTTCTGCGTGTACCAGATATTACAGATACACAGAGGGACATGTAAAAATGAAAGTGGAAGTTTGAGAGTAGTAGTGTCCTTTTTAGGAAATAAAATGAATAATATTGATATATAGTTGTGCTTGAAGGGGAGTTTCAAGTGGTAGAGTGTCCTCAGGTGAGACCATCTGATAGGAAATTAAAATAGATGTGATTTCTCATCACCCTTCTGAACACATTACATTGTAAAACAATGCTCTATTTGCTCTATAGCCCTTATTTTTAATTTGGCCTTTTTGATATTTAGTCAACATAGTCACTCTTCTCCTTAAATGTTTGAAATGTACTGAATTTTGGAACACTTAAGTACAGCCCCTGTGGATTGCCCTGGTGAGCCCTACCTATCTCTTTCACAGTCATTTACTATGGTGAGTGGGGGCTTGACACCAAAATTGAGAGAACATGAAGTTGTGAGACATCCATCACTTGTTTAACTTTAGTTTTTCTTATTTATTTTTTACATCTATAAAGTAAAAATAGTTCAAATCTTAGTCTAGCAGAAAGTCAATGGTTTTAGAATATATACAGATTTAGGATTCAAAAGAAATACAGATAACTTTTTTGTGGGCTACCAAGTAATAGGTGAAACGTTTCAACTTTATAGTCCCATGGGGTGATCCAGCTTTCAAGAACCTTGTCCATGCTACAGTTAGAGCATAAATACCTGGATCTCAAGAGATAACAGTACCTACACACAGTATAGCTCCAACCTCCTATACACATCTAGGGCAGAACTTTTCAGGTGAAATCAAGTCTCAATTATTGCCCTCCAGGAATGGCAGAGATTACCTATAAACAATTAAGCAGATGACCCTGAGCCCCAATGCCTTCTCACTTATTTGGGACCTAAATAGCCATGGGAACCGGTAACAGTTGCACAAGAAAGAAATGGTGGCATCTGCTGTAGAAAGAACTTTTCACCTATCTTAAATTGAGTACATACAACTTAGGGAACAATTTCAACAAGTATTCAACAACTGATATCATGACTACAATGATCATCAAAATAGTAAAGGTTTAAAAATCTGAATTTTAATTTTATCTTTAGGTCTAGATAGTATTAGGCTCTGGGCTGAAAAGGAAAAGGGCGTTATATAATGTTTGTTACTATTGCTATTGACAGTGATGATACTGAGGATGACAAGTAGCCCCATCCTCCAGACAAATGTAAAATGCCTTCCCTGGGAAAATTGGAATGTTCTAGATCCAATCCTATAAGCTTCCCTCTTTATACACTGTATTTGTAATTGGTATATAACATGGTCTCAAGTCCCAGAGACTTAGTTACAGACAGTGCCAGCCAATAATGACTATTTAAAAACAAGCCAAGTCATTTTTATGGAATTAGTTCAGTGCAAAGAGATGACATCTTTTAAGTTGATTATCCTGTCTTGGAGTTATATGAAAAAATTCTCAAGTCACTATTGACTGTAGGCCAGAATAAATAGATTTTAGGAAGTAGGGGTATTTATTTAAAAAAAAACACAACACCAAAATAGTTTTCTTGTTTGTTTATTTTGACAAACATGAGGTTTAATTTCAGTATCTGATTATTTGGTGGATATTAATTTTGTGCTTAATTATCCAATATTTATCGAATTCCATTAGCTCTCTGTGTTACAAAGAGATGGAGTAGGAAATCAGTCATGTTTGCTATGAAATATTTATTCAACTCCTTAGTGGACACATTCAGCCAATTAATTTAGGTCATGATAGCCTAGTTCATATTTTGTTAGTAAAAATCCCAGGGAAACTTATGAAGATTCAGTAAGTGAGTTTAATGAGAATTTTTTTTTACTTTCTAGTCCTCTGTGTCCCTATTTGCAATGTTGAAAAAAGATAAATCAAATTTGTATTTTAAGTATCATTTTGAAATATAGGAAATATGTACATAATTCTGTGCTAAATAATGGAGGAAGAAAATCTTATGGACGGAATATCATTAGGCAATATACAATTTTAACCCACTTGATCTTACAGAGTTCTTGAGCTCAGAGCTGGTAAAATGATGTAGAACTGCCAATCTGTTGCTTCATGATTCACTTTTCTTCTTTGTAGATGGTGTGATTGATCTCTAATGCCCATTCTAGGTCAGAAAAATCTATTATACTAATTTTTAGAGCAGGTTGGTGACTCTATTTGGAGCTGTTTATCTAGAAAATAAATGGAGCAGCCTCACACCCCATCCTTCCAAAAATGTTTAAATCACCGAAACACTGGGAGCAAACCCAGTTTACACACTGGTCACTCAAATACTTTTTTAAAAAATCTATCCTTTTAAAAATACTTATCCATCTTGTACGTAGAATTTTCTACCCCAGTGCCAATTCCCAGTGCTTAGAGCAAACAAGTTGCAGGAGAGCTGTGCTATTGCTCCCGCGAAAAAACCGATTTTCCTTGTATATTTGAGTAAAAATGAGGTTATTTATATAAGGTTGAAAAGAAAACAATGTGTATGACAATGCCCTGGAAGAAAGATTTGCAAAGGAAGCAGAGAGAACTAGTAATTTTAAGGAAAATCTGAAAGTTGTCTCAATTTGACCGAAGTTTCCAAGGGAGTTGGGGGAATCAGGAAAGTTTCAGGGGGCCGGCTTTGAAACTAGGTATAGCAAATAAGGCAGGAATGAAGCCTGAAGAGTCTCGGATCAGTTTCCCCCAAATCCCTAATTATTTCGTGCCCAGACTTCTTATATTTTTCTTCTTTTTTAAGGGGCAAAAAACACAGCCATTCGGCAGAGCCGAGGAGCCCTTCGTAGCAGCGCGGCGCACGGAAAAGGCAACCAATCATCACGCAGCGACTCTCTATATAAACCCCCAGCCGGCGGTTCCCGGGACACGCCGTTCTGACAGTTTAAGCTTACTTTTTGTCTTTCCTGGCTAAACAGAAAAATGTCGGAGACTGCTCCAGTTGTTCCTGCTGTTCCCGCACCTACAGAGAAAACACCTGTTAAGAAGAAGACAAAGAAAACGGGCGCAGCTGCTGGAAAACGCAAGGCGTCCGGGCCCCCGGTGTCCGAGCTCATCACCAAGGCTGTCGCCGCCTCCAAGGAGCGCAGCGGCGTGTCCTTGGCCGCGCTGAAGAAAGCGCTGGCGGTCGCTGGTTATGACGTGGAGAAGAACAACAGCCGCATCAAGCTGGGTCTTAAGAACTTGGTGAGCAAGGGCACCCTGGTGCAGACCAAGGGCACTGGCGCTTCAGGTTCTTTCAAGTTCAACAAAAAGGCGGCCACCGGGGAAACCAAGCCCAAGGCTAAGAAGGCAGGCGCGGCCAAGCCCAAGAAGGCTGCTGGGGCAGCTAAGAAGCCCAAGAAGGCCACGGGCGCGGCTACCCCCAAGAAGGCCGCTAAGAAGACCCCTAAGAAAACCAAGAAACCGGGGGTGGCTGCTGGGGCCAAGAAGGTGGCCAAGAGCCCGAAAAAGGCGAAGGCAGCCAAGCCGAAGAAGGCGGCTAAGAGTCCGGCCAAGGCCAAGGCCCCCAAAGCCAAGGCAACCAAGCCTAAAGCTACCAAACCCAAGGCTACAAAGGCGAAGAAGGCGGCCTCCAAGAAGAAGTAAATCGGTAGCGGGACGTCCTACTTTGCAAATCTCAAAGGCTCTTTTCAGAGCCACCCACTAATTTCAGATAAAAGAGCTTAGCCGGATATGTTTCCGTAGGTAACCAACAAGCCTTGTAATAAGGTAAAATTCTTTTTTAAACTTAAGCAATTTTTTTAAACTTGCCGCCCTAACGTGATTGGCTATGCGTCAGGGTGCGCGCGCACCGCCACGTACAAAGCTCTCCGAATGTTGTGATCACAGTCCTCTAATGAGAGTTTAGTGGCTCTCAAAAGAGCCTTTGCGGCAGATTCACTTGCCCTTGGCCCTGTGGTGGCTCTCGGTCTTCTTGGGCAGCAGCACGGTCTGGATGTTAGGCAGTACGCCGCCCTGAGCGATGGTGACTTTGCCCAGCAGCTTGTTGAGCTCGTCGTTGCGGATGGCCAGCTGCCGGTGACGCGGGATGATACGCGTCTTCTTGTCACGGGCCGCGTTGCCCGCCAGCTCCAGGATCTCGGCCGTCAGGTGCTCCAGCACCGCTGTCAGGTACACCGGCGCGCCGGTCCCGACCCGCTCGGCATAGTTACCCTTGCGAAGCAGGCCGTGGACTCGACCCACGGGGAACTAGAGCCCGCCCCGCGAGGAGCGGGTCTTGGCCTTTGCTCGCGCTTTGCCGCCCTCTTTTCCTCGTCCAGACATGTTAGGAAAGAAATAGTGCAGCTTGAGGAAAGGGTTATTATAGTCTCTGGATGTTTCTAAAATTTCTATTCCCATTGGTTTGCAGAGGCTATTGAGAGAGTTAACCAATCAGAACGCACTTCTGGAGTTACTTGCATGGGCTCCAGGAGAAAATACTGCACCAATTAGAGGCTGAGATATTAAGACTTGTATTGATACATACTTGGAAGCAGTTGGAAAGCTTGGATTTTTCCGCTTGATAAATGTAGTCCTATTTTGGGGGAGTATTCATGCTATTGTTATTCTGCCTAAATCTGCATAATTGTTGCTACCACCCTGACACCAAGGGATAGAAAAAAGTAAGCTACCCCTGGCGGTTTATAATTTACGCTTTTCTTTGCCAGATTTTTTTCCCCCTCAGATGTTGACAAGATCCAGGGAGCTGGGTTGGTGGTCTAATATCTTTTGGTGAATAGGCAACAAACAGGGAGGCAGAAACAAGTAAAAACCGTTGATAAAGGGAACGAGATTGCTTAGAGAGCACCTTGAGCTGGAATAACCAGGGCAAAATAAATGCCTCTAGGAAGATGGGTTGACCTGATATTACATCATTTCCCCTTCATCCCTGTTTTTGTTGTTGTTATTTTCTGAGGAAGGCCACTCGATTTTATTGGCAAATCTTGACCAAAATCTGAGTTCTGCAGACCATTAGGGGGTTGTAAACATGGATGGGGAAAAATTACATCTTTATTTTACCAAACTCTAAATGCAGCTAAGCATTTCCTTCAAGTGTATCTGTAGGCAGCTAATCACAATGGATTTTGCAGTGCCTCTGACTTTTTCAACAGTGGCCATCACAGATGTTCTTGGATCACTTTGAAGATATTGCAGATATCTTGAAATAAAATTTACATCATTCTGATTCCTTGAAACTGACATTTGTTATTCCACCTCTTGTTCCTTGTTATTTGATGTGACTAATGAAACACATTTTACGTAAAAGAAATACATTTTGACAGCTGTATTTTAATGTGGCTAATTTTCTTATCCTGTATGCTTTAAGTATTTTAAAACATTGTATTCAGAAGATATTTGTTTACAGGTTTCTCCAGACTATCCATAGAGTCCACTATACAAAACAAGTCATGAGTCCCTGAGCAGATCTTCAGTGGCAAACACCTCATGGTTGAAAGACTTCATCTTATTTCTTTGTTTACAACATACCCAGCGGCCCCCGCCCCCCGCCCCCAGCTACACATACACACACACACACAACTTACTGGTTAATAGTTTATTAAACTTTACTATTTAAACTTTCTTTAAAAGACAAAAGGAGGTAGCCTGTGATTACCTTTCTAGCTTTTCTAAGCAGGAGTTCATCTTTTCCCCATCACAACTGTATTCCATACTTTCTTCTTTCTAGAAAGGGCCAAAAAACCCTCCTCTTAGAAGACTGGTTTGGTTGAGAAGGCGATTTGCATAAATGGGAAGATGTGAAATGGTTACTTAGAAGAATCTTTTTGAAAATAAGAGATTGCATCAAGGGGGAAAGATAAGGAAGGGGGAAGAGACCTGTGAGGTCTTTAATACCCAGAATGAGAGAGTTTGGCTTTTGATTATGAGTGATGAGGAATAAGTGTTATGTGGGAATGTGACAGTCAGCAAGAGTGGTTACTATATAGTATCTCTGTAGTTCGTTACATTTTACAAACCACTTCTATGCCTGCCTCACTATAAAGCATTTGCAGTAGGTATAGCTAAGCTGCTTGATTATTATTAGACTGCACCGCGTGGCTTGTGGGATCTTAGTTCCCCAACCAGGGATTGAACCCAGTCCATGGCAGTGAAAGTCCTAACCACTGCACTGCCAGGGAATTCCCTAAGCTACTTGTTTTAAAGTTAAGAAAATTGTGGCTTAGAAAGATGAAATGGCCAGAATCACCTTGTCAATAAATGGTGGACCTGGGTCTCAAACACAAGTTTCTTTATTCCTAGTGTCATTTTCTGAGCACTGCTGCCCATCTATTATGTCAACTGGAAAAGGAGTAGAGTTCTCTATTTCCTTTTTAGGCTCATCCAGAAAAAAATAACATTCATGTATTTCTATTTTAGGCCCTTTATGAGCTATCCAATTCACAATCCCTTTGGAATGCACCAGAAGGGATTAAACACGATTCAATCAATGCTCTTCTAGTTTTACACTGGTTTATGTAAATTAATATTCATATTCCTTTGCTTGGGACAGCTTCTAATTTACAAGGAAATCAGAACTTGTTTAACTCTTTCTCCATCTCCCAAAATTTTTGTTGCAGTTAAAGCAGGTTAAAATGAACCTCTCGGGATGGTCTTGATATTCTGCAGCAGGATGATGAGGGATCAGGAAGCTCATTCCTAGTCCCTGTATTTATTTCATCAGTAAACCACATCCCTAGGAGGGTCTCCTGAAACACTCATCCTTGCATTTCTTATGTTCTTTTGCTAAACAAAGGTGGTCTGTCAATCACAGTGGCAAAAACCCAGGTTTAGAAAAACTCAACAGATCTACACTTAAAGATGGCAAATATCAAGCAGGAGCCTGTGTGAGTAGTTGTCTCCAAAATATACCAAAAAAAAAAGAAAGAAAGAAAAAAGGACGTCTTAGCATGGAAGGTGTGAAGGGCATGTTCATATTTTCTTAGCTGCAGGAGGGTACTTATGCATATGGCATAGGTGTAAGCCAAAAGTAATTTGGGGGCCAGGCTGAAGTCGCTACTGTCTCCCTTCTACTTAGTAATTGCCTGACTCCTTTTAACTGGAGGAGGCAGATGGAATTCATGTCACTGTGTGGAGGCCTTGATTACTCATGTCACTCAGTCACTAAATCAGGTAGATGTTTAAATAAGTTTCAGTAACTGACAGTTTCTCCCCTCTCACATTCTCTCCTTATCCTCTCATACCTGGATGATTCCATTGTTTCTTAACCAGCATCCTAAACAGTTTCTTCCTAACTGGTTCTTCCTAAGAGGTTCTCCAGCCCCTAATTCCTAAATTCTGGTCATTCTGTCTTATAAAAATTGTCACTCTTGGGCTTCCCTGGTGGCGCAGTGGTTGAGAGTCCGCCTGACGATGCAGGGGGTGCGGGTTCGTGCCCCGGCCCGGGAAGATCCCACATGCCACGGAGCAGCTGGGCCCGTGAGCCATGACCGCTGAGCCTGAGCGTCCGGAGCCTGTGCTCCGCAATGGGAGAGGCCACAACAGTGAGAGGCCCGTGTACCAAAAAAAAAAAAAAATTGTCACTCTTGCCTTAGGTTCAAGTGAGAACTTTGTAGCCTTTTTTCATAATGATACTTTCTGCTCACACTAACCAGCACTAATAACTGAAATTTACCTTTCTATTCCTTTTTGTTGTTGTTTGTTTTTTGGACAACTTTACTCATCTGCAATTCCTTCTCTCCTTCTACCTGGGAGAATCTTTCCAATTTCATCTCAAGTTCCAACTCCATGAGTAAATTCCCCTAATTAGAAAAATCTAGTTTCTCTGATAATGTGCTTTGATGATATTAATAATTGGGTACCATTATTATCAATGGAAAATTTATAATGCATCTATTCTTTTCTGTCATTAAACTAAACCCTAGGTCGTTAGTCTTCTTTATCTTGTTTTCCCACTACTCTAGGTGCTTTTTAATTGACTGAGCTTTAAAATCCTGTCAAATGGGTAGGATTACCCCCATAATAATCAGATTCAGTGATTTTCTGTTCTTCTGTGGAAAGCTACGGGTAATAAATCTCTCTGCCCCTCTATGGCCCTCCTCATGGCTTGATTTCGGCACTAGGCCCCTTACTTCTGAGCTATGCCACCCAAGGTGTTGGGGCTACTGAAAAAGAACCACACCTTTGCGGTATGAAAGTCTTCAGATGTAAAATATCAGTATTTACCTGTGTACATATGGGGTAGGCAGGATGTGGAAAAAGAATGGCATTTCTGAATTATCTTGATTTTTAGTTATCACTTCTATAAAATAAAGCTACTGGTCATTCAGAGATTATATACTTGTTTGTTTTTAAATTACATGTACTTATAGGCAACCAGGTAAGCCTGAAATGGTTATACAACTTAATTTTCCAACAGGTACAAATAAAATGTGACATGATTTAGATTTGTCAAGAAAATCAAAATTCATTAAAAAAAAAATCTCATGTTAAGCACTACCATTTCAATGTATGCCTTTAAAATTAAAAAAAAAAGTGTGTGTGTGTGTGTGTGTGTGTGTGTATGTGTCTTAACAATCAAGATCATTGTTTGGATGATGGACAGAAAGGCTAAAAATTGTCCAAGTTACTGTTATAATTTTATTGCTGTGCATCAATTATATTTCTGTGCAATTGGCTGTAATAATTGTAGCATAATAGAACACAGTTTTATATGATCCTGTACACTTTCAAAATCCACCCATTTCCTTTAACATATTATGAAAATGTTAAAATAAACATATCAGTCTTCCTATGACAGCTCTTCCAAGGAATAAAGCCTCAGGGGTAACTGTTGAGGATCATACTGATGCTGTTGTTTAATACAGCAATGCCAAAGGGGAAAAGTTTTGGCTCTATCCTTTTTTTATTATTATTTTTTATTTTGTGTTTTTTTTTTTTTTGGCTCTATCCTTTTTTTAATTATTTTTTTTTATTTTGTGTTTTTTTTTTGGCTCTATCCTTTTTAACTGAAACTTTCTTAGTTTCAGTTTCCTCATCTGTAAAGAACTAATAGAATAATAATTATGTATATTAGTAGAGAACTATTGAATTTACCTTATATTTTGGAGACTTCATAGACTAACACATGACTTCTGGCCGACTCAGTAATGCAACCGCTCAATTAATGTTGATTATTTCTACGTGGTAAAACTATATAGTATTAAAGTTACATGAACTCTATCAATCTTTTATTTCTGTAATCAGGAATAAACTGAATGGTAATTCCTGTTTGTTCAATAATTTTTATTTTAAATTCCAATTTGACTAATTTCCTGAGGGTTTGTTTTAGGCAAAGGACTGTTCTAGATGTTCTGATGGATTTAATAATACAACTAGGTGTTTTCTGTGCCCCCTTGGTCCTCATATCTTGACATCAACCATCTGGTGAGACAGAAACAGACATTTAAAAACTTACTGTGCTAGAATCTCAAAGAAAGTACAGGATATGGGCAAGTACGTTCTAATATGGAATGCCTTTATGTAGCGTTACAAATATCTAACACTCCATTATTGGAATTATGAATAGCTAAACTTTTTTCCTTATATGGGTCCAGGCTCCCCAGTTCTCAGCACCCGAGTCTCAATGCCTGACAGACTTCCAAGAACAAAGATTTCTTTTATAAAACCTTTAGGACTTAACAATGGCTAACTTGGCCTGTGTATTTATTTACAGCTTTGTTTCTGTTAAATTTACCACCTGACCTCTTTCCTTACTGATCCTCAAGGGGAAACAGCCCATTAAAAAACCATAAATTAATAGAAGGATCTCAATTTTGTAGTTAAGGATACCTCACCCATCTTGAACCTGAAATTTGCTGAAGTGTTTGAATAGACACAAAATCCTTCCAAACGGTCTACAGTAACCCAATTAGTAACAACCTTTCTACATTTCCAAATAACAGACTGTATAGTTTCAGAACAAAATTCCTTACTTTTTTCCCTTCAGCTACCAGTTTAGAAATAGTGAAGAATTTGTTACTTCCACAAGAAGGGAATATCGTTTCAATACAGAATAACATAACACTGCTGTTTTGTAGGGATGAGAAGAAAGCGAAGACAATATTTTCTGCAATAGAGAACGCTCAAGCTTACAGCTGATTTTCATGTTTTACTGACAAATAGGAGGTACTTTCATAAGATTTGATTTAGAGATTAAGATAGGGAATTTAGGAAAACAGAAAAAGACCCCTTTAATGGCGTCTGCTGAAAGGCTCATGATTCCTACATTCGAGTTCATTCCATTTTTTCCTACTCAGAGACCCACCCAGCTGCCCTTGTTGGTTGCTTTGGCCCTTTGTAAAGAAGACCTGGTGGGTAGAGACCGCCACCAAGTTCTCAGGAGCTGTCAAGGTCTTCCCTTTGGTGATAAAGCTAATAACCTAAGCCTTGGCTCCGTTTTAGGGGTGGTCGTGGTATATCCGTGACAATTCTCAACAGGTCCTTGTGGTTGCTAGCGAGCTGGGCCTCACAATTCTGGTGAGCAAGGGCACCCTAGTGTAGACCAAGCGTTTAGCCACGCCTAAATGTACCAAACCTACACAAAATACGCCAAACGGGGGTGTGCAAGTAAAGCCGTGGAGGCAGTTCCTACACTGAAAACCTAAAAATAACATAGGCTTTTTAGGACTTCCCTGGTGGTGCACTGGTTAAGACTGCCTGCCAATACAGGGGACACGGGCTTGAGCCCTGGTCCAGGAATATCCCACATGCCACGGAGCAACTAAGCCTGTGCGCCAGAACTGCTGAGTCCACGCACTGCAACTACTGAGTCCAGCGCTGCAACTACTGAAACCCTCAAGCCTAGAGCCCGTGCTCTGCAAGAGAAGCCACTGCAATGAGAAGCCCGCGCACCACAACGAAGAGTAGCCCCCGCTCGCCGCAACTAGAGAAAGTCCATATGCAGCACTAAAGACCCAACGCAACCCCCCCCCAAACAAAAAACCCCACACCATAGGCTTTTTAAAGAGCTTGATTCCGAGACTCTCTCCACAAAGGTCTCTCGGGACTGCGCAAAATTTATGCTCTTAATGACCAAGTACTACGGCACCTTTTATATGATCAAGTGATTGGCTCTGAAAAGAGCCTTTGGGTTTCAGTTATCACTCGATTAAGAAAGCCAATTTACGCCCTCTCCCCGCGGATGCGGCGAGCAAGCTGGATGTCCTTGGGCATAATGGTGACGCGCTTGGCGTGGATGGCACACAGGTTGGTGTCCTCGAAGAGCCCCACCAGGTAGGCCTCGCACGCCTCCTGCAGCGCCATCACGGCCGAGCTCTGGAAGCGCAGGTCGGTCTTGAAGTCCTGCGCGATCTCGCGCACCAGGCGCTGGAACGGCAGCTTGCGGATCAGCAGCTCCGTGGACTTCTGGTAGCGGCGGATCTCGCGCAGGGCCACTGTGCCGGGCCGGTAGCGGTGCGGCTTCTTCACGCCGCCCGTGGCCGGCGCGCTCTTGCGGGCCGCCTTGGTGGCCAGCTGCTTGCGCGGCGCCTTGCCGCCGGTGGACTTGCGAGCGGTCTGCTTAGTACGAGCCATGATGAGAGATTGCAAACACTGCTACAACTACAAGCCGTGCTGTTCTTGCTCTTATTTATACTGGCGAAGTCCTCCTGATTGGTCCGAATCTTCAAATTCCGCGCCGTGAATTAAGTAACTGGATAGGCCTTGTGATTGGATACCAGGTCTCACTTTAGAAAATCTAGATCTATTGCAGTACGCTCTATATTTTCTCGCTTAAAGTCCTCCGCCATTTATTCACCCTGTATGTTACATGTTTTATATATACCTTAATTGGTTTTGTTTTAATCCCCTTGTTCGGGATTAAGTTTGGGAAGAGACGAAAATGAACGTTCCCGAGTTCTGAGCCCTTTCAAAAACTACGGTTTTGAATGTAATTGATCGAGTCCAGTTTCGTCACTTATCAAAGGTTCTGATTTTGAATAAATGTTTTATTTTAGCAACGCAAGCACAATATTACATAATTCCCAGCTCTCCAACAAACGCTGGCATCAATTCCAGACACTGTTCCTAGAAAACACGAAAATACTACCGCCGTTGAAATGTGACGATCCTTAATTCTTCGTAAAGCTTAAGTGTTGCCGACTTTGATCAAGCCGAATTGGAAATGCCAATGGCATAATTTTGAAAACATTTATATATTTAGCTGATTTCTATGTTCTCTTTTCTAGAATTACTAACCCGGTAACTGAATTTTGGCAGAAAACTAGTCATAAATTTGTATCGGGCGTTTGTCTCTTTAGGTCCGGATTTAGAGAGAAACAAGGCTCACGAGTAGATACTTACGGACAAGACATTAATTTTTTGCCCTATTTTGAAAACGAAAGTTATTTTTTCTGATGGTGGGGGGGATGTCTAGTGTTAGTGCCACTTAAACAGCCAATCAAAAAGCAGATTTGAAATCACCTTATTTGCATAAAAGGTTTCTACTGGCTGATTTGACCCAATCAGGAATTGAGATAGATTAAGCACCTATTTGCATAGAAGCCCTACAAAAATAGGCCAACATTGTAACAGGTGTTGTCAGTTTTCGTCTGTTTTGATAACTTTACACCATGCCTGAGCTGGCCAAATCTGCTCCTGCTTCCAAGAAGGGATCTAAGAAGGCGGTGACCAAGGCGCAGAAGAAGGATGGCAAGAAGCGCAAGCGCAGCCGGAAAGAGAGCTACTCTGTATACGTGTATAAGGTGCTGAAGCAGGTCCACCCGGACACCGGTATCTCGTCTAAGGCTATGGGCATCATGAACTCGTTCGTCAATGACATCTTCGAGCGCATCGCGGGCGAGGCGTCGCGCCTGGCGCATTACAACAAACGCTCGACCATCACCTCCAGGGAGATCCAGACGGCCGTACGTCTGCTGCTGCCTGGGGAGCTGGCCAAGCACGCCGTGTCCGAGGGTACCAAGGCTGTCACCAAGTACACCAGCTCCAAGTAAATGTTTCCAGGCGCTGTTAAACCCAAAGGCTCTTTTCAGAGCCACTCACACTTTCAAAAGGGGCTCTAATGCTGCATACTATTCGTTTCTAGAGAGAAGTAAGGTCAGGTTTGAAAATTGACTAATTAGGCATCTTTACCATTCTCATTTCTTCAGAAATAGGGCTCTTTTTACTGAGCAGAAATAATTTTAGCGAGCACAGAGCAGAGAAACGGTTTTATATTAAGAACTGAGAAGTCAGTTTTAGTTGCTGAGCTATTGAGAATTTTAGCAGTCAGACCATCAAATGATTGTGAAATCTTTAGTTATTCATGTAATAGAGAAAAGGAAGGGGTAAGAAACCTCAAGTAGCCTGGAAATATAAAACCTTGATTTTTGGATACAGTCCTTGGCTGGCAGCCCAGTGAGTCAGTCAGTCTTCCCTTAAGGCTGATTGGAATTAGCAACAATACAATTTCAGCTACAGATTTTCAAAATACCATGAGACTAAGGATCATACACGACAGGCTACCTGCAATATCGATCAGAGCTCTTTAGTTGCTATCCTTATCAAAAGTGGACTTTTGATAAGTCCACTGTCATGGCCATTTCTCTGCTGGATTGGGGAGGGTGGGGGGGAGTTGCAGAGTATTGTGAGATCATAGACCTGAGTGTGCCCAAGATTCTTCTCTAAATGAACTCTTGAGTGGAAAAACTAGGACTCTGAGTTTATTCATTCATTCATTGAGAGCCTATTAAGTTTCTCAAAAAGTGACAGGTACTAGGGACAGAGCAATGAGAAGGATAGAAACAATCTCTCTCCTCACAGGGCACACTCTTTAGACAGTACCCAAACGAACAGTATTTAGACAGTACCCAAACGAACAGAAGGGAAGTATCAGTCTAAATGTCACTTTAGCATTGCCAAAAGCTGAACTGACTTAACCTTAAATTTTTAATTTCCCTGGAGGCAATTCTGGAAGGGAGGTGGAGTAAGAGAGATGGCAAGGGAAGAGGAGACAGTAAAAGAGAGAAAGGAATTACAAAAATATGCGGAGTTCAAGTTTGTATTTGTGGACTATGGTTAACAACAGATGTTATATATTTACATTTTCAGGTTACCATGTTTTATCATTGGTCCACAAGAATTTTGTATTGGTCCTAGTGCTGTGACTTACTGAAATGTAGGATCTTACTGAAATGTAGAAAGGAATACTATACTAATAAATCTTGTCCATTATTCCTCTTAAAGATTCTCCTTAATAAGATTTCTTCTTTTTTTAATGTGCACCTGTATGACTTAGTATTAGATACCCCTAGAAGTGACAGACAGCCTAAAAGAGTCAGTGGTTAAGCAAAATTAAAGTCTTTTTCTCTCTATGTAGCTCAGGCCTGGAATGGGCGCTCCACTCTCCTTAGGGAACTCATCCCTTTCTATGTATAAGGTATGTTCTCTCTATTATTTGAGAATATTCTCAAATATATTCTACTATTCAATTCTACTATGGAGAGCCTACCGAGAACAAACTGGATGGATGAAATTCATAAATATTAAGTAGGTAATTCATAAGTAGGAAACATATAAGAAATGTTGGATAGGTAAGCAAGGCATTTATGAGATACAAAATTCAGAAGCCGTATTTACTGTAAATCATTAAGTTAGTACCTCGTGAGATGTCAGACAGAGGGAAAGTAGAGCTTGTGTGTGCTACATGGAGATATAAAGTGATGAAAGAACCAAGAAGTGCCAAATATTTGTAAGACACTAAGTATTTATGAGTTCCCCAATATTTATGAGTTCTTAAACTGACCACCCACTGGTGACTCCCACTTTGGTACCATTTGCCCTCTACAGACAACATGCACATAAAAGACATGTTTCCTTGGTATGTCACTGGTGACCTCCCTAGATGGGAGGCTGTATACTCAGCCCTGCATCTCTCCAACAGAGCAAGCATGTGTTGGCTCCAAAGCACTTCCATCTGCTGGACCCCTTTGCTCAAAGTCCAACCTAGTTCTCAGCAGAGAAGAAATTCAAAGGAAGGCAGGGCGTGAGAGGAGAGAGGGAGAGGGGAGGGTCAGAGAGAGATAGGAGAGAGGGAGGGGGAGGAGAAGGGGGAGAAGAGGAGGAAAGGGAGGTTTCACATGAAAAGTGAAACCAAGGATTCAACTGATCTTTTGCAACCTATCTGAAATGTGTTCATTTGTCCAGTATCTTTTCCCTTGTTTCTTGCTATATATTTAAAATTGATTCAATCAAATTAATCAGGGAACTTAAATTGGCCTGTGAGACTTTATGTTCTATGACCTTGGAAATGGCCTGCCTGGTAGTGTATTGGAAGGCTACCACTGCATTAATTTCTCACTTGTCATTCTAGTTGTCATTCTTAATAAGATATGGTCCCTGTTACCTAGGACATATAACATTGTCCTATAGAGCAAATAATAATGTATACAAATATAGAACAGTAATGAAATATGCTTAAAATTGAAGGGCTTTGAGGTTCACTACCTGGGAAATTTGTTGTCACCATTTACTAGCCAGGTGACCTTGGGCATTATGCAGAATCACTCAGCATGCTTCCCCATCTGTAGAGATAATACAGTAACTCTTATAGGTGACTTGCTCAAGCATATTTAGTGTTGGGACTGCCCCAGAACTCTGTTGTTTCAATGCTCTGTCTACCACTATCAGGAAAGAACAGAGGACCTGTGCATAGTGACTTTAGAAAATACACAGGTTTTCTGGAAAGAGAATTAGAGCTAGTGTGGATATCTGAGGTGACAGATACATGATACTAACTTCAGGGCCCCAGTTCTGCACAGATAAACTCTATAAACCTTCAGAGGCAGAGGCACACTGGCTGTTAACCTCTCCTTCCTGAGCCCTCAGAGACCTTGTTTCCCAGCTTCCCTTGTAGTTGGGTGTGGCCTTCTTAGCCCACATAGCTGAGTTCCTAACAATGGAATGTAAATAAAAGTAAAGTTTGACATTTTCAGGTCTGGGGCATAATAACCTCCCACGAAGACTTTCCAAGCTCTTTCCCCTCCCAAGACAAAAGTGTTTTAGAAACAAAAGAGGCCCAAAATAGAGTTATGTCATCACACCAAGACTTAATTACAGTTTTGGCTTCCCCAGAAATGAAATCTTAAACTAGTCAAACAGGAATTCCTGCTCAGCGCCAGTCAGGTAATCAGCCGGACAGACCCCTGCCAACCCCTAAAGGAAAGCAACCTTGCAATAAGCTACCCACTTTTTTTCCTAGTGTAACTTCCCTGTTCCTGCTCCCTTCTGCCTAGAAAAATCTTTTCTTTTGTACAGCTCCTCACAGCTCTCTTCTATCTGCTAGACTGGATGCTGCCTGATTCATGAATCACTGAATAAAGCCAATAAGATCTTTAAAATTTACTCCATTGAATTTTATTTTTTAACATGGGAAAGCAATGTGTTTAGGATGATTGAGACACAGAGATAAAAGCGCACCTGGGCTCCAGAACCACTGCTTGGAAGAAAGAGCTACTTGCTGATCTAGAACACCCTTTTTGGACCTCATAAAAGCAGAGAATAAACTTGCAATAAGCCGTAAGGTTGTCAATTGGAAAAATAATAATAACCTGAAAGTTGAGAATTATGTTATATTCAGCAGGTATATGGAGGACTTAAGCCCAGGAGACAGCCTCTCAGATAGCTCTGAGGGACTGGTCCTGAAGAGGTAAAGGAGGATCCAGGATATACAGGAGTTTTTGGAAAAAAAACAAAAAAAACACAACAACACAAAAAAGCACGTAGTTGGAACGTCAAAAGATTACTGTTAAAGATAACAGCCATCTCAAGTTAATGAAGTTAGGCCTTTTCTATATCTGGGAAGATGCAAGAGTCTGGACTCATTGAAATCATTCCTTTGATATATATGTAGCTTAACTATCTAGGGCCAGTATCCTGTTTTTCTCCATCCTGAATCCCCTCAGGGTGCACAGGCGGGAGCGGTTGCAGGAGCTGATGGCTTGATGGCCGCCACATCCTTAGTTTACTGATATGGCAGGTGACATTCTTCGTCCACAAGGTTTGGGGGTTTATCTTAATATACCCTCCACCAAGGCAGGGTCCCAATCTCTATTTTCTAAAAGGAAGTTCTGTTACTTGCTGGATCTCAAACCTTGTAGAACCAGATAGCTAGCTACATTCTTTAGTTGGCAAAGGATAGAGGACATTTTCTTCCTCCCCGACAGTTTCAGTTGTCTGGCAAAACCTGAAGGACACCAGTTTTCCATTCTTTCCTTGAACACTACTTATTAAAAATGAAAGTAATTAATAGTTTACACTCCATAATGAAAATCCCTGCATTTGGACTGCAGTGTCTCCCAATAGGAAGGGTTCAGAAGAGATGTGATCTCTTAGTTCTGTGCCAAGACACAGCTATAGCTCAAGATCTGCAGCTGAGAACATGTAACACCTTTATCATAAATAAATAAATGTATTTTAATTTTGTTTTATTTTTAAAATCATGGGTTTGGCCATCAAATCATCACCATTTTGAAGGTTTTAATATAGAGTTCTATTAGCCATGAGCCAACAGATGAGCAGTTTTATTTATATTTGGGGACTTATCCATAATTATGCAATGTAATCTCAGAAAATTTACTTGTTAGAGTGTATAAAGCCTTTTTAGAAATATTACATTTGGATTCTCTTTTTTCTGAAAAGTAAAACGATGATGGTGATTATTTGGAACCTCAAAATATCTTACTTTTTATTTTAAATAAATTATCAAATAATTAATGGTCTTTCCTTAATGACTGGTATCCTTGAATCAGGCTGGCAGTCCTCCCTGGGATTAGTACTCATCTCTTCCTGCCCCGGCCTCAGTTTACCATCTGAATTGGGTGTGCTCAGGAAACTAGAACAATACTTTTGGGGAAAAAAAAAAAATGTGTAAAATCGCTGCTGAGCTTGAGACTTGAAACTCCAGTTTGAGAAAACAGAAGAGGAACCTGGTTCTATCTAGTTGGTTATCAGACCTGCGACCATCATTCCAAGTGATGCTCCCAACATAGGACCTTCGCAATCACGGTTTCTTCTCTATGGAATGATCTTCTTACAGATGTATGAAGACCCCTCTCCCTTCCAAGCTTCATGACACTGGCTTTCGTGTCTCATCTCAGTCGTGAAGTTTTCCCCACCCACCTTATTTAAAATGACAACTATCCACCACCCATCTCCCACTCTGTGGCAGTCCTTCATCCCCTTGGTCTGTTTTCTTTGTGTTTTCTTAATCCTCTTTACCTACCAAAAGACTGTTTATCTTTGTTTATTTTCTGCCTCCCACAATAATCGTCGGTGAGCTCCGCACAGTAGGATCTTTGCCATGTTACGCATTACTCTTTCCAACACCTAGAACATTGTTGAGCACACAGTAAGCACTCAAAAAGTTTTTGATGAGTGGATGGATGGATGAAGTAAAATGGACATATGCACATAGCACAAAATGTCCATCCATTCTCTAGTGATGGAGATAAAGTCCATGACAGTTTTATCCAAATGAACCCCTGTGAGAGGTAGTTCCCCTCACTATGCTTCCATTTCTTCATGATCATATTTGAGCTGATAATGGCCCCCCCAATCCACAGAGTTATTGTGAGGATTAAATTAACTAATCCATATAGGCACTAAATTACAGACTTTGAATTGATATAATCATGAATCTGGACAGTTCCCAAGGCCGGTATTGTTAACATCTCTACTTGGCAAATGACATAATAAAGACCAAGAGTGCTACATGGACCTTGCAACACAGGGGGCTTGTATTCAGCCAGAAGGTCACTACTGACTGACCCAGTGATATAAAGCTGGATAGCTCACCACTCTTCCTGATACAAAAACCCCTTACCTGGTTCCTGAAGACATTTGATTTTCAATTCAAATAAATCGTTTGTTACCTGAGGGTAAACAATTTGCCTGTGTCCATAAAACTAGTAAATGGAAGTACTATGCTATGAGTCACCTTTAACCCCAAATGTTTATATTTTATAAATGATTTTCTCTTTTCTCCCTAACTATAAATCCTCCAGGTCAGCTTCTATTTTCAAGGTTTGAATAGCACAAAATAAAGAAAAATGGGCCTTGATTTTTGTGCTGGAGCACAACTGAGACCACCTGAAAATAAAGCAGAACCTGATTAAATGAGAGAGAAGGACACAAAAACTCCTATATGCAACTCCTCTCAAGACCTTCCATCTCACTCAGAGCAAAAGCCTAATTCCTTACCGTGACTTACAAGCCCCTGCATGATCTGGCTTCCTTTCATTTCTCTGCCATTATTTCCTCCTACAGCGCCCAGCCCACTCCACTCCACATAGCCCCCCTGGCATCTCAACATTCCTCCTCCTCTCCCTCTTTTTTTTTTTATAATTTATTGATTGATTGATTTTTGGCTGCGTTGGGTCTTTGTTGCTGCATGCGGGCTTTCTCTAGTTGCGGCGAGCAGGGGCTACTTTTTTTGTTGCCGTGTGTGGGCTTCTCATTGCGGTGGCTTCTCTTGTTGCGGAGCACGGGCTCTAGGCGTGCGGGCTTCAGTAGTTGTGACACGCAGGCTCAGTAGTTGCAGCACGCGGACTCAAGAGCGCAGGCTCAGTAGTAGTGGCACACAGGTTTAGTTGCTCCGCGGCATGTAGGATTTTCCCAGACCAGGGCTCGAACCCGTATTCCCTGCATTGGCAGGCGGATTCTACCACTGCGGCACTCACCAGGGAAGGCTCCCGTTTTCTCTTTCCACAACTTCTTCCTCACAACTCTTTGCTGAAATAACTACCTCCATACTGCCGTCTTCATTGGTCACCTTATCTAAATTTCAACTCCCCATGACAATCCTTATTCTTGCTTTATCATTTTTCTCGCCATCTAACATATTCCATATGATACTGATTTATTGTCTATCCCAGGGTCAAATGTAAATTCCATGAAAGCAAAGAATCTTGTCTGTTTTTTTCTCCAAGTATATTCCCAGTGCACAGAACAGCATCTGGCACATTGTAAACTCAACAAATGTATGTGGAATAAATAAATTTAAAAAGTCATCAAAGTTAAATGTTGTTTGTTGGGGGAGTAATCATGGCATCACAATTAGGTTTTAAAGTAGATGTATATTAAAATGTTGAGAGAGGAAATGATATGATTTGCTTGACAATAATCAAGGTAGAAGAGGTATAAATTTGGCCAGTGTTGATGTTGAGACTGGGTGAGGAGTACGTAGGGTCTGTTAAACTATTATCTCTACTTCCATATATTCTCAAATGTTGCATAATAAAAAAAAATCTTTTTTAAGTTTTAAAAAATGAAACAATATCCAGGGTGGGGGGTGAGGGTAGGGAGATAAATTCCTAAATAATTTTTTTTTTTAAAGGCTATGGAGAAAGGCCACCTGAAAGACCAAACAAGACCTTGTGCTAATCTGTACAGGAAAGCACAATGTGAAGACAGAGGTATCCACTCTCCAGGATGTTCCTCCTTGTAGCATCCCTGAAAACCTAGTAATGTCAACCACTGAAAGCAGCTGCATTTCTCGATATAGACTCACATTAGCCCTGTCCTCAGAAATCGCTATAAAAGCCAAATACTATTTGATTCATTGCAGTGAAATAAACTGTCATCAAGCAAGCCAGAAAGTCCTCCTTTGGAACTACAAGGAAAGCCTGATTCAGTTAGGTAACTCCTTGCTAAGCCTGGAGTCCAACAGGAGCTAACCACAAGATTGGAATTTATTCAATATTTAGTCCTGGCCCTAGCTACCTATTGGAAGCACCTGAGTTTTAATAGTTACTGTTGCCTGGGCCCACCTCATACAATTATAGTCATACTGATTGGACCCCAAGCAAAACTATTTTAAAAGCTCCAATTGACTGTAATGTGCAGTCACCACTGAGACCACTGATCCATAATGAAATCAAACTCTAGAGGCACCTTGTGATGTGCAACTGCTTGACAGAAATTTCATTCTATTACATAAATAAGTGTAGTTTGCAAATGCTTTCTCCTGGTAAGAGTTCAGACAGGCTGCTCTTCTTGATGAGACCAAAAACACCATTTTAAAAAATAGACTTCTTAATCTAGCATTCATAAGAATCACCTGGGGTGAACTGGGTACAACGTAGATTCTGACTCAGTAGACCTGGGTTGGGTCTGAAAATCTACGTTTCTAGCAAATTCTCAAGTGATGTACATGCTGCTGCTGGTGGACCACATTTGAGTAGTGAAACTAGAAGCCAGCAGGGTTCTCTGTCTTGGGTTCTGCTACCAATAAGTTTATTAGAAATCCTGACTGAGAAGTCTAATTTTTTTTTAAAGAAGTCTACTATCAGCAAAATAACGCCCTTATTGTTCTCTGTGTAAAAGGTCAAACATTTCACGGGAAAGCCAAAACTGTTTCACCTTTAACTTGGCAGAGATTGGAACTGAGCAAATTGAGGTCTCAGAGACATTAGAAAGCAAAGACAAACGCTCTAGCTTCTCAATTGTCAATACCCAAACATGTGGGAACACAGCTTTAGAAGGGGTAATCAGCAAATCCACACCCACCTTCACCCAAATTCAACCTTTTGTGGGTAAAGCAGCTCACCTTCCATACATAATCCACGTACTCCAATAACCCGACCTTCACATCACACCGATTACTGCCCCTTCCAAACTACCTAAAACACGGCTTACTCTATTGCCAAACCTACCAATCCCCCACTCCACCTGCATGTGTTTATATTACATTTCCCACGAGACAGCATTGAGGAAATTCGTAACCTACGAATTGAAGGTATGCAAAGCTACCAGAATTTAATTAACTGAAATAGTACAGATACTTGTGAAGTTACACGACACTCCCAAAACACAAGCTTACCCAGTAACTCATGAGGAAATTCCCACCTTAACATCCCAAACCAACTCTCCGAAACAGAACAGACTAAATGACAGCTACTTTAAAGAAAACGTGGGTGGCTCTTAGAAGAGCCTTTTTAGTTGGATTGAGATAGCTGAGAAAGCTTTACGCCCTCTCCCCGCGGATGCGGCGAGCAAGCTGGATGTCCTTGGGCATAATGGTGACGCGCTTGGCGTGGATGGCACACAGGTTGGTGTCCTCGAAGAGCCCCACCAGGTAGGCCTCGCACGCCTCCTGCAACGCCATCACGGCCGAGCTCTGGAAGCGCAGGTCGGTCTTGAAGTCCTGCGCGATCTCGCGCACCAGGCGCTGGAACGGCAGCTTGCGGATCAGCAGCTCCGTGGACTTCTGATAGCGGCGGATCTCGCGCAGGGCCACTGTGCCGGGCCGGTAGCGGTGCGGCTTCTTCACGCCGCCCGTGGCCGGCGCGCTCTTGCGGGCCGCCTTGGTGGCCAGCTGCTTGCGAGGCGCCTTACCGCCGGTGGACTTCCGCGCAGTTTGTTTAGTTCGAGCCATCGTAAGAAACCAAACAAAAATGAAACCAAGTAGGCAAATAAGTAGGAAGAGGGCCCCTTTATATATACTCAGAAACGTTCCGATTGGCCTTGCGCTATTTCAAAAGCCCCGCGAAACAAAACCATTGGCTGAAGAGTCAACGCAGTGATTGGTGAAGAACTAGAGACTCTGATTGGATGAAATACTCCACATTTCAATCCCTCTTTTTGTTATACTCTGCGACCCAAAGGAACTAACTTTCTAATGTTCTAGTTCAGCGCATCTCACATTATAAGTAAGGAACCACTTGGGGATCGTGGACGATGCCAATTCTGATTCAAATCTATGTAATGGGGCCTAGAATTCCGAGGACTACACTTTAAGAACAGATTTACTTGTATTCTTTTTCCTCCGTTGTTACTTTTTCTGAACTGAACTTAGATTCCCCAGGGCTGCCACTTCCTATCTCCACTGGGAAACCACGGGGAAAGCGACGGGCCGGGGACGACCAGCAAACAGTGCGCAACAAATGATTGACTTTCCTATGGTGGCCAAATGGGATTTTGCTTCAGTTTGTTACAGCAGAAATTACTTAAGATAGCCGCCATCATATCTAACTCTTCTTTTAGCCCAGTCAGCCAGTCTCTCAGAGATCTTTCTTTCTTGCTTAATTTCACTTTGAAACTGATTATTTTCTAGTTAGAGTTGTACTATGCACCTGGTGTTTATTTCTCCGAGAAAACACTCCCTTCCTCTGTGAACATTTTTCATTCCAGAAAGGAGATCACGGTGCGATAACCTCAAGCACCACCAGAGCCAGTCCCAGGACCGCCGGACGCCATCTTTGATTTTGAAATTTTCCTGAAGTAAAAAAGAACGCAAAATTGCATTCTTATCTGCGACCCTATTTTCCACTCCTAGACTGTATAAGATAACTTCCTACTCTCTCAAGGGAGGGCACAGTCTTGAGGGCACTAGTCTGCTGTGGTCTCCATTGCCTGGCAAAGCAATGAAAGCTACTCTTTTGTACTTCCCCAAAACTATGTCGCCGCTTACTATTCGGCACGGGTGAACAGAGGCCGAGTTTCGGCAACAAGTTCAGAACTTGAAAAGCCCGCGCTGATCTGATTTGCCAGCCGTTCTTTCGTTTGGCTGTTTCAAACGTCTTAGTGACATTCTAAGCTACCACCTTACCCAACCTGCCTTCTCCGCAGGATAGAATGTTTCCCTTCTCGCTAAATAACCAAACTACCCCAGGTTTTTAAAACGTTACCAAAACTTGCTTCTTCACCACTACTAAAAGCCCTTGCTTACGGTACTAACCACTTTTTTGTAAAAGTTCTGTTTCCGAGTCACACTTCAATCAGTCCCGTTAGATAGCGAAGATAACTTGCGATAATAAACTGTGGCGATTATCCAGTGGCTTTAACCGCGCGTAAGCTTCATAGACCCAGCCCAGGTTTAGTTACAAGCTTTTTTAAGTGTGAAAATGTGGACGGCTCTGAAAAGAGCCTTTGGGTAAAAAGTTATAGACACGCACTGATATTGGGATTGGTTCACTTGCCCTTGGCCTTGTGGTGGCTCTCGGTCTTCTTGGGCAGCAGTACAGCCTGGATGTTGGGCAGGACGCCGCCCTGAGCGATGGTGACTTTGCCCAGCAGCTTGTTGAGCTCCTCGTCGTTGCGGATGGCCAACTGCAGGTGACGCGGGATGATACGCGTCTTCTTATTGTCGCGGGCCGCGTTGCCCGCCAGCTCCAGGATCTCGGCCGTCAGGTACTCCAGCACTGCCGCCAGGTACACCGGAGCGCCGGCCCCGACCCGCTCGGCGTAGTTGCCCTTGCGGAGCAGGCGGTGCACACGTCCCACGGGGAACTGGAGCCCGGCGCGCGAAGAGCGGGTCTTCGCTTTGGCACGTACCTTACCGCCCTGTTTCCCCCGGCCAGACATGACAAAACACCAAAGTCAAAACAAAAACCAAAGAAAATGACCCTCAGAACACAAGAAACTAGACTATTATACTCTGCGGCGGTTTGGTAAAACAGCCTGTGCGATTGGCCGAACACAAACCTTAGCCAATCAAAAGCTAGTTCTAAAACAACAACGTTACTAATTTACATAGAGAGTTTGTAATTGAAAAGTCAAATTATGTAAGGTTGAGCTAAGGGAAGAGCCAATGAGACTTTGTAATAAAGAGCCTATCAGAGATTAGGATGATGAAAAGACCAATCACAAATCGCAATTCTGCCATCTCTAATTTGCATACAGACCAAGCAAATACTGATGCCGATTGCTCGTGGGCGTATTTGTTTCTCGTTCGCTACCTGGTGGTTTTGTGGGTCTTGCGATGCCTGAGCCAGCTAAGTCTGCTTCTGCTCCGAAGAAGGGCTCCAAAAAGGCGGTGGCCAAGGCCCAGAAAAAGGACGGCAAGAAGCGCAAGCGCAGTCGCAAGGAGAGCTACTCCGTGTATGTGTACAAGGTGTTGAAGCAGGTTCACCCGGATACCGGTATTTCCTCCAAGGCCATGGGCATCATGAATTCATTTGTCAACGACATCTTCGAGCGCATCGCGGGCGAGGCGTCGCGTCTGGCGCATTACAACAAACGCTCGACCATCACGTCCAGGGAGATCCAGACGGCCGTGCGCCTGTTGTTGCCCGGGGAGTTGGCCAAGCATGCCGTGTCCGAGGGCACCAAGGCTGTTACCAAGTACACCAGCTCCAAATAAGCTCGCTCCCTCTCCAATAACTCAAGGCTCTTTTAAGAGCCACCCACATTGTCTCTTAAGGGTCTGTAACTCCAGACTTCAAAATTATATTTATATATGACCTAGGAAAGAGAAAAAGCTCTGAAGCCTTCGGAAAGTTACTCTTTCGTAAGAGACGTTTACCTTTGTAAGAGAAATACCCCTTTTGTATGGGTGTCTCTTACTCTACCAGGAAGAGGAGAATGGCCGAATGTGTTAATCTATGGAAAAGCCCACAACTTACATCTGCATAACAACGTTACCCTTGTTTCCTGTGCTTTCACCTGGCTGCCCATTCCCATCGTTTTTAGTTTTTAGCTGAAGAGGTATTTAAGGTGGTAGCCGCAGCCATTTTGTCGATTTTGTTTTACTGGGGCTCTCCAATGTATACAGGAGGTACATCGTTGTTACGTTTGGTTTTTCTCCTGTCAGTGTGTCTTCTATCAATTATTAGGCCAAAGAATCTAGAAGGGAAGAAGGAAAAAAAATTTCTTCCCTACATCTACACAGTGAGTTTTGTGAACATGAAATAAGTTACTATATTTTGAATGGTGCTTGTGAAGAAAATTCCCTAAACTCCACATATAATTAAGGCATTCATTTCTTGCTTTCCGAAGTTAATTTTAAGTACATTTTAAAATAATGTATTCTTGAAAACAAATACATAAGTATATTTGAGAAACGGATAAGCATGGTTTCAGGGGAAATCCGCCAACATATGATACAGTCCCGACTGCCTCTTTGAATGTTAAATTTGAGCATCTTACTTAAACCCTCTGTGAGCATTTCTTTCTAAAATGGGAATAATAATTAGCAACTACTCTGTGGCACTGCTGGGGTGATCAATAAAAGAGCACAAGTAAAGTACTCAGGGTGGTGACTGCACAGAGAGGGTCTTCTAAAGTATTAGCTGTTGGCTAAAGCCTCTGGTTGAAGTGCTGGGAAGCTGCTCTTAGTCCTGCCCACTTTGGAGTCTCAGAATCTTGAAGCCATAAACAAGGCAGTAGGCCGGAAAGCCTACTAGCATTTAACGCCAATTAGGATTCCTTGTCTGGCAGTGTGAACAATCCAGACCACTTCTAACAGTCCAAGCCCCTCTTTGAAACCAGTTCGTTCCTCTGAACTGTTCTGAGGACAACCTAGTGCCTGTGACTGTAAGTCTTCCCTGCCTTTGATGGCCAATTCATGCAACATGTGCCTTACTTTCCAAGGACTTTCTCATGCCTCACTAGGATTAGAGGTACCTCTTTTAATAAGGTGTTGGGTTATAAGGAAGGCCATATAAGAACTACTCACCTCCCTCCACCCAACCACAATACTTCCTTTCTGCATCCAGACTTTCCTTCTTGGTCTTCCTTCCATTTGGAGCTTCACTTTCTCAATCTTTTTTGCCCTCAAGCATCACTTATGAATAAAGCCTTCTATGACCATATCATTTAAAATGTCACCTCCTTCCTCCATACTTTAATGCTTTTCCCAGCTTCAGTGGTCCTCATAGCACCATCTTACATACTGTTTTACCTGTTTTGTTTGTGCCCCCTCCAACAAAATATAAGCTCCATGAATATAGATATATTGTTTTATTCACAGTTGTTCACTGCTATAATTCCATAGCATCAGACAGTGCCTGGTATATGCCATGTGCTCAATTTTGTTTGTTTATTAAATTAACATCGTCATATGAATTTGTTTCCTCAAACCAGTGCCTTAGCTCAAATAACATCTGATCCTTTTCATATTTAAGCACCAGAGCCCGTATCTTTAAAACAGATGAGATTCCAAATGAGTGCATTGATTTCTGGCTCGCAAAGTATCACCCTAAAAATTACTTGCAGGCCACAAGGAGGAAAAACCTGCTTTTACAAAGACACTAATCACCCTAAACCAGTAATTGATCTATCATATCGAATCTGGATAACCCCGACATCAAGTGCCTCTGATGTACAATAGTATTTACATACAATCATCTGTAACTGTTCCTTGACAAGAAAATTAACATGATTTCAGTCAAGTCTAGGGAAAATCACTTGTAGGGCATTCAGGGTACAGAAGTCAAGGGAAATAACCCCATCAGGAAACAAGCCAAAGCAAGACATCCTATAGGCCAGGTCTACAGCAAATCAATATCAAAAAACTAAATGAGATCAAGGAGAAGAAAACTTGTAGATTAAAAGACCTGAGACAAAAAAAAGACAGAAACCTGAGACTGAAAAGGCGTGATTGGATCCTCCTAAGCAAACCAGATCTCTAAGACATTTTGGGGCATAACTGGGATTTGTTACTGTGAACCCAGTATTAGATATTAGGGAATCTGGTTTTAGTTTGGCAGTGATTATATGGGAGCTTTTTTAAAAAATAAAATAGTGCGTACTTAATTTGAGGTAAAATATACTGATGCCTGTGTAGCATTTTTTTTAAATCATGTCAACTGTAAAGCTTAGGTGACATTTATGTTGTTCATTAAGTAACATACTTCCTATCGGCTTTTTAAAATTTTAACAGAAAGTCAGAATACAGTGTTCTCTATGACTTAGAAACACGTGCTAGCTCTCCCCGCCTGTGCATTTTAATTTTACCCCCAAAGCACTGGTACAAGGGTTTTAAGTTTGCAGAGCCCAGCAGCAGGACCACACTCCAGCAGAGCTCAGGAGCGCGCCCCCGCACAGGGGACGACCCGCCCCACTCGTAAATTCGCCTTTGTTCCGGGCCCCGCTTGCCGCCACGGGCGCGGGCTTTCTTTGTTCCTCGTCCTCGCCGCCATTTTGAGCACGGACCACAGGCGGGGGAAGGGAGCCTCGCATTACTACATCGGGGGCAGTGTAAGCCGACTTCTCTCCAGTATTCAAGCACTATGCATACACGACTCCAAAAATACACCAGAATTTAAGCGGAATCTTCCTAGGGAAGACAGTGCTCTGTGAGTTTCTTCACTGCCCCACGAAACGTTAAAATGCTCAAACTTATACCCGAAACCACTTCCACAAAGCAGAAACATACACAAATCAGCCAACTTCTGCCCTCCTAAAATGTGAACTAGAAATTAAAAAGCACGAAAAATAGCTTTTGACTAAAGGTAAATGAAGTACACCTCATAAAAGGCAAGGAAAAAGAACAGCAAAAAGTGCTAGCTCTTTCACCGAAACATTTGGGCGGCCCTGAAAAGGGCCTTTGGTAGTAAAAGATGTTAAATCGCTGAGAACGGGCGACCTAACCGCCGAAGCCGTAGAGGGTGCGTCCCTGGCGTTTGAGGGCGTACACTACGTCCATGGCGGTGACGGTCTTCCGCTTGGCGTGCTCCGTGTAAGTGACCGCGTCTCGGATCACATTCTCCAAGAACACCTTCAGTACCCCACGGGTCTCTTCATAAATCAGGCCAGATATGCGCTTGACCCCACCTCGCCGGGCCAGACGCCGGATGGCAGGCTTGGTGATACCCTGGATGTTGTCGCGCAAAACCTTACGATGCCGCTTAGCGCCCCCCTTCCCTAATCCCTTACCACCTTTGCCTCGTCCAGACATGGTAATACTGCTCTGACAATACTCAAAACAGCGAGAAAAAGCCCGAGGCAATTCCCTTATATGAGCGGGTTTCGGACCGAATTGAAGACTGAAAGCGCGCTCGCCCGCACTTTCCTTTAGCCCGCCGGCCCCTCTCCTCGCGGCCCAGTCTCGATGACGTCATGATGACCTAGTCCCCGCCCGCCGAATGTGCCCTTCACGAAGGAGTCTACAGCAGGTCCTCCGGCCCTAAGTGGGACTTCTAGGACCTATTTAACAGCTGCGTCAGACTAAAAATGTTAACATTTTTTTTTACTAATTATCTTTTGCTGTTTGGGATGCTTTGGAACGGTTGCTAAGGAGCCTTGGCCCACACGACCGGAACTGCTGCAACCTTCGCTGGAATGCGGAGCCCCGCTTTGCCCCCAAGTTTACGGTGCTTCCAGCATTACTCCTCCCTACAACAAAATCCCTTCAAACCGAACCCCCCGCTCCGGAGGACTTTAAAAACTGCAGGACTTCACCCTCTCCATCACGAAGCCAAGGGAAATCTGACCAAAAGGATTTTCTTCCCAAAGGCGAATACATGGTTGGTTAGTGATTCTGTGGTAGAATTCTCGCCCGCCGCGCGGACGTCCGTGTTCCTTTCCCTCTTGTTTTCGTTTCCTTCCCTGTTTACTAAAACCTGTAATTCTCATTTAATTATCTAACCACCCCTCACCTCTGCGCCCAGTAACTTAACTCTGTTAATGTTTACTTTTCTACTACTCGTCGTTTCCTCTGATTCTGGTAGCGATATTATTCCAGAGACTTGGCAACTTGTAGCCAAGGAATTGAAATAAATAGGCGCCTTCTTACATTTTTTATATTTAAAGGCCAAGTCGCCTCTGAATAGACTTAAGATTATTATTAGGAAACGATTTCAATGAGGGAGCAGAGTGGCGCAGCGGAAGCGTGCTGGGCCCATAACCCAGAGGTCGATGGATCGAAACCATCCTCTGCTATTTTCCTTCTGTCGTTAAAATTGTGTAACCTTGTTTCACAGTAAGGAAAAAAAATAAAATGGCGTCCCACCCTTTTTTTTTTTTTTAATTCTGGAGCTAAAATGACTCCCTGAAAATAAGCGTGAAACCGTTTAAGTGATTTCTTCTGGTTGCCAAAGTAACCGTGCTATTTTATCACGACAGTTCTCGTTGCCCTATGAAGCTGCGAAAATGCTGAATTAAACTGAGGGCAGGGGTGGAAGCCAAGATCTTGAGTTACATTTCCTTCTATAACATAATTCGGAAAGCACTACTTTTAGGTAATTGTGGCCATGTGGTTAAGCTGATAGACTAGAAATCTCCTGGGCCATCCCGGCGCAGATTCTTTGCAACTACTAGAGTTTTAATCTTTGGAGTAAATAAGTAGCAGTTTGGGACAGAGTGCAGAGTTTGGGAGGCCATGATTGTACTTTGACCTGAGAAAACCACTTCGGCGGCTACTGGTAAAATGTGTCTCTACCCTTTACCTTGCTTTACAATCTCTAACAGAACTATTCTCTATGCTCATTTTTTAAATATATGTGTGGACTGTTTTATAGTTTTCTCTCTCTCAGAAAGGATTCCTATTCATATATTTATGTGTTAGATACTGTCCTAGGCGCTAAGAAAAGGCATTAAGTAGCCTACAGTGTAGAAATGCTTTTAAACAAGTAAATACGTATATACAGTACAAGTTGTTTCCCGGTAGCCCTATGACCACCCAGTAGTTGGTGATTCGCTGGAAGGAGTCACATGAATCAACATTTACCCAAGGTTAAGATTTATTACAGCAAAGGAAAAAGTGCAGACACACAAAAAAAGATATACACAAGGAAATACTAGAGAAGGCTTTCTTGTCCTCCATCTTCAGGTATGGCACGGATGCTCTTTATTACTTGAGGAGAAAAGTCATGGAAAGCAACACACCAGTCATGGTCAAAAATTATTTTGGCTGGATTTCATTGCCGATAATCTTCTCAAAGATGGAGTCTTCAACAGACTGGATATATATATATATATCTCCACTTCAACATGTATATTCACATATACATTCACACATATAGGATTCATATAGAATCCTAATTTGACCACTCCAAACTTGGATGTTAAGTGCACAACTCAAACTTAACATGTCCAAACAGAACTTATCCTAACCCCACACACACCACCCCCAAAATGCTCCTTCCTCTCCTGTGGTGGTCCCCATCTCAGTAAATGGAAACGTGTTAAAGCAAAAAATCGTGGAGCTATGTATGACTTCTCTATTTCTCTCACACCCTCAATCCAATCAGCAAATCCTTCAAAACATATCCAGAATTCAACCACTTCTTACCACTTCCACCAACACTACCCATGATGGTTTAGCCACCATCTTCCTGCTTCCAGGAAGAGAGAAAGAGAGAAAACAAGTCCACGTTCAAATATTTTCGGGAGATAAGGATCTTTTTGTTAAATAATCTCCACCTTAAAGATAATCTCAAAATTCAAAAACATATGTATATGAGAAATTCAGCACATTTTTATTGAGCTCCTACTATTTGCCACATGTTATTCCGTGGACAGGGAAGAAAGACTGTGTGAAAGGGCCTATTTCTGTACTCCAGAAAGCTGCTAATTTACTAGTCAAGAAAAGCCAAGACCTACCACAAATAAGCCAGGAAGGCCAATGCTCCCAGGGTCTAGAATTTAAGAAAATTAAGGAAATGCCTAATGTGTAGACTAATAATGTTGACATTATCTTCAAACGAGGTGCACGAGGTCGCAGAGATTCACTGACAAGCTTAAAAGAAGCCATCCAAAATATAACTTTATATCACATCATTGGGCCAAGCCCTCTACCATACATTATAAATTCTATAAATATTTTGACCATAGAATGATTTTATTGTAACACGTTTTTGTGTTGATTCATTTATTAAATGTAAAAATTGTCACAATCAAAATTTTTGTAATTCTACCGTAGTGCTTATTTCTTAATATATGGAAGCCTCAAATAATAGTAATGGCACTGGACTCCCCTAAACCCTGAGAAACGCCAAAAAAAAGAAAAAAAGCATTCTCTTTTCAAACAGATAGAAATATACTGTGAAAAGTGCTTTGATGTCACGTTATGACAATCAGGGAAAATACCAGAAAACATGGGAAAGGGGAAATTGTTATGCCTGGGGGCCTGCAGATATCCATGCCGGGTGACAAGAAAGACAATCGTGTAGATAGATGCTGCCTTATGTAGTAAGACTGCCTTCTTACTGACAACTGTCCAGGCAGACATCCCAAGTACCTAGAGTTTGAAAATTGCGAACGTGACTGAATATTAATAGGGAAGAAACTCTGAGTTCTCTTATTTAAAAATATCCCTCGATGCAGGCAATATGCAATATTTTGGCATCCTTTGGGTGCCATAAACTCCAGTTTTTCTGCTCGAGAGTCGTACAGTCAATGACTTTTCCCTCCATGGAGTACCCAAGACCGAAATAATTGTCAATTCTTACCCTTCACAAGGCCCTGCTCCTTGGCCCGAGATAACCCCCGTAATCTCGAGTTTCTATTTTTCCAATGACAGAGAGCGCCGGCGGCGTGGGGGCCATTGCCTTTTGTCATTACGTAACTGTCACGACTCAGAACGGGGCAGAAAACTTACTTCCTAAGTGTCACAGCAAGACCATATGCTCGGCGACCACGTGGCCTAACGGATAAGGCGTCTGACTTCGGATCAGAAGATTGAGGGTTCGAATCCCTTCGTGGTTAGTGTCACCTTTTATGCCCTTTTCTAGTAATCGATAGCCACATCTCATGGGTAGGTGGTAGGAAATCATGTGTTTTTCGAACCCTTCTCTTCCTGCCCTATTTTAAAGAGGTTATTCTCAAAAGCCTTGGGAGAACCAGTGTAAAGAGTGGCTGGAAGTCAAAACCGAAATAAGGCCTTCCAATAATTTGGGGCTCTCAAGCTCTCCCCATATTTGGATTTGAGCTCCTGAGTTTCATTTTCACAGGCTCGGCTTGTCCTTGAAAAGGGAATTCCGATCTGTAAACGGAGCTCTCTCGAACTGAGCCCCCAGTGGGTAGCACGGGGGAAAACCTGCTGCTTCTCCTTCCCCATGGCTTCGCCCAAGGCCACAACCTCTTCACAGTTCTCTTCTCGTTTGAGTTCCGGGTGCTGGAATCTGTCACTGGTTTCCACTCTTCCCCTATCTTTTCCATCTTAACTTTCTTGTTTTCCTTTGGTTTTGCTGCCGTCAAAAGGATGAGAACAGCTTATATTCAAACCTAAATTACAGAACAGAATACTAAGGTCACTGAAATAGCCGGACTGTTTGCGGAGTGTGTATACAAACAGGAAGGCAGAGAACATAGCTGGGCAAAATATACAAACACATTTTTCAGGGCTTAAATAACTGAATTGATTAATAATTTAGGATGAAGAAAATCTCATTTCCAATTGATGACTTCCTGGTGAAACATATGGTGTTTTCAGATTCAAACGTTGGTTCAAATCACACGGAGGCTTAACTCTTTTCTACTTAACGTATTCCTCTTTGCTTCTCTCTTTGGTAGTTAAGGAAAAAACATACCCTTTGGGTTTAAAAGCTGTGAGGGGCAGAGGCAAAATTGCTCCAGATCTACCTCCCTATCGTGGAAACAATACAAGAGATTAGCACATTTAAAATTATCCTTTAATGTGTATTAAAAGCAGTGACAAATACCCTAAGGTATATTCTGCCTGTACAAAGTTTCAGTCCCTACCATGTCACCATCATGCGCACACACACACACACACACACACATATACAATATGCCTGTGTTTATTTTATAACTATCTGTTGAATGTTTACAGTGTGCAAAGTTGGAAGGACAAGGATATAAAAGGGTGGTACCCCTACAACCTTATTCTCAAACAAGGTAACATGGGGTTGAAGGGACAAGAGGGATAAGGCTGTTCAGGCATCCAATATCTCTGATTCTGTTTTGGAGAAAATTCAAAAATATAAAGAGCATATCACCCAATTCCTCAAGACCCCACTTTGGCCTCCAATCTGGATCAGCATTTCCTGAGTTTTTATTTTCAAGATAAAATGAGTTAAAATTTGTGAACTATCTTTGAATCACAGGTACTACATAAGCCATATATTGTTAGGTAAAATTCAAAAACAGATTTTACTTCAAAATTTGTGCCTCATAGGTCTCAGTCCTCAGGAGCCTTTGGATCTCTGCTGATCTATGACAAGTGTACTTCAGAAGGATTTTCCAGGTATGAAAAGTCACAATCCCAGTCACTGGATTTGAACATGTTAGAAAGATCTTAACCACTTGATCTTAAAGAACTTGGTTCCCATGAACCTTAATAAGGAAACGTTGGTTATATGATTTTTTTAAACAATTAACTTGTCTGGTCTCTACCTCAGTTTTCTCATCTGTAAAATAGAGACAGGTGATGGGGGGGGTGGGAATTTTCAGAGAGATCATCTTTACGGTCCCTTCAAATTTTGTTATTCTACACCGTGCACTCAGCCGTTTGCTATAGTTTACTATTAGGTGAAAAGAGGGAACTGGTGAGATTTTATGGTATTATTATGGTATTAAGATATAAGTGGCAGAAGATGATCAAAGAAGGAAGAAACTAATAGAGACTGGAACACCTGGAAAAGATCTTCGATTAAATTCATTCATGTAAAATACAAAGAGGAGAGTGATGCTTTCTTTCATCTGAGGATTCACAGAAAAGGTACATTTGATGTGGGTCTTGCAAGAGGATTTTGCAGCAAGGGAGCAGAGACTCTCCAGGCAGACGGAACTACTTGAGCAAAAGCAGAGCATGTGAACAGCTTCTGCTCCTGAAGACAGGGACCAGTGGTCAGATAAAACTGGAGTTTGATGAAGAGTTTGGGAGGATAGGGAGTGATAAGGGGTAAAGAGGGAGCGTCTTGGACCTGAATTTAAGAGGCAAAAAAAAAAAAAAAAAAAATCAACAAAAACTGCCGAGACAGGGAACCAAAGCTGGGGAGCGGGTGGGAGCAGGGAGTGAAGAGAAGCGAATGGCCCGTGGTTCTCAGCCCAAGAAACCCATCAGAATCACCTGTGGCCCCTGCAGCCACGCCTGGACGTCACCCTCGGAGATACTGATTTAACTGTGCCGAGGGGTGGAGGAAAGGTGGACATCTTGAGAAAACTCCCTAGTTGCTTATAATTTGCTACCAGTGTTAGGAACGCAGGCAGGAAGATGGGCTGGGTGGGGAGGCGGTCAACAAGCGTAACGGAAGTCAGAGGGCCAGAAATCAGTTTTTGACAACGGTGGAGAAGCTGGGGAATACGTGAGCACACCTGCGTCTGACCGGAGGCAGCAGAGTTTGATTCTTGACTGTCATCCACGTGACGTGACTCAAATTCTAATCTCTCTATAAAAGGGGCTAAAAGTAACGTTATTGAAAGTTACTCGTCACCTCAATGCGTCTCTAACAGAGCATCTACCGACACGTTCTGGCGAAATACCTTCTTTACAAGGTACTAAAACCACACTCCCACAGTAAAGCGGGGAAACCGAACGACGAGGATGGGATTCGAACCCACGCGTGCAGAGCACAATGGATTAGCAGTCCATCGCCTTAACCACTCGGCCACCTCGTCATCTCTGTGGGGGGTTTTGGTTAAAAATTGTATTTCTTTACTCAGCAGCGTTCTATTTGCCAAATTATATTATTATTTAGCTTTTTTATTATTATTAATGAAGATAATGTCTTTTCTCCCTATAAATGGCCCTCTTGCTTTGATAAAGGAAGAAAAAATAAAGAAGGGACTGAGGTTCAGCCACTGAGGAAAATAGCATGAAGAATCCTCAAAAAATTAAAAATAGATCTACTGTATGATCCAGCAATCCCAGTTCTAGGTATTTATCCAAAAGAAATGAAAACAGGATACTAAAAAGATATCTGCACTCCCACGTTTATTGCAGCATTTTTCACAATAGCCAAGATATGGAAAGAAATTGTGTCTGTCAACCGATGAATAGATAAAGAAAATGTGGTTGTATATATATACAAAGGAATATTATTCAGCCATGAGAATGAAGGAAACCCCTGCCATTCACAACAACATGGACCTTGAGGGCATTATGCTAAAAGAGGTAAGTCATACAGAGAAAGGCAAATACTATATGATGTCACTTATATGTGGAATCTAAAAATATGTTGCCTTATATGGTAAAAGTGATTTTGCAGATATGGTTAAATTGAGGATTTCGAGATGGAAGATTATCCGGGATTATCTAAGTGAACCTAAAGGAGGATCATATTCATTAGTAGGAAACGTGACTGCAGAAGCAAGAGGCGATACAAGGAAGAGGCCACTAGGTGAAAAAAAGCGAGGAAACATTCTTCCCTGAAGTCTCCAGAGGGAACACAGCCATGCTGACAACTTGATTGTAATCTTTTGAACTTCAGAACTGTAAGAGAGTAAATCTGTGTTGTTTTAAGTCACTAAATTTGTGGTAATTTGCTACAGCAGCAATAGGAAGCTAAGACAGAGGTTCTAAGACATTGATATGACTGGGGCTTAATAGGTGGAAGGAAGCTTGCAGGGCTTTTTCTGGAACAATTTTTAGAAACCAGAGGCATTCATGGGGGCTCTTGTTTTGCTGTCACAGAGCACTGAATGATATATGTTCAAACTGTGGAGAGAGTCAACAGAAAGAATTTAGAGTCCCACTGACAGCTGGGACTGCTGTATTCAGAGACCAGAGGATTAGCCATCACACCATGGGACCTTGGTATAACAAACCTTCAAGGTTAAGACTTGTATACTAATGCATCTTGTCTGTTGATCTTTAAAATGTTTCAGCATAGATTCAATCTAAGGAATATTAAGAGAGAGCCTCCTCTAAGGGCACAGTGGAGGCTCTCAGATGACTATGATAGCTAGGGTCTCACTCTATGGTTTGGATATTTTCAGGTCTGTGTTCAGAGTTCTGCAGCCTACAGAGCATTTGCCTGAGTTCCAGAGGAGAAAAAAGTCACAGGTGGGGCCTGTGACATATGAACTCTTAATCACCCAAGCACATAATTGACTTATAGGGATCTGATTGACTTTAGGCCGGCACCAGGCAAAGCAAAAGGCATCAAGAGGAGAGATTTTAGGGGGGAGGTGACGGTGATGGGGAGAGGGAAATTTTCAGTAGCCAGAGGAAAGAGCAAGGAGTTGGACGTTGATGGGAGAGAAGAAATGCAAGTTTAAGGGAGTGTCTATACATCAGAGTGTACTCCTGGTTAGGGAAAATGTGAGGGCAAGGTCACCAAAACTGAGACAAGTCCACTGAGATTTGAAGTCCAGGCGCTAACCATTACATCATGAGGCCTTTGAAGTTAGGTCTCTACCAAAAGACTGATGTGTACTCCTAACAGGTCAGTTTATCTTCAAAATAAAGTAGGCAACACATAAGCTTGTGGAGTTTGAACAGAGCCTCTCATGGGTACAAGTCTAGGATGTACTCAACAAGGGTACTGCTGTGTAGTAGGAACTTTCTCAGGACAGTGTTAGTGTTTGGAAGCCGATGGAGCACTTTAAGTAGGCTCCAGGAAAGGAAGGACCTGAGTTAGAGGGACTGTAAAACATGAACACCTAATCATTGGAACCAGGATTCTAATTTAGCAGAATCTGAGGAACTCTGGGCAAAAGGCAAAAAGGGCCATCAGGTGTAAGGGGAAGTAGGGCTAGAATTCCGGAGGAAGGTAATCAGAGACAATCTTCTCTCGGGCAGTGGTTCTATGTTGCTTTGGTTGTTGACTTGGAAGTAACTAGCAGCGCCTACAGCTAGATATGTACATCTGGCTAACGATTTAGGAGAACCATAGGGGGAAAATTGCTAAGATGTTGCTGAGGTCCCAAAGAGATTTGGACTCAAACTGCTAGATTCAGAGCCCAGAGTGCTAACCGTGGGGTCCTTACATGAGGAACTTTGTACTTGCTACTGCAATTTATATATATATATATATACAAATTATATATATTACATATAAATTATATATATTGTTATATATTATATATGTTATATATTATTATATATAACATACATATTATATATATAATTTATATAGATATATATTCCTACATTAGGCTGATACGTTTTGAGGAGGCTTCAGAGAAGAGAAGATTTGCGAGAGGGGCCTCTGAGACATGAAGTGTTAAGACCCTGAGCATGCAAATTACTTAGGATCTGACTGTCTTCAGGAACCCAGGCAAGAGTAGTTGTCGAGAGAGTGAATGGTGTTCCAAGGGGCTCCTCGGAAGAAGGAAGCCTGAGTGGGAAGGTTATGCCCAGAAACCAGTGTACATTATCGACTTGAGGGAAACACGGAGGAAATAGGCTGGCGACCAAAACAAAAGTAGGTCCCACCGAGATTTGAACTCGGATCGCTGGATTCAAAGTCCAGAGTGCTGACCATTACACCATGGGACCACCACTTGCTGGGGGATTTATGAATATTTATTGAAGAGTCTGTCATTCCATTCAGGGTTTTATGGACTATCGTTTTCATTTTAAAAATATTCATAGGGAATCTGCTGTATGCCAATCAGCAGAAGCTCCAAGTGAAACGCGACGACCAGGGTTCAGGGTTCACAGGCACTACGAACTTCTCAGGACCCAGTTCGTGTTAGAAACTGATGGAACTTGAACCCAGGACTGAGATCAGGGGTGGAAAACGTGAATAGTCACCCAGGGGGTAATCTAAATGACGAGGATCGGAGGAGATTCTGTGGCCTAGAGAAGGAGGAGGAGCAAGAGAGGACAGGTGTGGAATCCCAGAGGCAAGGGTAAGGAAAGCTGTTTTGCAGTACAGTGTCTCCTTGCTGACGGGGATGGGGTATCTTGCGCAAGTGCTTAGGTGTCTAGCCTCCTCGAGGTACCACGGTGATTTACGAGACGAGGAGGGAAGACACTAAAAGACTAACAGGTCCCACCGAGATTTGAACTCGGATCGCTGGATTCAAAGTCCAGAGTGCTAACCATTACACCATGGGGCCCCTGCTATTTTCTTGCCCCACGCTTTTAGGAACGTGTCTGCTGTGCGTCGTATGCGCTTCATTGGAAAGATTTGTCTTAGATGAGCGAAAGCCTCACCTTCAGTGCTCCGCAATGCGAAAAGCCTAGCAGAGCTCACTCTGCTTGGAATTTTTTCTCAGGGCCCCCGGAGGGTTTGAGTACCGGCGTTCCTTGCAAAATCAAAACTGTGCCTTTACTGAATTTCTAACCTGGGCCATGAACGTTTGTCTACATATGGTGTCAACACTTAAAAATCCCTTAGGACATGTGTGAATATAGAAAACGCAAGAAGAAAAAACAAGTCCAAGATAAGATAGGAAATTACTGGTAATTTCGGGAATAAGAAAAAACTTTTTCCTTTTTGAGTATTTTTACATCCTTCTTTTTGCTTATCCGCATTTCCTAATGGATCGACTGCAAGTTTAATACAAGATGAATTTTTGTTATATTTACTCTTATTTATGTTGCATATACTGTATGTTTATGTATTAGAGTTTTAGCGAGCAAAACAGTTTTGTTGTTGTTGTTGTTGTTGTTGTTTTGAAATTAAGCCCAAATCAGAAAACAGTTTTGAAAATTCTGTAACTGGTACTTCCTCCCTACAGTCTGGCCTCCTAAGTGGAATGATAAGAGGGCTCCAGAAGGAGGAAATATTGGAAATTTCTGTTTGAGATACTGATTCCCAAACATAAAAATACTCACGAGTGGAATAGTGATGCACTGGATATACCCAAATTCTTGGAAGAACATCGAAAAAATAGAGGCAGGCGAGGTTCGGAAGTCAGACCTGAGCTGAATTTCAGATAGGGAGATAGCAATTCAAAATGAACTAAAGCCTGAGCATTTTTTCAGCATATTTATGATGGTCTCAGAAATCCCTAGCGTTTACCAAAGTAATTTTCAAAGATTTTCTCTACATACAGTTATACTAAAGGACTAGAACTACCTGCTTCCAGTTTTATGGAGAAAGATAATAATAATCAGTAAAACAGTATATTCCGTGTTGTTTCACCGTTTCTGTAGCTGGTACAGCAAGTATTTCGACCTGGAGGTAAAACAAAACTCCGTAGCCGGCAGGATTCGAACCTGCGCGGGGAGACCCCAATGGATTTCAAGTCCATCGCCTTAACCACTCGGCCACGACTACATAACTGACTAAATTGTCTACATATATTCCCATGAGGAATAATATCTTTCCTCTTACAAATGTTCTTTAATTTCGACAACAGTTCTGGAATGCCTGTCATAATGGTAAA